CTCTACTAATACTATAACTAAAATAATACCGAATAAGGCCTTAATAATACTTATTAATTAAGGAACTATAATATATAATATCTAAGAATAGATAAAGAGGTAAATTTACTCGATAAAGTAGTATAGATCCGGAGAAACGACTACTAGCTAATTATAAGCTAGAGATATACTACTAGTTATTAGAAGTATTATTTTACTATATTCTTAAGTAGTTTATATAAGAAAAGAGAGATTACTAGTATCGGTTTAGTATAGTATAGTAGCTATCTCGTATAAACCGGCTTAAGCTCTAACTACCGGAATATAGACGTTCCGTTCCGAGGCAGTAGTATATAGAGCCCGCTCGTTCGCTACCTTCTATTAAATAGAAAATAAATCTTTACTATACCACCGTTTTGTCACCTGACTGAATACCCTCTGCAGAGGAGCCTACCCACACATAATGTCTAGCCTGCTTTGCTCACTCACTGTGTCGCATCGTCACTTTGCCCAGCGAGTGCACTTGCCTCATCCTGCTCTTTCTGCTTACAGACAGAATCACTCCTGGCTTGGCCTAGCCTCGGCAGACTTTCCAATGGCCACCTTCCTTCCCACCACAGCCGACTCCCTTTCTAACTTGAACAACCACCAGCTGTCGAGTACACAAGGCCGAACACAGTTCATCCATACGACGCCATGACCTCGACGGTCGTGCTGAAGTCCACATCCCACTCGTGCAAGAGCGCCACAAGATAACTCTTCAACGCTCTGGCGCTCGGTCCAGAGCAAGCAGAGCGGGATCAATGCACTGCGGATATTCTTCGATGCCCTCCATGGACTCCGTCGTCTCCGAAATATCCATCTGGTCCTCTTCAGAAGACGAGCCTCGGTTCTCTTCAGCTGGCGCCATCGAGCTATCCATGAACTCCAACCATTCGAGATCCGTGTCAGAACCGGACTCACACCCCGACCCGCGAATCGTATCATCAAATCCCCATCCTTCCATGTATTGATCATACAAATCCCTTCTCTTCAACTCTTTCTGCAACGGACTCGGTCGATGCGGCGTCCAAGTCGATTCTGGTCTCGGTCGGCGAACAGTGAGAGAATGGAGCGGCATCGCTTCATAGACTTGCGCTCTGAGCTTGGCGTAATGTCGATAGATCGGATTGATCCTTTCGCCTTTATCGCGAGCCTCGTTGACCTCTTTGCTGCGGCTTCTGTCCAAGGTTCTCAGGACTCCGATTTTCAGGCAACTGGCGCAGAGTATTGGGGCTAGGATTGAGGGGAGGTATGAACGTCCCAGGCACGAGGCGTGTCCGTTCAGTGTGTAGGATCCGCGGCAGGTGCTCAGGCGGTGGTCGGAAAAGCAGCCGCAGAGGTACTGCCAGGTCTGGGTTTTGCACATGGTGGTAGATCGATGCTCCGGTCGCAAGATGAACGGCGGTGAGTTGGGATTTATGTTGACATTTCAAGGCTACACGATGGTGTTCCTTTTTGAGATATCGTGCTGGGCTCGACTGGCGACCGATGTGGAAAAAAATCTAGCTTTGGGGGCTGTTACCAAGAACCACAATATGGGTTTTCTCTCGAGGCCACATGCCAAAAGTGGGGCTTTACCATAATTCCAGACGCATTCACCCAGTGAATCCGGTCACGGTCCTCAAGATCGCTTTCCGACTATATATACTACTGACATCCACGCCCTCGAGCTACAGATCACGACTTCTACAAGACCTCCAAGACAACATAAAAAGCTCGACAACCGCACGAATCACCACCACAGCAACACGCCAACATGTTCTTCGGACTCAAGAAGAAAGAAGAACCACAACCACTCAAATGCGACATCTGCAAAACCTGGCAACCCTTCCGTCGCTTCCCCTGCGCTCGCATCCCACGCAAATGCCGCGAGCATCTCAGCAGAGAAAACCCCTTCAAGGACCTCGTCATCTGCAAAGAATGTCTCGCCCGCAAATTGGAAGAACAAATCGAAGTCAAGTCGCCAGGACGTATCAGCTGCCCGATCTGCAAGTGTACTTGGACTCCGATTGAGGTTCTAGGTTGTCTGGGGAAAGATGAGGAAGGTAAGAAGATTTGATCCGAGGAGTGAGGTTTTGTAAGGGGGTTGAGTTTTGTGGGCTGACTATCTGTATAGGACGTAGAAGACGACGAGAGTATGATTACAAGCTGCACGGCCGCATCGAGCGCTCGAGTGACTCGTTCCGTTGGACGCTTTAGGTTGGGGACAGGATATTTGCGCAGCAAGTTGGCGATGAGGGGAAAGAATGAGAGGGGAGGGAGATTGTGTGGAAAGTTGAACTTTGAATAAATGCAGCCATGGGAATGAGACAGAAAGGTTCCGACGCCAGAAAAAAGCTAACTAGCGGAACATGCGGACAAGACGTGTCGAGACAAGATTGTATCCGTAGAAGAATGTGTAATGAATGAATTATGAAAATTATCATGGTCCTCTTTTAAACGCCAAAGAAAGCTCGCTTGTACTCGTGGTCAATGTTGTGTTCGAGGATATCTGCAAGGACATGCTGCCCTAGTGATCAAATGCCTCACGAGTGATATCACGACTGCCATCCAGGCACTAACTAGTAGTGGTAGTCGTCTCTGCCGTAGAGTTATGGTAAGCACAGGGCAGTGCTTGTGTTCACTTCGGAGTACCTCCGTAGGCTTTCCAAGTCTGGATAGGGGAAGCTCATGAGCTGCCTCGTGCTCATCGTCAGCTTTCGCGAGGCATTTACCTTCGGTTCCAGACATCCAGACAGCACCCCTGCTAATGACACCAGCTGGGTCGTTGTCTCATTCATTCGAGACCACATGATCCTAGAGGACGGACTTGGACGGAAATACATTGAGCAATGAAACATCGTTGAAGTTGAACCAATAATGCTTCGAGAGAACTCTTTCTATCTAGTAGCACTCTAATCGTCTAGAACCTCTCATGTCATAGGGAATCTTGCTTTTTCCGTCATCGTCAACCAGGCTCACGCCAATCCAAATACACCCCTGAACGCCTTTCTCCATGCTATTCGTCGCTTGCAAAAAGACACCACATGAGCAGGCACAACATGTAGCTTAGAAGTCATCCTCGTCAGAGAAGACCTCCTCACCACGCTTGCGGCGAGCCATACGGTCCTTCTTCTTCTTGCGAAGCTCCGAGGCAGTGAGCTTCTTGGCCTTCTTGGTGTTCTCGATCTTGTTACCCATGGCGTCGAACTTCTCCTCCTCGTCATCGCCACCCTGGGCCAACCGAGGACCGGCACCTTGACCTTGCACCCAGTTGTGACCGGATGGAGTCATGCGACCGTCCATGACAGCCCAGACTTCCTCAGTGAGATCCTTGGTGAACTCGGCAGAGTGGGTAATGATGATCACACCACCCTCGAAGGACTTGATGGCCTTGGACAGGGCACCGAGAGAGTCACGGTCGAGGTAGTTGGTTGGCTCGTCAAGAACAATCAAGTGAGGACGCTGCCATGAGCAGGCGGCGAGCACGACCTTGACACGTTGACCACCAGAGAGACCACGCATACGCGAGTGGGACACGAGCTCAGCATCGAGACCGAAGTTGGTGCAGTGAGCCTCAATCTCCTTGCGGACCAGAGGACGGAACTGACCGCTGGCAAGAGCCTCCTTCTGATCGACCTCAGCAACCATCTTCTGGTGAGATTGGATGAGCTCGTTACGTGGGATCCAGGCGTTGTCAGCAGTCATCATAGGAGTCCACTTCTCGTTCTTCATGCCGACGTTGTCACCAAGAGCGAAAGAACACTCGTACTCGTAGGAGTTCTTGAACTTTCTTCGCGAGTGGACACCAATGACACGACGCTGCGAGCCTTCGATTCTGTAGATCTTGTCCATGGCCTTCTCGTCGTCCTCGGTGACGATCTTGTTGGCACGGTCCATAGTCTCACGATCCTCACCAGTCTGGAAACGCCATTGAATGTACTCAGATGGAGTCTTGTCGAGGTGGTGATCGATGTGGGCGAAAGCGTGCTGCTTGATGTAGGCGATACGGATGTTCTCGTGCTGGTAGACATCACCGCTGGTGGGGATGAGTTCACCAGTCAGGACGTTGACAAGAGTAGACTTGCCAGCACCGTTTGGACCGATGACGGCAATACGAGAGCCGAGCGAACACTGGAAGGTGATGTCCTGGATCTGTGGCTTTGGTGTGCCTGGGTATTGGAAGGACATGTTGCTGACACGAACGATGGCCTTGGCCTTGGTCTTGACACCCTCGAGGAAACCTGGCTCTGGGAACTTGAACTCCATCTCGGATGCACCGAGCTCGTAGTAAGACTTGGCCGATGGGACACGCTTGACGAACTCGCTGAGCTTGCCACGGTAACGCTTCAGCTTGAAGCGCTCGTAGTGGATGACGTGCTGGATGACGTTGTCAAGGAACTTGCTGTCGTGGGAGATGATGATCGATGTGCAAGGAGAGGTTGTCAGGTAGTCTTCGAGCCACTTGACGTTCTTCACGTCCAAGTGGTTGGTGGGCTCATCGAGCAGGAGAATGTCAGGCTTGGAGAAGACAGCACGCGCGAGCGCAAGCTTCATCTTCCAACCACCGGAGAGCGCAGTGATGACACCGTTGACCTGCTCAGGCACGAAGCCGAACTCGTCCAAAGTCTTGCGGACCTCGTCCTCTGGGATATCAATGCTGGCCTCCTTCAGCTTCTTCATGGTCCACTCGATGACAGTCATCTCAGTGTCGTCAGAGTCCAAATCGTGCTCGACGTAGACAGTCTTGACCTCGCTCTGCTTAGGGAAACCCTCGACCTGCTCGTTGTTGATGGCACGCATGAGGGTGGTCTTTCCAGAACCGTTGGGTCCGAGAAGACCGTATCGCTGGCCCTTCTTGAGGCGAAGAGATGTCTGGTTGAGAAGAATCTTGGCACCGTAGGCCAAGTTGAATGTGCAGTTACAGAGATCAACGCCCTCCTCCTCATCTGGCTCAACCTCGTCCTCGGCAAGAGCGCCTGGAAGCGAGCGCTTGCGGAGCTGCTCGACGATGTCTGCAGCGTCGTCGCCAACAATGGCGCTGGTGTATGGTAGCAGCTGTGTTGACCAGGCAACGGATTCAGTCTCCTTCTCGTCGATGAGTTGACCACCAATGGCGGCGATGAACTCGACGACTGGGGCGAACTTCTCAGCAACATCCTTGTGCTTGTAGCTGAGAACGTCCTTGAGCTTGGCGAGGACAGTCTCGACGTCAGAGTCGTGGGAGACTTCTGGAATCTTGCCGTCCTTGACGTTACCGACACGAATGAGGGTATCAAGAGCCTGCTTCGTCTTCTCACGGGCCTCAGGATCGGCCATGTTGTCGTGGTTGTGGTTCAATTGTGGCATCAGCTTTGGCAAGAAAGAGGCCACAATGTTGGGGTCCTCGACGAGCTTGCACATGTTGTCAATGATGACAGCGGATTTACGCTTGATGGCAGTCTCACGCTCCTTGAGACCACGCTCGAGCAGAGGCACCATGATGGCGAGGGTTGGCTCGTGGACATCGGTGACGAAAGTGGTGGCACCGAGCAAGTGAATCGTCTCTGGGACGTTCTCTGGCTTGGAGATACACTTGATGAGCTCAGGAATGAAGCGCTCGATATCCTTGTTGACAATGAGCGCGCAGACCTTCTCCATTGTACCGTATGCCTTCTTCTTGACTTCTGGCTTGGTGTCCCACATGGCCTCAGAGACAATTGGAATGAGCTCTGGGACGCGGTATGCGGCCTGTGCAGGGGCGCTCTCGGTGAGGGCCTCGATGCACTCGAGGTCGGTCATCTTTTCGGGCCACTTTTGGGCAGTTCGGATCGAGTTGATGAAGTTGGGAATGAGGAGCTTGACGGCGTTGGCGTTGACGGCCTTGGTGATGGCGAGGGCGGCGTCTTGCGCGGCGACCTTGACGGCGGCCATCTTGTCGCCCACGGCGGCGAGGACGGCGGGGTGGAGCTGGACGAGGTATGGCTCGACAACGGCCGAAACCTCGCCGTGCTTCGCAATAGTGGCGATGGCCTCGCAGGCGTTTTGTCGGGCGTTGGCATCCTTCTTGTTGTTCAGCATCTTCTTGAGGCTGTCGACGGCCTTGGTGGGCGCGTCGGCCTCCTGGATGTCGCCATTAATGAACGTGGCAATCTCCTGCGAGGCGCCCTTGGCCTCGTCTGCGGTCTTGGAGACAGAGAGCTTGTTGAGCAGCTGCTCAAGCACCTGCACGCTGCCGGCGTTCTCCTTTGCCGCCTGAGACATGATTGTGGTGGTAAAGGGAAAGAGAGTGGTGGGTGGGTGTGGAAAAGTGCGCAAGAAATTTGAACTTTTTGTATGCGAGGGGCGCTTCGCGCCAAGTGGCCCGTCCGCTTATCGCTCTCCTTAGTGCGCGGATTCTGTTGAAACGCTTCAGGGTCTGTCCGCTGCTCGCTTTGCGGCGGAGAAGTCGGCGGTGGTGGGTGAAAAGAGCGGCGATGGCGGAGGAGAGAACAAATATCGAGGCTGTGTCAGACTCCGGGGCGTGTCGTGTCTTTTCAAGCCCTCAGCTGAGCGTTTCGAGTCGCTCCCCGTCAGCTTTCAGATCTCTCAAATTTTTTGGTGGCAACCAACTTTTGCCGCCCCTCCAATTGGCCGACGTGCCGAGCCCTGCGTCACTGTCGTTGGTTGAGCGTGGCCTCCAGCAACGAACACAACCGCCCTTTTTGCTCTCCTGGACGCTGCTGTACAGAGCTATTCTCGGCTCTGCACAATCAAGGACAGCTGCGAACTACTGTGCTCCTCTACAAATCATTCTCATTACATACGAGCTCCAGGACCTGCAAATCCGAGAAATCCACCTGCTACCATAGCAACCCTGGGACATGTACTCTCATTGTAACAACAGAAATGGAGCGGCGCTCTGAAAGGCTTGCTACTCCCCATCCTACCGCGGTATTCTTCGGGGCGCGGGTACCAGCGAAAAAGGCAGCATCGAATGGTAGACCGCCCTTTACCGCGTGCCCAAAGTTGGACGCCTACTGCACGACGCCGTGTCTGGAGCGCATCGCCTCTCAGCGCATCCGAATCTGACTTCTGGGGTGCAGCTACTCTCAACACTCCTGCCCACATCCGATCCCGTATCTTCACCGCTGCTTCCGCCATTCTCCCTGTGCCACTGTCGTCTTTGTACTGCGGCACTGTGGCTTACTCACATTTCCACTTCTATGCCCCGTCACCAGCGACCAGAGGGACATTCTGCCTCGGAATTTTGAGACTGCCTGGCCACGGCTGCTCAACGTCAATGTGCCTTCTGCTTGCCACTTACTGTACTATGTGCTGTACTGTTCACTGAAAAAAAATGATCGACTCCCCAGATTTCTCAGCGCTCCAACGTCACCACGCCACTGGTCGCCGGCGTTTTCGCTGTGTGGAGTGCCGACGCCCTAACTAGTCTGATTCCCCAGAGCGCAAGGACTCCCTCACGGAGACTTGGCTCAGCTCCAACCTCACATGAGAAATCGGGCTTGAGCTGGGAGCCGAAATTTGATAGGAGATGCGAGTTGCGACGTTCATCCAGCACCAAATGATACTCTAACTTACTGTCCTGCTGAAGTTCCAAGTAATTCAGGGTTATTTATCCCCAATACAAACTTCACCGCTTCAAGATACTCAATAACTTGTCAGATCCAGCTCCGTCACTCAACATTCAACCAGTATCGAATCTCGCTCCCTTCCTCAACAGGCCACTTCCTATCCTGCTCATGCAGTGGCAGCAACCAGAACTCCTCCCCATTCCAAGTAAAGCACGGTCTCTCCTCCTCGACACACTTCCGACAAGTGAATTTGCCCTCACATCCAGGTCGCCACTGCGACTTTCCTCCCTTACCCTTCAACTTTGTCGTAATGCATGGCGGGTTGACCAACTTGTAGCCTGGCTTCTGAAACTCGAAACTCCAGTCCTCGCCCTTCGCTTCTTCCCATTCATCGACTTGCTTCTTGATGCGAGCCCACAGTTCCTCGCACTCGTCGCTGAGGTCTTCCTTGGAATGAAAGGCATCGATGTCTCCGGTCGGATAATGCTGTGTCACGGCCTGGAATTCGAAACGTTCTTGAAGATCTTTGATGTCGATTCGATTCGTTATTGCTTGCTTTGCAGGAGGTGCTGCGCCGTCAAGACAAAAGTCTGCGTCACCGTCGATCTCTTCTTCGCTTTCACCAGAGTCCGAGTCTTTTCGCTCGACTCGAGCTTTCTTCAATGCAGATGGACCTGGTTCATCGCTGGCATGCCCGCTTCGCATCCGCTTGCGGGTCTGTATTGGCAGGACTTGCGGCGGCGCTACAGAAGGATTGGAGGCCTTCGAGGATTCTGTCTTGTTCGTGTCTTTGTATGTGAAGTTGCCAATCGGTGGAGCAGGCAGCTCGGTACCAGGCTCTTGCTTCAAGCTATGTGGGAGTCAGCATTAGACCACATGCAAGACACAACCTGGAGTAACTCACTTCAGCACTGTTTCCTCATCATCTTGGTCTTCAATCTGTCGCAATTTCTCCGGATTGGCAGCTGGAAGATCTCGATGCTGGCTTGCTTCCCTCTTCTCCCTTTCAAACTGCCGTTGTAAGGAACCGAGTGCATTTCTTAGCCTCTTCACTTCGGCTTTGGCAGAATCAAGTTCAGCTCGAGGCGCCACGCCTGTAGATGCTGTCCAGTGCGCTCCCTTTCGAGGGTCGGAGTGAGCGCTGCCACGATCTTTGAGCTGCTGATCACGTTGGCGAAGGTCTCGTTGGAGCTGACCAATCTGTTGTCGCAAGTCTGCCTCGATCTTTTGGAATCTGGACAGGTTGCTCTTGACTTGTGCCTCGGCAGCTGTGGCAGTTTCTTCTGCACGACGCAGCTGCGCCAGTGTGTCGGCATTGGTACGACGAAGCTGATTTATAGTGTTTTGGTTGCCGCCAGCGTTTGATCCAGCACCGGGTCCAGCGCGAGCAGTGAGTGTCGCAAGCTGATCATCTTTCTGCGCGAGCAAGGACTGAAGCTCAAGATTTCTCGAGTTCGTATCGTTGAGTTGTTGCAATAGCCTACTTTGGAACTGCTGTGAGTAGGACATGTCTCGTGTTTGATAGTGAGTGTAAGTGATGCGAGATCGGGGCTGGCAGAAGAATCAATCAGTTGGCTGAGGCTGAGCTGAAGTCACCATTTGTAGCAAAGCGCGGAAGTGAAAAGAAGTCTCCCGGCTAGAATGCTCTCGTGAGCTTTTCGGAGAACATAGGAAATCTCGATTTTCACCTCGTGCATCAAAGAAAGCGATGCTTCTGGTTCATACCTGACGCATCGTTTTCCTCAATGTCTCATTGCAAAGCCTCATGTTCAGGCCAGCATGGTGAGACACACGATACTAAAGTTCCCAGGTTTCCGTTTGCTGTGTGCGAGGGATCTCGTGCATCGGCTGCATGCATTCTGTGCGTCAAGGTGTCACTGCAGTCGTGCACCTTCCACCCTTGGATTTGGCAGGCTCGGGGACGTCGTTGCTTGCGGAATGGCTGTTTGTTGACTTAGAGCGTTCCGAGGGTGAAAGAAACGCGAGTAGAGCACCTGCGCGAGGAAATTCGATAGCTTGCAATTGTGATTGGGGACTCGTCCTCCTGATGCATCTGGATGTGTTGCGGTATGGGCGGGCCCATCTTTGTCTCATGTCGCTAGACGCATAGGCAGAAGAAACTTCGATCCGATGCTGGCTGCTGCATCGGCGTGGGTTTGAAGCTCCTGCACTAAGCCGAGATTCGAAAAGGGAATGTGCGCAACAAACAGTTAGCGCATCGCGTTCGTTTGATGTCAAAACAACGTCGGAAGGACACCGCTGCGCCGAGTGCGCTTTCGTCTGCTCGCATGTGGTTGGTTAGATGAAGTTAAGTCTCGGTTTAGGTGAATGGAGCAGGTCGAAGCCAGGCCGTCATTCAGAACTCAAGTTTGGTCACATCAGCACTCGACTCGCAACAACAGCGTGACAGACGAACAGCAGCAACCACTTCTGCCTGGCATCTACGCGCAACAATCTGCAAATAGCACCATGGTCTTCGTGCCGTGGGAACGATACGGCATTTGCAAGCGGCACGCGCTTCCTCGGACAAAGTGCAAGAACAGCAACTGTCCTCTGCGACACCCCTCGGAGGAAGAGCTAAGATGGCTGTGGGACGCACACGACGAGAGCAAAAGCTTATGGAGGGAGACCGAGCATTCGGGAAGAGATCGATGGCCGGGGAGAGTTAATGAAGGTGCAGTGCCAATCGATGGCAGTGACACGGAATCTCGCGAGGCTTTCCTGCCACCCGACCCAAGGGAGCTGTCTGCGGCGCGTGAGGTAGGTCGATGCCATGACTCCAGGGAAGCTCCGCGAGCTCACGATATTTGTAGGACTATCGCTTCCGGGCACCAGGGGAAGGCATGCGCAGCGCCGTGCACACGACAGAGTACCCCTCCTCTTCATCGTCACCGTTTGAAACTGTGCCGCGCGGGCTCGACAGCTATCGCCCAAGGGCACCAGTTAAGGAAGTAGACCAGCACTTCGACCCAGCGCAATCCTCGAACGAGTTCATCAATGGAGCCATGACCTACCGCTTCGCATGGGGTAAGCCGCTGTGCGTTCGCTGTGGGGCCGAAGGACACCTGCCGGTGAACTGCTCTGGCACAGCACTGTCGGCGGCGGAGCAATCTTTCTTATACCAGCTCATGAGAGCAGAGCAGGATCGTAGCAAGAGAGAAGATCCGAAGCCAGATGCACTGAAGACGAGATTGGATCCATTGGAACGCGAGGCTTCGACCGAGCTGCAGGAACTGCGCCCACGAGAAATGCTTGCCCCACAAGTGACAGGCCGTCCAGAACGTCCATGCTCGCCTGTATTGCAGGAGGCTAGTCGTCCAACGTATTGGCAGCGCTACCGGGAGCGCAAGGAGCAGAACGCGCTTCTACAGAGCACGCGTGAGCGTGGTGAACGTCAACAGCATTTGGACGATTTCATGGACGGCAACTGGGATGAGTTGCCACTCTCCTTTGCTCCTCGAAAGCCTGGCAAGGTCGATGTAGCGCGTCGTGAGGAGATGGAGCGAAGCGTGAAAGTGAAAGTGGAGGCAGACGCCGCGGCCTTGGCTCCGGGGTTCGCGTCGAACTTCATTCATCCGGCTCGCGCAGCGTTACTGAGCAGGCCGTCTCCATCTGCGGCAGCCTGGCCATCGACGACGGCATCCGTGCCAAGGGGCACTGCGAATACGGCCATCATGGGAGCGACCAAGCGCATGTCAAACGGTGAAGCCAAAATCGTCGGCCCTCATCCTTCCACGATTCGCGTGTCGGCTTCGTACATAACCCAAGCAGCCATCGACAAGCGACTGGCTTCCGAGGGTCTGGATGCACAGGAGAGGAGTCTGGCAGAGGCGCGCGAGGATACTGTTCGACTGCAGGGTGTCGCATGGCTGGATAATGTCCGCCGTGCGCTTCAGCTCCCGGTCAAGACCTTCACCACGGCTGTGGTATACTACCACAAGTTTCGTCTGGCTCATCCGAAGGAGGATTATCAGTGGGTCGATGCAGCGGCTGCGAGTCTGCTCACAAGCTGCAAGAATGAAGACACCCTCAAGAAGAGCAGAGATATCCTGGCGGCTGCGTACAACATGAAGCAGCCCAACGCCCACGAGCAGGTCGGCGCAGACGACCCGATGTTCGAGGCGCAGAGCAGAATGGTCATCGGCATGGAACGTCTGATATTGGAGAGCGGAGGTTTCGACTTTAGGAGCAGGGCACCACACCACACGCTTGTCAAGATTGGGAAGAGTCTGCCGCAAAGTCCAGACTTGAGGGAGGTTTCGCAACTGGCGTGGACAGTTCTGACAGATCTGCATCGCACTTTTGCACCATTGAAGCAGACGAGTTCTACTTTGGCACTGGCAAGTCTCGAGCTGGCTGCGCATTTCACTGCTGCCAAGTCGGAAGACCATACATGCCTTGTGCGCGACTCCTTGCAAAATCTCGACCTGCGAAAATGGCACACAACCCGCGAAGAAGTCATGGAGACCTTGCTCGACGGTCTGGATCTGTACACTCACAACACAACGTCGACCGTACTTGGCACAAAGTACTCTCTCGATGATCTGCTGCGCATACGTCTCGCGCTGAACAAGGAGTGCTCCGATTCGAGCTTGCCGCGATACACCGTGATACAGCCTCCACCCTCCCCGGATAATACGAATGGCACGAGCAATACTCTGCGTGTAGCCAACGGTCACCCCACGCCAGTGTCGCCACCTCAGCCAGGCGTCCAGGCACCTCAACCAGTCAACGCATATACCGCCACAGCTCAGCACACACCGCAAACGGACGGCACATTGCGATTCATGCTAAATCCGCAACGCGCGACCGAAGAGCGTACTGAGGTGAATCGATACTACACCGAAGAATGGGAAGAGTACGAAGAGGAGATAGAAGTACCGCTGCCGTACGACCGCTCTCGGGATAGAGATCGAGATCGCGATGGTGACTTCTTTGCACGACGTGATCGTGACAGGGACAGGGATGGCATGCGACCACGTGACTTCGACACGCGGCGAGTTATGGACGACCGAAATGGTTTCGACAGGAGAGGCGCGCGCGACAGTCCTCGAACAGCTGCCCCGGCCAGAGAAGCGCGGCCACCGAGGCAGAACACAGCCAACATGCTTCAGAGTGTCGTTCGCGCGCCCTCTCCGGCCCCGGAGATACTGGCCGAGAAGAGTGAAGACAAGGACAATCAGAGGGATGCGGAGCGACCTAGAGCCAGGAGTCGTGATAGGGACAGGTCGTACGATGATAGGCGGCACAACGACAGAGACCGATATGATTCGAGGCGAGATCGTGATGGCAGAGACGCTGGCGGCAGCAGAAGATATTACGACGATGATCGGAGACGTGATCGTCGATAGGAGAACGAGCAGTAAGTTGCAATCTCAGCATCAGGCTGCATGGCGCGATTGACCATGTCGCCGAGTAGGCATTGGCCTGTGCATTGACTACCAATGCTGCATCGGCAACAGGTGGCTATAGAAACTCCAGACTTCAGAGCCCTGTCCCGACCGATGACCTTTACGCAGCTCGCTTGGCTGCCCAGAATCTGTAACAGCGCAGCAGGTGGCCAAACCCTGTGCTTCATGATGCGACAGCACCATAGCCTTAGGATAGCAGCACCTTCACCCAACAATGGGGCAAATCAAAGAACTCTCCAAGAACAGCTACACCTCTCCGACCCCTTTGACAACTCAATACTCGTCTTCATCATCTCCGTCGTCATCCTCACCATCCCCATCACCGACAAGCTCGCCATCATGTCCGCCGTTCTCGTCGTCGTCGTCGTCGGCGTCGCTTCCGGGAGGGGTCTCTTCGAAGTCCTTGTCTCTCACTCCTGGCGGCATCGTGGCTCCTCCGGCCAGCATGAGCTTCTTCCACTGGCGCTGGAGAATGACGGGGCACGAGGTGTAGTCGCTTCCGCCCTTGGAGTGGAGGACCTAGAGCCACAGTTAGTGCTGGATGTGGAGAGCAGCCACCAAAGAAAAATGGCAGTACATACGTTCGCAACCAATGACCACTTCTGAGCCTGGAAGGAGTCTTCGATCTCGCGCTTGGCTTGGATCAGAATGCCCTTGTCTTCTTCGTTGAGGACAGCGAAGTTGGTCCTGTGATGCGGCGTTAGCGATGTGATCGGGAGGTACAACGGAGTTCGTCCAGGGGGAGTCCCTGGAGTATGACTTACTTCAACCTAGTATAGCGATTCGGCAAGGTGCTCACAGCGGTTGCCTCACCAGTCAAACGCTTCCACTCGGCCTTGATAGGACCCCATTCCTTCTTCTGGTCGCGCCACTCGATCAACATCTTATCGACCTCATCGCACTCCTCGAAAGTCCTAGGGATGGGTCTAGAAACTGCGTTCTTCCCCTTGTATGTTCGAGTCTGCTTCTGACGGGCCGATGCTGGTTTGACGGCCGAGGAGTCTGGAGTATCAGCAGCTGCGGCTGCTTTGCCTTTGGCTCGCTTGTTGGCTGGAGTGGCAGGATGGTCTTCTTCTGCGGCGCCTAACTTGCGCTTCTTGGCCGCGGCGGCGGCGGCTTTGCCGCCTTTGCTTGGCTTGACTGGTGGTGCTGGGCCTTCGAAGTAGTCTCTGGAGACGTTGGCGGGGGTCTTGGTGAAGGTCTCCACGTTGCCGCCGGAGACGAACTTCATGGCCGGGTTGAAGGGGTCGGCGCCGCGCTCGCTGTCGTCGATGTCCGACATGTTGCTTTGGTGTGGCAGTGTTGTGTGTGCGGGATAATGTCAGAATAGGAACGACGACTTGGTCGGGACAGCAGTGGGTTGTTGGCGGTTTGGTGCGGCGAGTGCCTCGAAGCTCTGGAACAACGAGTGTGGTTGTTGTCGCGAATTGATGATGGCTTGGTGTGCGCGTTGCCTGTCGAGATGAGTTGTCGGAGTGAGGACGGGCAGAAGATGCGGGTGGAGTCGCGTGCATGTGACAACGACGATCAATAAACTTAAATCTCGAAGTGAATGAACGGCGCGTCAACAGCGGAGAATCGCAGGGTGCCTCTTCTCACAGAATAGACTCCTCTGGAAATACCCGTGATGAAAGACAGCTGAACTATACAGTGAAGTCATCGAAAGACACTGCAGCTTTCCTGCTTCTATCATCGCATTACAGTAGATTTTCTATTCTACTACTTCGCAAACACGGCGTCAATCTGCTTGATCACTGCTTCGGTGACTTGCTTCGTATTCGCACTGCCACCCATATCCCTTGTTCGCGTTTCAGGATTACCAGTCACATTCTCTATCGCAGTCATGAACTTGTCCGCAACATCATCAAGCGAGCCCTGTCCGACCCATCGTACCATCTCTGCGGCAGACCAGAAAGCACCAACAGGATTTGCAATACCTTGACCAGCAATATCAGGTGCTGAGCCATGAATTGGTTCGAACATTGACGGGAACTGTCTAGTTGGGTCGAGATTGGAAGATGGAGCGATTCCGATCGATCCTGCAAGTGCGGCTGCAAGATCTGAGAGGATGTCGGCGTGCACTGGAGCTGGGTCAGCCTGTTCTTCATTCGACCTTGGAGGTTCCACTTACAGTTAGTTGCTACGATGACATCCATGCTCTCCGGCTTATTTACCATCCTCACAGTCATCGCATCAACGAGCATCTTGTCATGCTCCACGACACCTTCATACTCTTTGGCAACCTCGTAGAAGACCTTATCCCACAGCACCATGCCGTGTCTCTGGGCATTGCTTTTCGTCACCATAGTGAGCTTCTTTCTAGGCCTTGACTTGGCAGTCTCGAAAGCGAATCGCATGATTCTCTCGATGCCCACTCTCGTGAAGATAGCCACCTCCGTAGCAATGGTATGTGCAGAGTTCTCGTGGGTCGTGCCTCCTTGGCCGGCATATTCTCCTTCTGAGTTCTCGCGAATGATGATCCAGTCTAGATCGGCCGGGTTCTTCTGCAATTGTGCCAGAGGGGCTGTTGTTCCGGGAAGAATCCTGGTAGGTCTCACATTCACGTATTGGTTGTTCCATTTGCGAATAGGTAGGATCAGGTTCCAAAGTGAGATGTGATCAGGGACAGATGGCCACCCGACTGCTCCGAAGTAGATGGCATCGTGCTTGGCCAATTGTTGCATACCATCTTCTGGCATATACCAGCCTCGTTCCAGGTAGGCTTTTGAGGACCAGTCGAAGGTTGTGAAGTTGAACGAGAAGGTCCCCACTGTCGATGCGAGCTTGTTAAGTACTTCTACTGCTGCTTCTGTGATGTCGACTCCAATGCCATCTCCAGGAATGCAGGCAATATTGTACGTCTTGGACATTGTAAACGTGATGTCGGATGAAAGATGAAGAACGGAATGGATGAACTCAGACCTTGCTGCTATAATGTCGTTTCCTATGGCACTCTGACACTTTGTATACAAAAGAAATGCTTACCTAGGCAATGGCATCGATGTAGGGCGCGTGAAGATCAGGCTGATCGCTTAACCGGCGGGACCGCGAGAGCAGCCCCACCAGGTGCGAGATCGGCATGCGGTGCACATGTCGTCCTCGGTCGCGCTCGACGGCACTGCTTGCATTTTGTGCTCGTGCACATTTGTTTCCAGAGTGTCACAGGCAGCATGATCGGTGAAGGAGGCAGACCCTGAAATATGGCGCGGGTGGAGGAAGAGACGACGGGCAGCTCCAATGGTGCCATCCTGCAGGGGCACTCGAGACGACACGTGTGTGCGATGTGCTTTAGTTCGGTTCTGAGGAGCTAAGCTACACGAGTCCTTGCCTCATCTCTCACCGCATTGAATTTCTAAAATCATCCTGATAATTCCTCGCGAGCCCTTCGACGACCACAGCCTCTTCTGAAGCCGCTCCATCACCTCGTAACAACATGGCAGCTTATCCACCCGGCGGTACCTACTTCGACGGCAAGAAGTCGTTCACCGAAGTCAACATCGATGCCTCCAAGGGCGATGCTATCAACACTACAGAATTTCTCGAGGCCGCTGAGGCTCTGACGGGGCTCTTTGACGTGCTCGGCGGTGTAGCATTCGGTCCAGTCAAGAGTGATATTGGCGGCAACATCAAGAAGGTCCGCGACAGGCAGTTGGCAGCACCAGTGGAGGGCGAGACACTGCAGGACTTGGTCCGCAATGAGCTCAAGACGAAGAAGCACACTGCTACGGAAGGATTGGTGTGGCTCAACAGGTGCGTGCCAATTCCATGATGCTGGCAGTACTCCAAGCCTCTACTGCACAAAGTATCGATTCCACAAATCATGGTGAGCTGACACAATCTCAGAGGCCTGGACTTCACCGCCCAATCGCTCCGCCGCAACTTTGATAATCCGAACGAAGAGCTCGCTGCCTCATTCCGCGACGGCTACGGCAAGACGTTGAAGCAACATCACTCCTTCCTCGTGAAGCCAATCTTCTCCGCTGCCATGTCTGCGACACCGTACCGGAAGGACTTCTACGCAAAATTGGGCGATGATCAAGAGCGAGTGAACAAGGAGCTCAATGAATGGCTCAAGGGGTTGGAGAAGGTCGTGGCAATACTCAACACATTCCTCGCTTCGAAGGAGGCGAAGTGGTGAGCATAAATTCCTCTGAAGGATGTAGAAGACCAAGGCAGAGCAGGCATGAACAGATGAAATAAAACTTGGAAATATGGAACCAGGCTCATTTGGTGCCCCTTGCTCGATCGACCTTGAGGCCTACCCGTTGAGCGATACTATCAGCAGCTACCTATACGAGTCTTGCAGCGAAGCTCGAATCGAGTGACTGATTTATGCAGCAGATTTAGGGACAGTTCCCATTCCTACTTCTTCAGAGCACGCGACAGCATACCACAAAAGCTCTCATAGAGGACATGGTCGTTCCCTCTCAGCCATCGTACCTCTGCTTCCTCGTTCTTGCAGGTGATCTTAACCGCCAAGGCTACCTCGTCCTCTTCATCACTACTGCTCTCTTTATCTTTGGCACTCTCGGCTGCCGGTTTTGCTCGATCAGCGAACATCTTCTGCCTCCTTGCTGCTCGACTCCACACATTCGCCTTGCACTGCACGATGCCAGCGTCCAGCAATGGTCGCCACTCCCATTGAATACCGTCCAATGCGCTCAAGGCCTCGTCCAGCTTCTTGCCCAAAGACCGCGTGCTGTGAAGAGGGAGGTGAATTGTCTTCGCCGTACTTGCTGGCAATACATCCATGATCAACTCTCCGTGTCTGGCAACATCGTTCCTAGGTCGACGATCTCTGAAGCTCCAAGCCAGAGCATATCTTTTCGTTTTGTTGCCAGGATGTAACGAGGTGGTCGCAAAGTTCGTGATACCCTTCTCCTTCAGCTTCGCCACGATCTGTTGTACAGAGTGCATATGCGAGAGCATGGCGGTGTACCACTGCACGCGTTCCCGTAGTACCAGTGACTGCTCCAGAATGCGAGTAACGAACCCAACATCTCCAGCTTCACAGATCATCTCATTCTGCGCTCCTACGCAGACTGCCGAAGGCGGCTTATCATCTGTAGCCTTGCGACCAGAATCATTATACGAAGCCAAGAAATCCTTTTCTGAGGAATAAAATGGCGGGTTGGTCATGACGAAGTCCATTTCTTCCACGCCCATGGAATCGATCGGAATGAGATCCTCCTCCGCCTTCATCTTCTTGAGACGAATTCGATCTTGCAAATCGTTTGCTTCGAAATTTCGTTTCGCATGATCCAAAGAGTGAGCATCGATATCTGTGCCTGCCATTCGCCAGTTTGATCGACTCGCGCATGCCAAGAGTCCGTAGATGCATGATGCACCGACTCCAATATCCAGACCTAGAACTTCGCGTTCAGGATCGTGAATGTCGGAGAAGGAGGCTGAAGTTGTGTCGAGTAGGTCTTGCAGCCAGCGGACGTAGTTCCATCGAACTGGAATCGGCGGGCAAAGTCGGTCATCCGGGAGGGTCAAGGAGAGGCCAAAATCGTACTTGAGTAGACTCTTCGTGAGCTGTCTAGATGTGTTGTTAGTTGCAGATCGCGTGAAGGAAATACGATGTTCTCACTGAACGACCTTTGGGTCGTGAAAGTCTATCCAGCCATCTCGTTTGGCGGCTTTTGATATTGCTGCGAAGTCGTCGTCGTGCTTGGCGAGCTCGTTGAAGTCCACATCTCGCGAGTAGTAATCTTTGCGAGTCTTCTTGCGCGGTGACTCTGAAGATGGGATAGGCACGACGATTGAATTAGACATTGTTTGTGATTGAGTCGAGCTTGTGGAGCGTGCGTAGTTTGGATATCGATCAAGGGTCGTCAAATATTGACTGTATTCGACTGATACTATTCGACGACTCTCGAAGTGGTGGATTGGACTCGCCTGGCGCCTTCCACTCCTAGTCGCCATCAGGTCACAGGAAAGTGCATCGCGAAAATGCCGCTCCTCACATGAGGAAGATCCATCGTATCAGCTTCATGAACTGCAAGCGATCCACAAGCGACCGATATACACCAGGCCGTGAGTCACCCTGAAGGAACCACTTGTAGGCCTCCTTCCATGCATCAGTCCCTCGCTCATCCAGAACATCACCGTGACAGGGAACAATGCGCTCAAAATTCCACTCAGCGACCAGTTTCGCATCCCTCCTCATAAGCAAATAGTCTACAGTCGCAATGTACCAAATCAATCTCCTGAACCAGTTCGATCTCGCATGCGCCACTTGAGCAAAAGCCCACGATCCAGGTCCTTTCGAAGCAGAACTCGTGTCATATTGCTCGTAGCATGGCAAGTTCATGAGAAGATCTGATTGGAACAATGTCTTGGTCGGCTTGTGGAACCAAGCGATGCAGTACGTGGTGAAACCTTCGAAGAGAACGGTCTCCATATCTTCTGCGAAGCCCAACACGTCTTCAACTTTCTGATTTCTCTCCGAGTATATGAAATCCCAGTCTACGTCCTTCCTCTTGCCAGCGAGGCCTGGGACGCCTATGGTCTTCGCGTTTGGCCATATCTTGAGGTAATCTGCAACGTACATGTGGTGACCAAGGTCGCATGCTAGCAAATGTACGCCGCCTAACTCTTCTAGCTTGTGTTGTATACTAGGCTCGAGCTTGATAGGATTTAGCAGGAGGACGCGTCCATCTTGGAGTCGGATCGCACTGGCGCGGTTGCCGACTGCTACGAAGGTCGGAAGGGAGCGGCCTAGAGGTGCGAAGCGATTGAAGGGTGTTGTGAACGTCGTGATCGCGGGTGAAATATCTCTGATCTTTAAGCCTTCGGAAGGCATCACTTATATCTCAAAATATTGTCATGCTGTAGCAAGTCAGTGTGAGGCATGCATGCACATGCAACTTGTTGCTGTGCTATTCGTCTGCAATGTCGTCGTCATCATTGCCTCGCGGTCTTGGATCTGGTCTCCCAGCCGTCTTCATGTGAGACAGTACAATACGGCCCCGATGGATCTTCGCATGCGTAGCTCACGAGATGCGAATGCTGAGGATGTTGTAATGGAGACTCGCTGAAGATGTGCAGCTTGAGGCCATTGGCCGATTGCTGACATACACCTCACCTACCTCCCACGCGCTTCTGCGCGACACTTGACTCCGAACACACCAATACCATGGACAACATTCAACTTGCACCGCTTCTGCTCGTACCTGTCGTCCTATACATCATATACCGCCGAATCGAGAGTCGCAGCCAAACATGGTCGACCAGAGATCTTGATAACAAGAACCGATGAAAGCCGCCTCAAAAGTTTCATCCACCACATCTTAGCACACAACATGGCCTCATCATGGAGACGCACATTCAGATACATTCTTCTGCCAGCGCAGATAACCGTATGCAGCATCATCTTCATCAACGACAACCTCTTCGAAGTCCTCGCCGTAACCGGCGCTTCCATGCAGCCGACCCTCTCACCACGATACCGCGTCGATCGCTCACGAGATTTCGTTCTATGGGATAAATACGCGCCGACCCAAGACTTGAAGCGCGGAGATCTAGTCCTCTTCCACGCGCCGCACGCGCCTGAGAAACTGAGCGTCAAGCGGGTGATAGCATTGGGCGAAGACACAGTCCTGCTGGATCCGAGACGGAGACCGGAAGACACCATAAACGGAGCTGTCAACGACGCCGCGAAAAAGTGGGACAGGATATTCTATACAAACAAAGGAAGAGTTCCTGTGCCGGAAGGACATGTATGGGTGGAAGGAGACAATTGGCGGAGATCAAACGACAGCAATGCATATGGTCCGATCTCAACAGGTCTGATATTAGGCAAAGCGCGGTTTCTGGTCTGGCCACTGCAGCAGTTTGGTGGGAAGCCGTGGGAGCACTGGACGACGAGGAGGACAAAGGTTGTACCTCCGCAGCCGAAGAAGAACGATAATGCGGGGGAGGCAGAGAGTTGGTGGCAGCCTGTCTGAAATTATACGTGGGAGAAGTGATCGGAAAGAGATGATTGAGATCATCAATAATGGGCGACATTCCCTGCGCTCGCACTCATACCCACGCTTCGCGTACTGTATGAGCACTTGCATGCTCGTCCAAAACGACCCAACTCAATCCGAACAGCGACTATGTTGCTCGCAAGAATCAGCCTCAGCGCCGCCCTCAGATGATTCCGAGAACCGCTGAGGCATTTGGAGGACACGAAACCAGCCTAGGAAATACATTTCCGAGTCCAGAGGAATTGTATCGATACGCTAGCCATCGAATGATAATCAGAAGAGAAAGAGACAGAACCATGTGGGTATGAATCTAGTATCTGATCTGATTTGTGCAATGACTCCGACCTCCGGCGCTACATTGGCGCCTCTATGTTCTATCCGGACCAACGATAGCAATCTTGCACAGACCTTCTGTCTATTGTCTAGATTTGTGGCAGTACGGACGTCCTTCGCGTGGTCTGCATATGTTGCATATCTTGCAGTTCGATCGAATACCTCATTGTCTGAGAGCTTCTACAGGACGACACGTTTAGATAACGCTTGGTGTTGATGAGCTTCGCAACTCGCATCTCGTATCAAACTTCGGCTCTCGGGTATCTGGCCTTATGGTGTAGCAGAAGCTCAAGCCCGACTTTCTACACGCCCAAACAGTTGTGCTTTATCGCAGCACGATCGGCTTTCTCGATCCTGCTAAGGCATAAATACGATAGCAAGGGCTTGGCTGTGGCTTGGTGCATCTGGAGAGAAACCCGGACTTCAGTTCCTGAGCAATTGTTGACCTTCACCATCTGTGGCACGGTTCTTTCTGCCATGGACATTGAACTCTACACATGCCGACTTCCGCATAGTCGATTTACAACCAATGCCAATTGTCTTGACGCCCCAAAGTAAACAATTTTAGCTTCGACCACATTACGCAACTTCCTTCACGTCCAAGTCAGATCTCCAGCATCACGTCGGCATGGCACTCTATACAAGCTCGCAGCTCAAATATAGCAGCGATACCATTAGCCCGGCACATCCGCAGCGGCATTAGCTTCTGTGGTCGAAATCCTCACGTTGGCGCGTGAGCAGGCTAAATCGCTTGGTATACCATTGGCGACTCACCTTTCCAGCCACCTTTTGTCCCGATTAGGCAAGATGTCAACTTCAATGGGAGACCAACTGCGAAGCTCCACGGAAAAGGTGCCTGGGAAGGATTTATTTCCAAGATCATGCAGTCATAGCTGGGAGTTTGTATGGCGGGGAAAATGAGCATGCGAAGAGCATTGCAAGGTTGATATAGCACGGTCGTGTGCTTGTCTAGAGGGAAGAGTATATTGCTTGCAGTGCTGCACAGGCTGTTGCTGGTTTCACAGCATACTCACTGACCTTCGTTCGTCAATCTAATAACTAATTACGGGCTCAAGATGCCTTTCACTCGTTCCGGGGCGGCAATTGCTTGCCTTGCAACGGCATTCGAGCTTGTTGCTGCTCAAGGTGGACCCGGTTCCTGGGGTCCTTCGATACCGTTTCCAATAGTGACAGTTTCCGGAGCCATTGCGCCTGACACAGGGAACCTCATTGTCTGGTCAAGTCGCGATCGGGATTGGTCAGGCGATGGCAATGTCGGGCAGACCTTTTCTGCGGAGTACAACTGGAGGACTGGAGCAGTCAACGAGCGTCTCGTGTCACAGACAAACCACGATATGTTCTGTAGTGGTGTCTCCATGGGTCATCAGGGCGATATTCTAGTCACTGGAGGTTCTTCAGCAACTCGTTCGAGCTTCCACGACTGGAGGACACCAGATGTCTGGAAGCCAGGGCCAGAGCTTAAAATTCCTCGCGGATATCAAACACAGACGACTTTGAGTGACGGCAGAATGTTCTTGATCGGTGGCTCATGGAGTTCTATGACTGCTGGCTGGTGGACCGGCGTCAATGGAGGCAAACATTCTGAGATCTGGGATCCTTCGACAAACGCTTGGGAGCTGCTGCCGGGTATTCCAGTTGATCCGATTCTCACTGACGACTGGGCGGGCTTGTATCGATCTGACAATCATGCGTGGCTGCACACTTGGAAAGATGGTTCAGTGTTCCACGCCGGGCCCAGCAAGAGGATGAACTGGTTCTATACAAATGGCGAAGGCAGCCATGCTCCAGCTGGCGAGCGAGATGGTGTAGATGCTATGTGTGGCTTCAGTGTAAGTACCATCCTGGCTCCGAATCTGTTGGGCCCGATGCTGATATGAGCAGGTCATGTATGATGCTGTCGCAGGAAAGATCCTGAGTGGCGGTGGTGCTCCCAGCTATGAGGAGTCCGCGGCCATAACCAATTCGCACATCACAACAATCAACGAAGCATCGGGCATCGCTCAGGTCAAGCAGCTGAAGGGCCTGAACCGAGGACGCATCTTCGGTGATGGCATTCTTCTTCCCACCGGGCATGTACTTACGACTGGTGGCATGTCGTGGGGCAAAGTCTACACCGATGCAACGGCCGTCACCGTGCCTGAGATATGGGATCCTGTTACTGAAGAGTGGACTGAGCTGGCAGATGAACTTACTCCTCGCACATACCACTCTATTGGCGTGCTGCTCCAGGATGGCACTGTCTTCAGTGGCGGCGGTGGTCTTTGCGGTGTTGTGTGCGTCAATGGAATCAACCAGTAAGTCTTGAGGCGCAGAAGGATTTGATCGTGATCGACACTACTGACCATGTTTAGCTTCGACGGCAAGATCTTCACACCGCCCTATCTGTCAGGTGGTGAAGGTACCCGACCGACGATTGATTCCACGAGCACCCAAGATGTTCCAGTTGGCGGCACATTGATCGCCACGCTGGGCGCTAACCCGGACAATGCCACTTTTTCTCTGGTCAGACTTTCCACTGTGACACACGTCGTGAACACTGATCAGCGCCGAGTGCCATTGACCCCAGTCGCTCGAAAGGGAAATTCGTATACGCTGCAGCTGCCAGGCGACGCAGGAGTCTTGCTTCCAGGCTACTGGTATTTGTTCGCAATTAGTTCCGCTGGCGTACCGAGCGTTGCACAAATTATCAAGGTTCATATTTAATAATGTTTATAGCATTCGGCGTAGCAAGACGCAGGATAACGATGTAACGATGCATGAATGGAAACGGAAACGATTCTCTTGATTGCTCTTCGACACCTTCCGCAAGTAAATGTGCAACGGATGTGCGTCGTGCCTGGCATCCTTGGGAAAGACTCAGTACCATATCAGCAGCTGGCCGGGTCTCTCAGGACTTGCCTAATCCGAAAGTCAAGTCGTGGATCCAGTACAGCTTCGGTATAGTAGAGTAGACCCTGACTTGGCGAGAGCAGAGACCTAAGTAGCTAACCTGAGATCTGCAAGCATCACAAGCGTGACCAGACAGCAAAGACGGAGATTGCCGAAGCCTCAAAACTACTCGAACAAATCATATAGAGCACTGCCGACCAGTCGCAAAATGCCAATGGCATTTATACTCTCTGCATGTAAGCATACTTGTGAAGATCGTGTGCTGACGGGATTAGCTTTGTGTCAGTCGCTCCGCCCAGCACATCACATGAGACTACTAAGACCGCAAAATGCGATCGTTTACCTGAAAAGTCTTGGATCTGCTGCTGATTCAGGAATAAACTCGTCCTTTCAAAGCTCCTGATCTGGCGGTGAACCTTGTTATACTGAACCCTGCATATCAAGCCAAGCATACCATGAATCTCTTTGACTTCATACCAGAAAGTGTATGCTCTCCCCAGGCATCGTCGTTTCCTCAATCCGGCAGGCCAGGGAAGAGAACGATCATCTCCTTCATGGTACGTATTCTGCCAAGGGTGAGCTGGACCATTCACTTAACCACACCGGTGCTCAGGAGAACGGAACATGGCTTGGAGCTTCAGACGGCCAGGACAACGGCGTCTTGTCTCCGGTCAATCATGGCGGGATCAGGTCAGGATCTTCCAGCTCCTGTTGGTACCGTAGCATCCAGGACACGAGAAAATCCTGCGTCCCCTCACACAACGACGCGGGTATAGCGACTTGCCCAAGAATGAGGAAGGAGCCGGTGGTCTTCGCAAGGAAGAAATGAAACCACAAGATGCTGATCGCAGGGACTCTGTCCTAGGGCAGATGAGCGAAAAGAAGATATATAAGGGCGTAGAATGTCCTGCTTTCTCAACACATCAGCAATAACTCAAGAAACCAAGGGCAAAGACTTTCCAACACCAACAGCCAACTTCCCCCAATCAACCAACATGCAATTCACCTCGATCATCGCTGCCGCCGTGGCTCTCGCCGCCGGTGTCAATGCCCAACACTCCTTTACCGCTTGGTCCAGCACGGGATACACTGGAAGGACTACCCGCACTGGCGCTCAGTAAGACTTTCTGAAACTCTGTGTAACATTGACAGAATTGCAATACTGATGTATTCTCTTACAGCGGCACTTACAACCTGGGCTTCACTGCTGCCTCTTACCGCTACAGTAGTGCCCCGGGCGATGGCTGCTGCGCCAAGACTTGTATGAACAGAAGGGTATGCTATTCGGGCTGCGATTTTTCCGATTCAGAATGAGATGCTGACGTTTTGATTCTCAGGAGACGGGCTCTTTCTGCGGTTCGCGTTCCAATGAGAATGTTGCCAGCTCCAACCGCTTCAACAAGGTGGTCATGGGATGCGGTAGTGCCGTGCTGAACTGCTAGATTTGTTCTCGATCCAGATCGGTGGTAGCTCGGCATGCAGTGTTGAGCATAGAAACCTTCGATCTGATAGAACGAACTCAATACAATGATGAAGCTTGTGGAAGTTACCTCATCTTTAAGAGTCCTTTCAGTTGGTTCTTCCAGTTTTCAAAACGCAATATCAAGTTGTCTCTTGTTCTGGCCAAGGGCCTGATACGCGACTGATAGGAACGCAATGCAGTAGCTGGCACGTGAAGCAGCTTCATGTAAGTGCACAGTGCTGTGCTGTAGTTTTGGGCGGTTATCGTTATCATGCTTCCATGCTCTTCAACGGCAGCCACCGGATTACTTTATCTGCGTATGTTCGCGTACCAGCCGAGCATATTCTGCCAGACTTCTTCCTATGAGGTCCACCATCGGCCACGGACTATTGTGATGGGAAAAGAGTCTAGCCCAGATGTCTGCTATGCGGACAGCTAGACTGCGAGCTAGAGCCGCAGTACCAAGTTCCGACGCGACGCGTACGGTCTGCATCTCCACGACATCTATTATCGGGTCCAGTGACTCGTCGATTTCGTCCGAGATACGGTGCAAGGTCTTGAGTATGTTGAGTTCACAATCTGTCAGCGGAAAGTGGCCCGACGACTCGGCAACGCTCAATAGCCATTTCGATGTGAAAACAGCAGCTTCGAGATAGCACAGAAAGATCGATAAGTCCCAATGTAAGAAATTGCTTCGTGTGATCCATTCTAGGCCCAATTTGACGGGGATGTATAGCGCTTGCGTGGCATGTAGTAAAGCCGGAGCAAGTGATGATGAGCGTTGAGGTAGAGGTGACTCGTGGAGGCTTCTTCCAATTTTTGCAACGTCCCACGAAGCAAGATGTCTGCGCGATGCATAGTTTGTGCAGAGGCGGATATAGGCTAGACCTAGGTACGAGGTTGAGGTAAAGGAATTTGAGCCGTCAGGATTCCGTGGATCGAGCATGGATTCACGGGCCTGTTGCCAAGCCAAAGTCCATCTCTGGAGAGCTGATCTGTGGCACGGCGTAAGCTGAGAGTGATGGGTGGGCTGGCCCGGACACAAACTTACTGTATCTCACTCGCGTCCCCATCTCTGACGGGGCCTTGGTCGCCCACGAGCTGCATTTGCCGCCCGAGATAGACCCTTTGCAGTACAGCAACCATCAACACCAGGTTCGATAGCGGTGAATGTAGACCTTGAGGAGTCGTTGCTGAGAAGAGAGCTGCCAGAGCCTCTTGTACGTGGGTCACAGAAGTACCGCTCTTTCTGGCTTGTAGCCACGCAGACTGTGACGGAGCTGTCCACTCTGCCGTCGATGATGGTAATTGTACATCGAGCTCACTCACGAGCAACGATGGAGGTACATCCAAAGCGGTGCTGAAAAGATGCAGGACAACGTATATGCAGCACACAGTGCGCCGTCGCCCTTCAGCCAGTATCCATCTCTGCCAGTCACGCTGCTCACTATGCTCGATCGCTCGGCGGTCGCGAGCAAAGTCTTGCAATATCTCCCTCAACTCGGGTGAGTTCTGCATAGTTTTGCAGTTGTAGTGCAACAGTGCGAAGTCTGTGAGTAACAACGCCGCCTGTGCAGTTCGAAGCTTCTCTTCTGATGTAGCCACACTGGTTTGCCTCCACTTCGCCAATGTGATCCTCGTGGCCACATGCCATGTCCGCAGAGCTGTCCTGGTCTCGTATTTGCAAGCTGCACCACATGTGGCAAGAGCCAGGACGAGCTCAGGCGCACTTGTACAAATAGTCTGAGGCCGAAACGTACTGGCGTGGATCATTGGAAAATGGTTATGGAGCTCATCGAAGTACGCAGCAATATATCGTCCGAGTGCAAGGCGAGATGGGACTTGGTAAGCTTCCTCTCCGTTTCTGTACACACTTGATATTCGTTGCAGCTCCTCTCTTTGAGCCGTCGAGAATCCCCAGGGACAAGGCATGGGTCGCAGTTCTTTCAATTCATCCGCGTCGGCATCGGCGAACTCCATGCTTTTGGCACCCCTTGCTACATCCTGGCACTGGTACGAGTCATGCTGTTGCGGTGCATTTGGATGTCTATGTAGCATCAACATTTCTGTGCGACCATTGGGAGCAGGAGTTGGTTCATGGTTCGGTCCACCTGTGAAGAGATCCAGCTCGAACGGTCCGTTCATCCCCATCGTGGCGATAAAGGAGTCGAAGTCGTTGAATACATCTGACCCAAAGACATCCAAGTCTGGCAGAGGTTCGAACTGATCGACCGAAAGAGCTATATGAAAGTCAGCTGGCAACACAAGCTCGCAGGCCATATAGCGGCACGTACGCTCGGAGTGGAAATTGGAGTCGTGCATGCTGATTTCTGCTGCCGAGCCAACTGCGCCAGTTGTGCCAGTTCCCAGCCCCACGCCAAATTCTGGCACGGATGAGGGGGCCGTGATGGCATCCTGAGGAGTAGCACTTTCAGTGGTCTCAGGACTGGGCGTAAGGAGAGTGTCTAGGTGTCTTCCGATCTGTTCATGCCGTTTGAGTAAGTCTTTTCTTGTGAAAGACTTACCGCAATGGCAACGGAAAGATCTTTCATTCGTGTCTACGTGCCATGATCAGACATGTCGGCTTCGTTGGGGTATGGCGAAGCTGTACGAGTTGTGATGTGCCGCCGTAGATGTTCAAGTCTCGCGAAGTTCCTCTTGCAGTACGAGCATGTGTGCGACCTTGATGGCATCTCGTCTGTTGTCTGTGTGTAACGAACAGGCTATGTTGCTTGGGAAGTGCGAGGTCGTGGTGAGGTTGGAGGCGAGAAGGTTGGAGTACTCCAAAAGTTGGGGTCGCTGATTCAGCATCGTCTGCCAAGGTAAAAGGCTTTCCTTCGGCGACTCCAACAACACCATCATCAGCTTTCAGCAACGAGCGTTCTCAACACCTTTCGTGACTAGGGCTCCATCTTCTGCAAGATGATTTTCCGTATCGCTTACAAATTTGAGCGTGCAATCTTGGAGATTTTGAAGCTCCAGCTTTTCAACATGTTGCTCATAAGGCCTGTAGGTTTTGTTTCTCGCATCTCTCCAACGTAAGTCCGATCAAGCACGATGACTTTCAAAGACATCATACGCGATAGCCCTACTGGAGAGCTGTTACGATTGGTAGCTCCTCGATTGCTACCTTACCCAGAAGAGTCCCCTGGATTCACCTACAGCAGCCCAGACTCAGATCGGTCATCAGACGAAAAGGAATACCCAGGAGAGAAGGGCTCCATTGGAACCGAGTTGTGCGACTGGTATGGCGTCAAAGACCCCGCAAACCCCAAGAATTGGTCATTAGCGAAGAAATTGTGGGTGACAGCCAACATTCTGGCCTGCGCCTTCGTGGTGTATATGTCAGGGCCAATTTGGTCACCCAGCCATGAGATGTTTGCTGAGGAATTTGGCGCCGGCTACGAATACACCTCACTTGGCTTGGCACTTTATACGTAAGTATTCATGCGCAGCGTTTCTCGCAGCACACGACAGCTGAGGCGCAAGATACAGACTTGGCTATGGGATCGGACCACTACTGTTCTCCCCTCTCAGCGAGATCCCTAGCATCGGACGCAACCGACCTTACATCGTCACCTTCATCGCCTTTATGCTGATCACGATTCCTACGGCACTGGTCCGCAATGCACCGGCCTTCATGTTCTTTCGGTTCTGGCAAGGCTTTTTTGGCAGCCCCATCCTGGCCACAGGAGGTGCGAGCATCGTTGATATCTTCGACGAGATACACGCGCCAATTGCGCTGAGCACTTGGGGAGCAGCGTGCTTCGTTGCACCGCCCGTCGGGACCATCATCTCTGCTGCGGCTGTCACGCATCTAGGGTGGCGGTTCTCGATCTGGGAGACACTCATTGCTTCCGGTCCAGTTCTGGCCATGATGCTTCTGTTGCCCGAAACGAGTCCCGACACGATCTTGTACTATCGCGCAGAAAGACTTCGTAGAGTCACTGGCAACGACAACATCCGATCCAGATCTGAAATTTCTCAGCGTGGCATCACGGTGAGGACGATAGTGGTCGACTCGCTGCTTGTACCATCAAGGATTACGCTAATGGACCCTGCTGTGCTCTTCATCAACATCTATCTCTGTCTCATCTATGGCGTCTATTATTCCTTCTTCGAGTCATTTCCGATCGTCTACCAGGGTATGTATGATTTCCCGCTTCTCGGACTAGGCCTTGCCTTCCTGCCGCTGGCAGTTGGTACTGTCTTCTCGGTTTCTGGATATTTGGCTTTTCTTATCCTGGATAGAGTAAGTGGTCTGAACCCAACCGTCAAATGGCGTGAGACTAACCAGCAATCCAGAAACCTCGTCTGGAAGCTGGGCAGGACGTACAACCTGAGCATGTTTTGATACCAGCTATCGTTGCGTCCTTCCTACCTCCCGTCGGACTTTTACTGTTTGGCTGGAGCTCAGACCCCAGCGTGCATTGGATAGTCTCTATGGTCGGGATCGCACTGTATCCAGCAGGAGTCTTCACAGTCTTCCAATCTTTGTTGAGCTACCTGGCGGCCTACCAACCACGTTTCACGGCGAGCTTGTACGCGGCGTCGGATTTTACAAGAAGCTCATTCGCTTTTGCGGCGATTCTGTTTGCACGGCCGATGTTTATAGCAATGGGTATTGGTGGAGGTTGTAGTCTACTTGCAGGACTGATGATTTGCTGTATCTTTGGGATGGTGGCGATATACCACTTTGGTCCAAAGCTGCGCAGTCAATCAAAGTTTCGAGCCAGTTGGTAGTACTGTGGGACGAGTGAGGGAGCGCCTTGCGCATCCTTCAACAATCTGCAGGTTCTTCAATGTGGCGAAGACCTGCCTTTTTTATAGAGATAGATGCTGAAGTTAGAGTAGATAGAGACATGAGCTGTTGTTCGGAAGACATCTGGTGTCGTTGTCCAAGTCTGCACCGATTTGATGCAGCATTGCCCATAATGCGGTGGTATCACTTCCCGTCGGGTCATTCAGAGGCTTGAAACAGCACTCAGAAGGTCTTGTAGCGGTTTGTTGTAGTGCTCCGTTCAGCATGGAATCACTCGAAAGCTCGGCCATGCGTCCGCCAAGCAGAGAAGCCAGAGTTCAGACATCTCGACCTGTCAAACGAGTCGGCTCGCAGACATCAGGACATCATTTTCGGTGCTCTGAATTATCGAAAGCATGTGGACTGTGCATGAGGGGTTACAAACAGAGATGTGTAGATGTGAGGACGTGAAGATGTTGGAGCGGAATGCGAGACCGCATGCCAAGGCGCTAAAACTCAACTTCGTCTCGTGGTCGAATTTGGTGAATCGAGCATGCAACCCAATTCTTTCGATCAAACAATGCTGTGCAGCAAGAAACTGTTCCTCGCGAGATACTGATCTCTTTGGAAGTACGCTATAGCTGTATGGATGAGGAAAAATAGCTCAATTGCACGGTCCCGAATATACCTCGTGACGGTCACACTAAATTGGGTCTCCAGGTTTTTCCGACCGTGGTACTGCTTGGCAAAAGATGGGTCAATCTGATCTGTTCTTTTCGGTTCGGACAGTCAAAAGCTCTCCAAGAAGTCCCCGGTACTCAATGTCATCTCCAGCCGACGTGGAAGCAGTATACGAATGCCCCACGGTCGATCACAAGCTACTATCATCCAAAGCTGCTCTGTACGATTCCATCCGAGTATCAGCTTAACCTGAATGTCGCTGGCGCCAAGAAATAGCTTTTATATTAGATCTAATGCAATTATAGGCATCCAATCACACGGTGAGATGGCCGAGCGGTCTGTGAGTATTCACTTCTCTCCAACACCAACCGATCAATCTTCTAACAATTACTAGAAGGCGCTAGCTTAAGGCAACCATTTAACGGTGTTATTCGCTAGTCCGAAAGGGCGTGGGTTCGAATCGTGAGTTGCAACAAACCGTTCACAAGATTGGGTTGCAAAACTAACAATTGCTAGCCACTCTCATCAACACACGATTGTTTCTTTTTGCCAATTGAATGCACACAGGCATACCCTGATCGTAGGCTTCCTTTTTGCTATGTCGGAGGCCATGCAAGCCGTTCTGGACGCTCGCAGCGGATCCATATTGCAAGGTGAATACAACCCCCTCACAGAAGAGACAACGATGCCCTTTGCATTTTGCTACGCTTGGACATCTTTTCCAGCTTCAGAGAAAGGCCTTCCATCCCTGAGTCGCTAGTATGGGACTCTTCAACTTGGCCTTGGTGGTGCAATGCAGACGAAAGGAATTTCCTGCGCTAGGCTGGCACCACGGTTCAACTCACCACGAATGGAGCATCATTCAGATCATTATGCTCTCTCCGGCTCTACCCACGATTGAGACTCGTAATTCATGCTCTCGGGATCTGCTAGCATCGACATTCACAAGCCATCGAAAAATAACGAAAATCCCCCACACCACAATTTGCATTACAAGAACGACAGAGGTTCTCCTTCACAGTAATACCAATCGCCTTTTATGCCTCGAATGTCCATCAACGCCACGAAGCGTAGGACTGGACTCATTACTCCACGCATATACGCCTTAGTCATCAAATGGGCGCACCAGCCAAGACAATAACCGAACGCCCGCTTCTTCCAACATCGAAGCTAGGAATTGCGCGATTCGAACTTTGCAGGAGATCTGCCAATCATGCAAGTACTTCACCTGTCCGTTAGCCTCCCTGAAAAGAGAGTAAGTCTACCCTGGTCCATTGTTAACTTACTCTTATGCTCTACGGTCAAGTCAACATGCATAGGCGAAAATAATCGGATCCATTTCTTATCGTCCATTCATCGTTTGCCACTGTCTCCACATATACTGGCAACAACTTCACCTACCAGGAATCGAACACAAGATGTTCACTCGCAAGGAACCTGCCATGGCAACGAAGGCATACGATGGAGCCTACGTAGAATCGCCCGATGGCGAAGGACAAGTTCAACCGCGAAACGATATGGACCCCGACAGCGGCGTAAAGCGTGGCCTGAAGAATAGACACTTGAGCATGATGGCTTTAGCCGGTATCATTGGACCCGGCTTGCTCGTTGGAAGCGGCCGCGCGCTGCAGACCGGAGGTCCTGCGTCTCTGCTGATCGGATTCGGCGTCATTGGGATTATCGCTTTTAGCATCATGCAAAGTCTCGGGGAAATCACCACTCTCTATCCCGGCGGAGGTTCTTTCGTGTCGCTGGCTGATCGATTCGTGGACAAGGGGTTCAGTGTTGCTGTAGGATGGGTAAGAAACCCATCGCACAATTGATCGCGCGGTTCAAGGCTGACAATAATGGCAGAACTACTTCATCATCTGGGCCGCAGTCCTGGCGAACGAATACAATGTCATTTCCAGCATCATGGTCTTTTGGAGTGACGCGGTTCCACTATGGGGCTACTTCCTCATCTTCTGGACTGTCTTCCTCGGATTTCAACTTCTCGGCATTGAAGCTTTCGGGGAAGCCGAATTCTGGCTTGCGTTGATGAAACTCGTTGGTCTGACCGCGTACTTCATCTTTGCCATCATCTACGCTTCTGGCGGCTTGATTGGACAAGACGAGCCTCTTGGGTTTCGCTACTGGCGTGATCCGGGTTCCTGGAACGATAATGGATCCCGCGGCGTAGCGGCCGTCTTCGTTTTCTGCTCCACGTTCTACGCTGGCGTGGAGAGTGTTGCTCTCGCCGCAACGGAAACTCGCAATCCAAGTGTAGCGGTCCCGCAAGCAATTCGACAAGTCTTCTGGCGTATCATCTTCGTCTACATGGGCTCGGCTTTTTTCTTCGGCCTCACATGTCCCGCAGACGCAACTCAGCTCGTCGAGGGAGGCAGCCGTTCTCTCCAGTCACCTATGACGGTGGCCATTCAGATCGCTGGCTGGCAAGGTGGTGTCCACCTCATCAACGCCTTCATCCTCATTACCTGTCTTTCTGCGTGTAACTCCTCCATCTACATCGGATCGCGAACAGTTCTCTATATGGCGCAATCAGGGCAAGCTCCGCGCTTTTTCGGCTATACGACAAAACGCGGTGTCCCAATCTACGCCATACTTCTTACCAACGCCGTCGGATCGATCAGTATGATGAATGTCAGTACTGGTGCGAGCAAAGCATATTCGTACATCGTCAACCTGAGCGGCGTTTCGACTTTCCTCGTCTGGGCATCGATCAGCTTCATCCATATCCGTTTCCGCGCAGCCTGGAGAACTCAAGGACGATCGATCGAAGAGTTGCCATATAAATCTCTCTGGTATCCATGGAACGCATACTTTGGCGTCGGCGCGAATATATTCTTGGCTTTGATCCAAGGCTGGACGACATTATCTCCATTCGATGCGGGGACTTTTGTCGATGCTTATATTCTGTTGCCGTTGTTCCCCATCATCTGGCTTGTTTTCAAGTACATCAACAAGACACGATTTTGGCGATCATATGAGATTGATTTGGACCAGGGGAGGAGGCTGGATCTGGATGTGAAGCAGACGGGATTTGGCACTGACAAGACGAATTCTTTTTGGACAAAGGTGAAGAGGAGTTTTTAGAATGCTTTAATCAACGTACCTTTTTCTGGGGCATTTGCCAGAGTTCCCCAGTGCATCGTTTTGGCCCACGGGCGACGACACACGTCACACAGTCTGGAACAGCGCAACAGCTTTCTGTGGACACCGGACTAAGGCTGAATAGCGCCACGTGATGCGTGTGAACCATCGTGTGTTGAAGGTATGCTCCAAGCACCTCCATTGTCGTGATACCAGTGAGATTCTGTCTGATGTGAGCCATGGCGGACGAACTCAGCAGAACCGTATTGCATTTCTCAAAGTCATCAAGACCATATTCGCAACAGCCTCCACTTGATTCTGGCATCTGGTTTCACATTCAGCACCCGCACGTTCTGTCATAATTACGTGAGATCTGGAAATGGGACGATGAAGAATCCACCACTCTCTTCGCGATCCAGACTGTGTGTGCAAATTCAAGCGCCGAAAAAGCTGAGGCAAGGAATCTCGCTTGGTACATGAAACAATTCTGTAGATGCTTATAGTACAGGCCAGTGCGTTTTGCAGTCCTGACAGTTGCGCCTCCAACGCCGTGCTGCCACTGCCAACGGTTACCGCCTCCTGAGGTACCAATTGAAGCCAAGCGCCATGGTTTCTGCAGAGAAAGGAGTGGGCACCTCGGCCAAGCCAGGTCTCGCAACCGGATGCCGCAGATATACAGCCGAGCAAATGTTTTGGTTCACCTCCAGATACCGAGGAATGAAGGCAAAAGCGCTCATAAATTCTCGGGGTTCCCACGGCGTGGCGTATGGTTTACTCGCATCAATCGGGTTCGATCGCGCTCTCTCCAATGCAGCATGTAATAGTTCGGCATCTTTTCTTGCACGATAGGCATCCTCCTTTCCAAGTTGAGCCTGTGGATCCGAGCTGGTTGTTTCAGCGGCCGGCTGCTCGCTCTCAGGCGTTGCATCTTGCGGGACTTTGGTCAAGATCTCGGCAAGCGCAGTCTCGAAGTCTTCCACAGTCTGCTCCGCCGTGGGATCTTCCATGCTCTTGATCTTCGAAAATGTCGTCTTCAGCTCTTTTGTAAAGGCTCGCAGCTCCTGTTGTCGCTTTGCGGACAGTTTCATCTTCGACTCGTCCAGTATAGTCTTTGCGCGACGCATGAGTCGCTTCAGCTCCGTGCTGTAGTTCGTGGCTGTAGCATCGTCGTCGGCCTCAGTCTCGGTAGCCTCCGCCTTTGGCTCTAAAATCTCGTCCTCTGCACTCCGTGCCACCTCTTTCTTGGCTGCCTTTGTCTCGGCCTCCGCAATTCCAGCTTCACGCCTCCTCCTCGCCTCTTGTGTCGACCTTGGGCTGCTAGACTTGAACTTTCTGGCACCAGTGGCAAACATGACCATCTCCGGGTCCACGCTGAACATGTCGCCGGGATTGAGTTGGTAACCAGGATAAATCATCTTCTTGCCATTGACCTTGACGAATCCATGGACCACAAATTGTCGCGCCTGGCTCACACTGGACGCAAATAGCGCGCGATGTATCGCCGTGTCTAGTCGTCTCTCCAGAGGCCAGAATGTCATATGCATGTATGGTGTCTTTTGAGGCCGATCTTGTTCGTCTATTGTCCTCGGGTCCTTCTCCTTGCCCATTCCTCGCCCACTGGCCATCTCCGAGCCATCGTTCGCAGCCAAATATCGGTGGTCCATGGGTACGACGGCGGGTAATCGTCTATCGAACATTCGTGTCCACGTCCCTTCCCGAACAAAGGGATTGTGATATGAACGTGCCATCGCCTTTGCCGCCCATTTTTGCTGGAAGAACGTCTTGTTCGCTGCAGGCGGAGTCGTCACGCGCGATAAATTGTAGAGATTCCATTTCGACCAGTCCTGCCGCACTCGCTACCCTGGAGTTAGACAATAGTAGTAATCTGTGTGAAAGCGCAACCATACCGGTATCTTCAGCTGGTGTATCTTCTTCGTGCGCGGCATCTTGGGCGATGCATCGGATGTTCACTTCACACTCAATGCTCACTCCTGCTGCACGCCAAAGTTGCGGGAGCGCGGAAGTGAGGCCTGAATCTTGTCAGGCAGCAAGAGCTCGCTTGGTGCGATAAGATAACTTTAAACTTTCCCCACATCGCAAAGCTCGTGTAATTTTCGACCCGCATGAGAGCTTCTTCTCGATTTACTCACCGAAGCCTCACTTGCCGGTCACAATCTGCCAACTTACATAGCGCGCGGTGACTGATACCTCAAATTCTGACTCATCACAGTTCTATATCTTTCACGGCACCTATCATCCATTGAACAGCTCTGCGACATCTCCAACAATGGCTGAGACCGCAGCCGAACCGCAGGCCGCTGCGCCAGAGCAGAAGGCGCAAGAATCAAAGCCAGCTGAGGCTACCAACGGCACCACAGAACAGACCAATGGCAGCGACGACAAGGCCACAGAGAAGAAGAATGCAGATGATGACGATCACCGTCACCCAGACAGACGTCGGGGATCTCGCGACGACGGCGACAAGCGTGATGGCAGAAATGGACGCGACAACCGTGATCGCTGGCAAAAGGACCGCGGTCGTGGACGTGGCGGTCGCGGGGGTAGAGGCGGTCGAGGCGGGCGCGGTCGAGGTGGCGGCGGCTACAATCGCGAGCGCAACGTTCGTACCCGGTACGAGCGCGAGGAAGAGAGCAGCGACGCTGCTGAGATCCGTCGCCAGGTCGAGTTCTACTTCTCGGATTCCAACCTTCCCATCGACAAGTTCTTGCTGGAGCAGACTGGCGGTCATGAGAACAAGCCATTCCCACTGAAGACCCTCCACACCTTCAAGCGCATGCGCCACTTCCAGCCATTCAGTGCTGTGGTGGAGGCTGTCAAAGGTAGCAATTTCCTCGAAGTCAACGACAAGGATGAGGTCTATCGCAAGGAGCCACTTGACAGCAAATTCACTGACGACCCTGTGGCCAATGCGGAGTTGCTCCAGACCGTGAACGTTCGTCGCAGCATTTACGCTAAAGGCTTCGGTGAGGAAGAAGAGAAGACTGGTTTCGAGATTGAGGAGTGAGTCGGTCGCGCAGTAAGAAGCTGAATTCATGCTAACTGTGTTAGATTCTTCCAGCCCTATGGAGTGCGTAGCGTCCGTTTGCGCCGCCAGCAGGACGGAACGTTCAAGGGCTCTGTCTTTGTCGAGTTCGAGGACGAGGAGGCTGCCAAGCAATTTCTCGACATGGAAGAGAAGCCCAAGTTTAACGACAAGGACTTGATCTACAAGAGCAAGCAAGCCTACATCGAGGAGAAGACAGAAGCCATCAACAATGGCACTGTCAAGCCACGCTCTCCTACTCGCTCCGGCTTCCGTGGTGGCCGTGGAGGCAACAATGGGTCGAAGAGAAAGCGCTACAACGACGACGACGCAGACGAGGATGTCGAAGACCGCGACAACTGGCGCGAGCGACGCGACAAGTTCCAGAAGGACGGTCGTGGCCGCGGCCGTGGACGCGGTCGGAACGATCGTCGTGGCGGACGCGATCGCAGCGCCAGTCGCTCCGCATCTCGCAGCCGCAGCCCTGTCTTGAAGAAAGAAATCAAGTCGGAGAAGGACGCGGACGAAAATGTGCAGACGGGAGCTGAAGCCAAGGAGGCTGTGGAGACGGAGGCTGTGAAGACGGAGGCTTAGGAAGCCAAAGACGGTACGACCTTGACTGCAGACCACGTCGAGAAGAAGCGCAAGGCGCGCGACGAAGATGACCAGGAGCAAAACGAGAAGAAAGTCAAGATCGAGAGTTCAAGCGACGATAAGCTCAATGTTGCGAGGGCAAGAGCTGCGGCAATCGCTGCACGCATTGCCGCCAGTGCTCAAAAGAATGCAACAGACACTGCAGAGGATGTCGCGGCTGAAGATGACGCCACTACCGTCAAGGTCGAAGACAAGGTCGACGAAGAGTCTAACAAGGTTGACGAGAAAGTCAGTTCCACCTAAGCATCGCGAGGCGTTTTTGGAGAAATCAGGCGTTCGAATGAGGAATCAAAATGGGGCTTGTGCCTGGTTAACAGTCATTGGGCAAAGGGCATGCTGCGTCTTTTGACGTTGTACTCATATCATACGACACACACGATCACAGATTGCTTGCGCGCATAGGCCGCTATAGCTTGAAGTACCCAGGTAGTTGGCTACAGACGGCTTGAATGCAAGAATCAGAGAAGTTGATTACAAACGAGACTGGGATTCGATTTCTGTCGTCTATTCGTCGATTGCCGTGAATGATTGATCATGCTGTTGTTGCTTGCGACGCTACGCTTTCGACTCCTCCCTTTCAGCCTCCTGAGTCGTTGCCATCTTCGACTTTGGTGGCTGAGCCTTCATCTTCTCATGTGAGCTCTGCAGCTCCTCGCCACTACTCGACTCGTTCAACTTCCGCACAATACTGCTGACTCTGAGCTTGCGAGGGCCACTGATAACGCTGTCTGCTCTACTGCTGACACCATTCGTGATAGGTATTGTGACTGGCGGCTTCTCGCGGATCTTCCGGGGCGTTCGATTTGACAACTTGCGTTTCTTGGTGCCTTCACCTTTCGTGGACTCAGATTTTGTCACTTTCTGACCAGATCTTGCCCCTTGTTCGAAGTGGCCATTGGTGTTGTTCATGCTGTGTCCATTATGAGCAGTCCTCTTTGCAATTGGTGGCTGCTGTGGAGTTGTGGGTGGTCCGGCTGATTGCTCGAGCTTGAAGGACGCATCCTGCTTCTCACTACTCCGAGTCAGAAGAGGTGATTCTTCATCGGCGTTTGTGGCGATTCTTGCGTCTCGAATGGGTATTCGCAACTGTAAAGTATCCTCACTGGTACCGCTGTGTCCGCCATTTTCAAAAGGACTTCCCCCTTGTGATATAGAGCGGTTGGGTTCCTCTTGCGCTTCTACCTTAGCCCCTGCTCCATTCAGCTTGGGTGGTAGACTCTTGGGTGTCTCTGAGTATTTGAGCGCAGCCGAAGGAGATTTGAATGGCGTGCGCAATTTGCGAGGCGTTCGCCTCTCAGCAGATAGTTCGACATATCGCATCGGCGAACGAGGTTGCTCGTGACGCGCTCCTGAATTGACAAAGCCTTCAAGCTATGAGTAACCGGTCACTAACACTGTTCCTTATGCAGCTGTGCTCTGTCATACCTTCTTCAGTTTTCTTGGGTGCCCTAGCTTTCCCTTTGCCTTGCATTGGACAACCGCTAACATCGGCGTGATCATGATACGAGCAGGCATCGCCGCGTGTTGGATCGTTGAAGAGTATGCCATTCGACATCTGTCTTATTGCCGTTACCATCTCGATCGCGAAGTCAGGATTGCTTTCGAAGCATTGTCGATAGGCTTCCGCGTCTCGCTCTACTTCTGGATCCATAATCTGTCGTGCGGCGATCTTGACCATGAGACTTCTGAAGGGACTGCCGACAGGACTTGTTCGATATATGTCGTTGATCTCATCGGCATCGGGCACTAGTTGGCTTTCGTTCAGGCACCGCCGATACTGATCCATTGCCAAGTTCTTGAGCTTGACCATCTCGAATCGGTCGCACAACAGCCAGAGTTTATGACAAGCAACAGCATGTTCGTATTTTGCTTCATCACTATCGAGCCTAGAGCTATCTTCCAGGGTGCCTTGGTACAACCATTTGACCAAGAGCTCAAACCCGATAGGGTCGTCCTCAGGAAGTTCCAGCTTGTTGTCCTTCCTCGGAGCGGTCTCGTGAGAGTGGAATTCAAGCTCGCAGAACGAAGAATGGTGGATCAAGAGATTCTGGTGCAGGATCCAATGCTTTCTCTGTCGTCCTACGTATATGTTTACGGTATCACCAGACAGCAACCTTTCGCGCAATCTCTCAGTCAACATGAACTTCAATAGGTTCGTGCCATCCCACATATCTCTGCCTCAACCACGCATGCTCTGCTCTTCTGGCTCCTTTCGCACTCCTCTCCCTCACTCTTCTGCGCAAAGAAGGAAATCGACGTACTCTGCGAAAGTCTTTGCGCTAGCGTTGGTGATATCTGCAGCTGCCATGCGAGCCGGCAGCACGACGATGGGTCCGTTGTCGGCGTATGCGAAATCGCGCGAGTAGACGGTCGGCGCAGCGAGAGAATGTGGGTTATGAGAGAGTGGAAAGTCGGGAGCCGATGCACTCGAAACTTGGTTCAGGGGAATGCTCAAAATGTCCATGGTACGTCGTGTAGATGATTATATACGTGTTTGTACAAGCAAGGGGCCGACCAGGACATTGTCGAGGAATGTATAACGTCCGGCGCAAAGTCGCGATGAACGTCGTGGTGACAAAGACGTGGAGAGGTGGCGCTGTGCATGAGACATGGGACGTGCGGCAACAGAAGTCGTGGATACTGTGAGACTTAAAACTTGCAATTCTGACACTCGCGAGTTCTAACGCTACACTATGCTAGCCACAACGGCTATGGCAAGACCGATGTGGATGCTGATCATGGAGATAGCTGTCTTCCCAGATGCGTTCTCGTCTCCATTCTCATCGCCACCAGAAGGCGCAGCTCCCGTACCCAGCTCGCCTTGTTCTTGACTGAGTCTGATGCCAAAAGTGCTCTCTGCGTTCTCCGGAATCTCTATAGCCTCGTACTCTGTAGTGCGATTGGCCGAAGGGTGATCAGTCGATCCGGAGACACAGTTGCCATTTTCCCATGCTACCTCGTAGACTCTTTCCCACAGCAGCTCCTGCGACCTGTACATAGGCGCAGTGTAAAATATCTTGCAGGACGCCGCATCATACACATACTGCAAGGGGGTAACGCTGGAGTCCCCTTCTCGAATTGTGTTGCGGAAGTTGATGCTTGCCAGCAGACTTGCAATTGTTCCTTGCGGGTTGTAGTAGGCACGACTGAGAGCAGCAATTGCTGATGTTATTAGCTGCTGTCCAAAGGTCCGTTCGAAGTCCAGCTGCTGGGAGAGGGTGGCGTTCTGCAAAGCACCAAGGACTATGCTGCCCACTTGTGCCATTGGCGTTAGTTGACCTCCCTTCACGCCTCCCGCGTATTGCATTGGGCCCTCTTGCCTACGGCCACCTACGACCACTGAGCGAATCGTGCCCGGGGCACTTGCTTTCATGAACTCGCTGAACAGCACGCATGTTGAAGCGCAGGCACCGTCTTGCAGCAACACGATGTTTGCAGGCTCGAAGACTTCCGGCGCGACTCGATTCCGCCCAAGTGGGTATACTGGGAATGCCGTTTGGTATATGTTGCTGACATTCGCACGAACAATATTTGTAAGCTGGTCATCCGTTGATGGAACATCTGCTGGACCGAACAGATCAGACCAAGAACTGAAGGTGTTGTTCTCAGCATCGAGCTGTTGGCGATAGTTGAAAGGATAAGGACCCGAGAACAGAGCCGGTGCACTCCCTGGACCAAAATCTTCAGTGGTCACATCGGACAGCTGCTCGCTCACAGTTTGTCCAATAGCGTCGAAGAGCTCAGTGGCTCGATAGTTGTATGCGTCGTAGGGAGTCTGATCTGGGAAAAGCTGCCGAAAGGTCTCGTGTGCGAGAAATCCGTAGCCACCCCCATTTCCGCGCAGATCGATAACCAATCTAGTCTTCTGCGCGTCACTAGCAGCATCCAGGAACCGGCGAACCGCATTGCCAAATTCAAATGTCGCAGTCTCCGGCGATCCAGATGGGAGAAAACTAGCAATGGCGAGTACTGCAAGGTCAGGCGTTCCCTCTACAAAGTATCCAGTCATACTGCCATCTTCCAGCCCGAAGACCGGTTCCGGGAAAGGCGATCCCGAGCGAGCAGCTTGTCTTCCTTGTAGTGATTTGGGGATGTGCGCATTCCACGAGATGTGAGCATGCTAGACAAAGTGTCAGCTGATATTCATTTGATTAAAGGTAACCCAGGTACTCAAACGCAGGGAGTGCGTTTTCTCTCAGTACATACCTGCTCCTCGTTCCGGAGATATTTGAAAGTCGCGTCCTCCATTTCTGGGATAAGCCGACGCTGCAAGGATCTCTTCCGGCCTTCGTCAGGGAGCATTGATGGGTCCTGAGTCAAAGTCAACACGATATTCGACATGGCGTCGGGTCAACTCACAGTCAAAATTTGTAATACGCTGTTGTTGCAGCACCTTTGGAAGAATTCTTGCCCGTCCGAGATTCCAGACACGTCGAGATCCGTGGCGGCAAGCACCTGCACACGTACTTCTGTGCCATTGTCAAACGATACCACAGTTTCCTCACCAGGATCCTGCAGGAACTGGAACTGTTCAAACATCCCTGACCCACTTGGCAGATACTGTCGCGACAGTTCATTGGGAAATAGTCTGTTGTAGTTTGCGTCTGGATCGTGTCGATCGCCAGTCAAGGCGGCATGTTCATTGAGGAAGTCCTCAGCTCCGCGACCATTGATTTCAGTGATGGGAGATGGCTCATACTCCCTTCCTTGAGATTGGGTCAGAGCAGCAAGGTCTCTGTAAGCGTACACGTCTGGCAAACTGGTGCCGTCGGACGATACGGATACGAGTGAGAACAGCTGGTCGTCCAATATGTGTGCCAAGCTGAATACACCAACGATGTCCGGCACGTAAACTAGATGCCCGTTATATGCTGATGCGAAAAGTCGAGCAATATCGGCTTGGAAATCGAATCTGCGTCACCAATTAGCTTACTTCGGTTACACAAAGGCAACATCAGCCATACTCATTGGAGTAGTAGTCCTCTCCTAGCCTCTGCTGCAAGGTATCGAGTCCTGCAAGCAGATCGACATCAGGGTATAAGCGTGCAGGCTCTGAACTGTTGAGATACAAAAGATCGCTCTCCGATTCCAAGAATATTCGCAAGCCGTCCAGTTGGTCAATATTGGCCTCATTTTGCAGCGGGACTGTCCGTAAACATGACAGAGCAATCTGTGCTGGAACTGTCCTATCCTGTAGCGAGGTGTTGAGCTGCGCGCATGGGCTCTCTTGTCTCTTTGCATTATTGCCGCTGTCAGTTGTTGAAGTCACTGGAGTGAAGGCATCAACAAGGGAGAGTGAGGCCAACAGGCCTGTACGGAGCTTGGGCATAGTCCTGGCGTAGTGAATAGTGGTGGGTAAGAACCACAGAAGACGTCGACGGCTGTACGACAGCTTTCGAGCATTTGAATACAGATCGATGATGATGGCTATGCTGGGCGCGTTGTCGAAAGCCAAGAGTAGTTAGTATCCACATGAGGCGTGAAGGCCGTCTTGGAGCCGCGGAAGGATTCATTGTGCTTGGCCAGCGCGTAATGGCAGGCGTAGGCGTGAAAAGTGACTGCACAACGTCGCACTTGCAGCCATGGCTGTGCATGGCACACTGGCGCTTCCTTCCCGAAGGAAACTATTCGTGCTCATTAGTACAGCTTTGTTCCTAGTGCGCCAGTTGTGCAGCGGCGCGTTTTCGGTCGAGCTGCTTGACGTCAGTCCTCAGCCGCTGTATACGCGTAAAGCCTCTCCAGCTGCATGTATGTTCTTGTCACTAAGTTAGGTACGACCGCTGAGTGACCTGATTCGGATAGCCGTGGCTTTGCACGCCACATGCTTGTGTCCATTTCTCCAAAACCGCACGTCATCTGGTGGAGGATTGTCTTCGATGAAATTGAAGGCAGCCTGAAGTCGATATGGCCGCGATCATCTATCAACTCCAAGATTTTTACAATACCCATGCCATCAAATGCGATGATACTTCTGGAATCTGAGGTTGCTTCGCCTCCTGGTGACAATTATCGACATGTTTCTGTTGCCGCTCAGGGCCCAAACGGGAAAAGCATTGTGGCAGCCGAGAATGGAGTCGTCGCACGATTGGACTTCGCGAACTCTTGATGACTTCGAGAACGCTGATAGAAAGTCCAACATGCAGGCAATTTCGATGCAGTCGAGATTTTATGCATCTTCATCGCAGCGATGAAGATGAAGATGTGAAGAAGCAGGATCCTTGCGACGGGCGGAACCTAGGAGGCAGATCCGCTTGGCCGCGCAGCCGAGCACGTCCACTTCACGACTGCTCGAGACTTACGCTCCGTCATCAACAGGAGCATCAATGGACACGATGAGGATTCGCATACATGTGGAGGGAGGTGTCGACAAGTACCCTGCCAAGGCACATGCCAGGAGGGTGGCAGGGAAGCTCAAGGTATCGCATGGCTTCATACTCCTGGCGGCCACAAACGCGAGGAACTGGCCAAACTCGGATATGCCAGCACCCTTTCGCCAAGATCGCTACTTCTACTATCTGACAGGATGTAATGAGGCCGATACTTTCGTCACATACGACATTAGCAAAGACAAGCTCTCGCTGTGGCTGCCACCGATAAATAAGCAGCGAGTTGTGTGGTACGGCAGGGGCAGCACGATAGAGGAGGCTCTGGAAAAATACGATATCGACGCAGCTCACTACATCAAACCCGACAAGGTCCCCTCATCAGAAGATTTCTGGAGTTTCTACAACGATGGACTACAGAATCCCTCCGTGAAGCCCAGCAAGCCTATCGACACAAAGTCCCTACGCCACGCCATCGATGCCTGCAGAGTTATCAAGGACGAGCACGAGATCGCCTTGATCCGGCGTGCAAACGACATTACGGCAGATGCCCACTTCAACGTCATGAAAGGGATATCTCACTTCACCAATGAAGCAGATGTCGACGCAGCATACATGAAAGTCTGCATCGCCAGAAAAGCAAAAATACAAGCGTACGACCCAATTGCAGGATCAGGCCCCAATGCCGCTGAACTCCACTACTCAGACAACACCGCAGAGTTCGGACACGGCCAGACAGTGGTCCTCGATGCTGGCTGCGAAGTAGAAAGATACGCTTCGGATGTGACACGCACATTGCCAATCAATCGGAAACATCCTGGACACTGGCCATCTCAGGAGGCGAAAGATATCTATCACTTGGTCGAATTCGTACAAGAGTCCTGCATAAGACGTATGCTACCAGGTGTACAGTTCATTGAGATCTTCTGGTACGCACACCAGCTCATCATCGAAGGTCTTTTGAAGCTTGGGATTCTGGTTGGAGATCAAGTTGGGACCATTTTTGCAGCGGGGACTTCTAGAGCCTTTATGCCGCACGGTCTAGGGCATCATGTTGGTCTTGAGGTGCATGATGTATCCCCGGATCCTGCCCCACCCCTCGCACAAAATGATGTCCGGGAGGCGTCGCAGGTCGAACGATTGAGAGCGAAAATCACGCGCTGGAAGCCGGAATGGGCTCCTATGCTGAACGACTCGGCACTAGAAGACCTCTCGAACACGACTGATCTATCGTACAGCGCTCTGCATAGCGTCGATGCGCCAGTCTTGGAGTCTGGAATGGTTGTGACAGTTGAACCCGGCATCTATTTCAACAAGTTCCTCCTCGACAACTTCTTCCTCAACAATCCAAAGCATCGTCAGTTCATTGACATGAAGGTGCTGAAGCGATACATGCAAGTCGGAGGCGTTCGAATCGAGGACGACATTTTGATCACGAAGCACGGATATGAGAATCTGACGACGGCACCGAAAGGCGGAGAGATGCTGAAAATAATACGGAAACATGCCAAGTGATTGTGCAGCCAGTCATGTCGCATTCATGAGAACAATCGAAAGGATCAAGGGTACTGTTGCCACATTTCTCGCTCAGTCTCTGAAAGCCTTAATGTATGCCACGCCTATTACAGCCGTCCGTCACTTCGTGCGAGGAGCCGCTTGTGATGGACCCATGGCTTTATCGGAGAACGATGCCTCAGCAGCTCGGGCACACGTCAATACCCTCGTGCCAGCACATGAAGGCACTCCATTGCTCTGTGCCGGTGAAGTCGTGAAAGTTGACCCCAGGGTAGTAGAAGATGTTGGAGGTGTACAGTCCGTGCTCGCGGCAGTCGGGCTCGCTGAGAGTGTGTCAGTCGCCTACAGAAATCACTTGTCTCGGAGGGGGCGTACCGATACAATGCGCACTTCCAACGTGCGTTGGGTAGTTTCATGCTTCTTGCCGCCGATATGCCTTCTGGGAACTTTGTGCATGTTGCTACAGTGTAGTTTGCCTCCATGCAATTCTTGAAGCCCTTGTCCTGGCAGACATCGACACAGCCTGTCTGATCGATGTTCGAAATCTTCTTGTCAGGTTGTGATGGAAGAAGCGGGAGGACCGCTGCGCTGCAGGTTACGGCCAATGCGGCGATGGCGGTGATCAGGTCTTTCATGATGCTGGGTTCGTGTCTGGACGACTTGAGGTAGTAGGATGGAGGTGGGGTTTTGCTGGGTTGATCTGCTGAGGGTGGCGGCCGGGGGTCGATCATGTAAGGGAAGTTGTTCGTTAAACTGAGAGCGTCTGAAATACTCCTTCCTGATGGCAAGACCGGACCATTCAGGACCGCTTTCCTGACAGCGATATTTGTGTTTTGGCAAGCGCCCGATTGGCCGGGGTTGCAATGATTGCTCAATTGAAAGAAGGAGCCGAAGAGTTCTTATGAAGGCATAAAGTATTGTTCCTCGCTGCCGCATGACAAGCCGCGCTTTCCTTTACAAATTGCTCAACTCTTTGCAAAGCCCGATTTGCCCTTGCGTTTACCAAACGTCACGCGTCTCGGAACAAATTTCAGAGACGACATGGACTTGGTCACTTCCTCAAGCGCAGTGTCGTCCTGCGCTGCTTTGCTTTGGACGGCCGGGGTTTCCTCCTCAATCAGTTCCGATGTCGTCACTTCGGTCTCTTCTGTGGCGTCCGTTGCCTGTGTGGTTCGCGTAGCTGTGCTGTCTCTACGATCGCGACTGCTTTTGCGGTGGCCTGCCGAGTCTATACCGCGCCTGAGCATAGTCCATCGCCCATCGATGCCGTTGTCCACCACGAGGAAGTCGTAGTTCTTGGGGTACCCGTGCTTGTCAACCAAATGGCTCCGTCGTTTCTTCCAATCGACGCAGACTTTGTCACAATCTTCCAGGAAACAGGCGTAAATCTTGTCGCCTCGCTCCCGTCTCACAGCAACGATGGGATCGTGATTTTCGCTGAGATGCAGCTGTAAGAAGTGGGATGTAGGGAAGTTCTTGTGGCACTCTTTACAGCGGTTCGTGTGCGAAGAATTGTAGTGTGTCTCATAGTCTGTGTAGCTCGAGAAGGTCATTGATTTGTGCGGCGGCAGCAGGCATTTGAACGCCGCCTTGGTCCTCTCGGACGCCTCGTCCAACTCAACGTATTTGGGAGTGTGAGCGGGCGTCTCCATGATAGGGCTCGACGCGTCGGCCGCAGGCAGCTCTGCTGTGGATGGAGACGCCTCCCTTATACGTTTCGCCATGTTGAAGGGAGCGATGCGGTGAGCGAAACAGTGTGGCCCGCTAATGGTGTACCTGCATTTCACGTGTAGCTGCTCGCCACGAGGAGACGGCGTGCAGTTGCACGTGTGGAAAGCAACAAGTAGTGGTGAATGTGATGGACCCAACTGCCGCCTGGAAGTGTCACGCTGCTCTGCTCACAGCGAATGCGTTCACCGTTTGCGTGGGTTTCATGTGCGCATCAGTGGAAGTGAAGGAGTGCTTTGAATAATAAAGTTGGGTTCGGATCGCGCTTGCAGGCACACAGTCAGCAGGACAATCCAAGCGAGCCGACGACTTTAGACTCGGCCTTCGAACTCCACCACAACGGATGCCGTCGACTCACCTCGACTGCATTTCCACCCACCACTGCCACCAACACCGCCAGGCTCCTGACCCCCTCCATCGCTCCGCCGCACTCCGCCTGCGCGACACCGTGTCGCCCAACATTCCCCACTCCACCGCCGCCGACGACCTCAATGGACTGCGCGTGCCTTGCAACGTTCACGCCATTCGAGAAGTACACTTAACCTCGACCGCCCCAGTGACGGACCCGCCGTCGCTAGATCCGCACAGCTGTTATGCGCTGCGTACCGACCATAGAAGCATGGACCTCCTGCTCGCCAACGAGAGCGCCGCTGAGCAACATGTGCTCCAACTGCTGAGCACTTTTCGGGAGCAGAAATTCGATAACATCTTCGAAGCTTTCCAAAACTTCCGCACACACGTCGCCGGCGTAGTGCCTCTCGATTTCGACCATGCTGAGGAGCACGAGAATCGCTTGTGGCATGCGCACACCCAAGGTCGCCGCCATTTCCATCGAGCCCTCTCCGACTTCCGCAAATGCACTCCGCCTCAGCCCCACGGCCTCCGCTCCGTGACTAAGGCGTACCTGACATGGCTGAAGCAGAGTGAGAGATTCTACAGGTCGTACATTACGATGCTCAATAATGCGGCCGGAGGCATTCCCGAACTCGAGGCGATTGCACACAGCGACAATGGGGAACGAGCCAGCGAAAGCGCGCCTGTCTCCGTTACGCCGTCGCACCTCGAGAAGATTCTCAACTCATGCCATCGGGCACTCATATGGCTGGGTGACTTGTCCCGTTACCGTGCCACGGAAAAATTGGACAAGAATCCCGATTTCGGTCCCGCCATAGGCTACTATGGATTGGCTGCCACGCTGAAGCCGAGCTCTGGGCTGGGCCATCATCAACAAGCCGTCGTTGCCCTCGCGCAGAACCATCACTTGCGGGCCATTTATCACTTGTATCGCTCTCTCACCGTACAGGATGCCCATCCTTTGGCACCTCAAAATCTGCGCCTGGAGTTCGAGAAGACCAATGCTGCCTGGGACAAAGGCGAGCTCATTCAGAAGCGCTCGCCGAATGATCCGGACGCCACCAAGCTTTCACTGGTGGGCTGGTTTGTCCGTTTCCACAGCATGTGCTTTCGTGGCCAGCCGTTCCGCGGGCACGAAGAGCTTGAACGAGAGGTCCTTGCTCAGCTCTCCAACGTCGTCAAGCAGCGGCCACTGGACGGCACTTTGACCCGTATGATACTGGTCAACATAGCTTCCCAACATGTCGCAGGCGAATCGTTCCAAGGTAAGTTAATATTGCACTTCTCACCCTATTGTCGAGAACTGATCTTTTTTTGAAAGAACATCAATCGCTGGAGAGCCAGCAGTCTTTTTACTTCTATTTCCGCTTGAACGTGAAAACTTTCACTGTCCTTCTGCGCGCGTTTTACGACGATCTTCGCGGCTTGCTGCTTGGTTTGGACGATTTCGATGTGGAGCTATCATGCAAACTCACGCAGGTCGGCCGTAGACTTCTCCCATGCTTGCGTCTCTACAACAACTGGCTCTGGGGCATGGTTGCAATGATTCAAGGTCTGTCGACGGACGACTTCATTGCTGAATCAGTCACGCAATTCTGGCCAGCCTACACGAGAGCGCTTGATCTAGTTGCTCAAGCATTCCCGATCTGGGACTTGGAGGATGTAGAGGAGATTGACTACATGCTGGAGGAAGACGTCGAAACCTTTGGCTTCACCGCATTCGCCAACAATGACCAGATCCAGAAGACCTGGTTCATCAAGTCGACAGGCTCGGTGAGACAGCGCTTTTCAGATCGTGGTGTTGTTCGGTCATCGCCTGATGACGAGATGCTTCATCGCGTCAAGGACTTCCTCTCGACTGGTCTCAATCTTGCGTCTGGCGCTGATGATGCGCCAGTCAGCATCCAGGGAACAAGGATCTTCTGCGGCGACGTTAGCAAGATCGAGGCTTTGACAATTCCAGAGAAGGTCTTTGAGCCTATCGCACCACCGCCGAAAGTCGCGCCGCCAAAGCCAGTCAGCTATGCTGCTGCAGCTGCAAATGGGCACGCCCAAAAAGATCGACGACCTGTCCCAGTGAGGCAACCAAGTCTGGCTAAGACTCAGGCTCGTGATGCCCAGCTCAGCAAAATGGTCGACAACCTGCTCGATGAAGAGGATGACAACAATCCAGTGACTCCACCACAACCTGCCGCTATTCACCCTGCGATCGTCAGCAATGGCGAGCTGCCTCAGTTGCTTCAAGACAGTGTCACTGACGTTCCCGTATCTCGATCGCCGAAACACGGCACTCCTATCGGCAGACCATCTACCCACGAATACAGCGCACGCCCGAATGTAACGTTCACCCCTTCAGCTCCATGGCGATCCGCTGCCAATGGCTCGACTACGGCGTGGGGCGGTGCTCGCGAACGTCTTCACTCAGTCTCCAAACTCTGGGACAGCACTGCCTCGCCATCCTTTGCAGCAGGTCTGCCGACTGGTACACTCGGCTCGCCCGCCAATGCAAATGCGCGTGGGCATTCTCGCGTTAACTCTGCGAGTAGTGCTCGCAGCAGAAATTCGCTGAATGTGGTCGAGTCCTGGGGATCTACGAACACTGTGGAATCTTGGGCACCACGCACTATGCCCGACTCTTCAAGTGTTGATCAAAACGGGATGGCCAGTCCATTGCTCTTCGGCGCCGTGAACAGTCCTTGGAGCACAGGTCTGCAACCTGGTTTCAGGCATGCAAGCCCTCCCTATGGCTCAGGCGGCTGAGGGACTACGTGGTGGGAGCACATTGCTTCTACAGGTTTTTGACTCACACTACCGTCCTCGATGCCATCACATCATGTCGCTGTCGCTGAAAAGCTCGTATACCAGCAAAGACGCATCCGATCGTGCGCAGAGAGGCCCACTTCCCTGCGGCATCCCGAATTCGCCGCTCTGGCGTTTGCGGTCGACCACGAGTTTAAGACTCACAAAGACAGCTGCCTCAGCATGTGGAAGCCATACGGTGAGGAGAGGTAAGAAGGCTTCGGATGCCCTCGAAGTGGGGCTATTGAAGATTGGTTTCGCTGCGTTCACACATGGCCACGGATCATGCCAGGACTTGGACATGTCCCGGCTTACTTTCGTTTTACAACACTCATTTTTGCAGACACTTTTGGCAAACAGATTGAAATGAAATGGCGTTTTTGCTTTTGAAATGATGGAGTGCATATGTCGTTTTGTCTTCGTCCTGCTAACACTTTAGGCCGTCTTCTCCCCAGCATTGAACGACGTGAGGTGAGCTGTGACTTGTTGAGTTCTCAAATATATCAGCACAGCCCACAAAGCCACAATCCTTTGACAAGTTCTGAACAAGGGTCACTAGTGATTCGCCAACCAAATCACCTTTTATGGATCTCGCGTAGCATTCACGGCCCCATCACACGGATCCTGCCGCCGAGGGCTGAAAGCGATCCTTGCAACGATGTCTTCCCACATAGCACCGGTGAGTCGCAGAGGAGCATGCAACGTTGAGACCCGACACCGACTTCTTCTGCTGTCCTTTCTGCACGACGCAACAACTTTTGCGATTTTTCGCTACCGAAAAAGATGTCAAGATTCGCTCTACTGGCCTCTTTGGTCATTAATTTGGCACGTGCTGATTATACAGAATGGTATTTCAGCGGGAATAACTCGTGTCCTGGGTTGGGGATCGCGTGTAATGCGCCCGAATCTTTGTGTGCGTATGATAGCGTTGTGGACAAGTATTACTGCTGTTCGGGCGCGAGTTATAATGTCTGTCGAGCTTTTGCTGCGGATTGTGGTGGGAGTAATGGAGGTCCGTCGTCTTCGCAGCAAGAGTGTACTTCGGATTCTGTTTCTTGGTGCTGTTTGAACAGTCGGGAGAGCTGTACGCAGCGGACTGGTGAGTGGGAGTTTCTACGAAGTGTTTCTGGTATGAAAGCTGATTCGTGTGCAGGTCAGATTAATGTTTGCATCGCATCGCAAGATAATCCTATTGGAGAGGTGTCGCAAAGTCTCATTAATGAGACATATACGTCGCTATCGTCTGCTAGTCCTTCGGCGAGTACGTTCTCGGTGGATGTAGCTTCGTTGGTTTCTCGAGCTACTGCGACATCTACATCTTCGTCAGCGACATCGACATCGATCAGCTCGCCTACTTCGACTGCTTCCGAAACAGCCTCTCCACCAAGCGAAGACAGCGACAGTGGAGTCTCAGGAGGCACTATTGCTGGTGCCGTAGTCGGAGGCATGGCAGGTCTCGCTTTGATCGGTGCTCTGGTATGGTTCCTGCTGCGAAGAAGAGCTCGTCATACACACGCGCCTGTTCCAACGTCCCCTACCGGAGGTCAAGCCGAGAAGCACGATCATTTCGGAGCTGTATCTCCGGGTTACAGCACGCCGGCGCCGGAGTACCATCTTTCTGAGATGGAAGGCACACACGAGATCAAAGAGATGCCTGGAGGTGCGACACACCAGGTTAAGGAATTGCCATCTGAACAGAGTGAGCCAAGGGAGCTGCCGGCTTGATCGCGATTTGCGATTCTAGATTCGCATACGATGAGGCTAGTGGAGCAACGAGACGCCGTCGAATTTGCAAGCCGATGGAAGTAACTTCGTCCCCGCGAGCTACGCGTCTACCACAGCGACGACCAGAAGGCAGGATTGAAGTATGCCACACGGCGGAGGGCGCCAGAAGCCAGAGTCCCTCACAATCGACGCTCTGTCGAGTCCCCGCCTGAAGAGATTGAGCTGTTGTCTTGCACAGTCTCGTGGGACCAGCTCAGGCACGAGCGTGTGTTGACGGGACCGAATACGACGCCTGTTTCGTTCGAGGGAACTCTGGCCTGCTTCGGCGGCAGTCGACTATCTCTCGCCGAGCGGTTTCTGCGAGTGGTCGCTTGATCGGCTGAAGATCTTGATATCTTTGCACTGAAGCGAGCAGCAGATACATATCGCTGTACCATGATACCCAACCTGATTTGGAGTTGTTGTTCCTATACACGATCGAGGCGTTGTTCTGTAGAAGTTCGTTGGTACTAAGACCTAGAGCGTAAGCGCCATACATTTATTCCTACAGTCTCTCTACAGTATCCATCGAACAACACCCATGTCATCGCTGCACAGCATACAAATATGTATAAAACCTCACCAGCGCCTCCACTCCCACCAGATCCCCCTCCCTCATCAATCTCGCAATATCAATGTTCAACGGACTATCCGGTTCCGCCCCAGCACTCAACAACTGCTCAATAGCTTCCAAAGTGCTCACAATGCCATACGCAGGCGTCCAACTCGTCTTCAACAGATCCAAACAAATCTCTCCAGTTTTGAAATTCACGTTCGGATGGCAGATGGGCGTTTGGAAGCGGATTTCGGGTGGGGTGTTGGGGTATGAGGAGGGGACTGTGATTAGGAGGTTCCATTGGCCGCCTGTTTCTGAGAGTTAGTGATTCTGTTGATTTAAGGGGAGTTGGGGAGTGAAATGTCTTTACCTTCGTAAGCAGTTCCCTCGGGCCCTCGTAGCACAGCAGCCAGTTGAAATACATCGTCATCGCTGACAGGTGCGAGATGGGTGAGGGCCGCAGAGGGTTCGCGGTTGTACGCGTCTAGTTCTTTGATGAGCCGCTTGGTCGCCATATTTACACGCCTTCGTTCGGTGTTGAAGGTGGAAGGAGACGCGATGCAACAAACTTCCACACGACGAGGAGAGAAGCTACAGCTCCAGGAAGCTTTTCGGGAGCGGCGCAACCCTTGATGCCGAGGTTTGCGGGCCACTCACTCTACACGCTGGCGGTCACTTGGACAGGAGTACGACACGAACCTCAACAAGAAAACTGTTTTGGAAGTGAAGTCTTGAGAAGCACATACACGTGGGTCAAAACTTTCCATTACATTTAAGGTTGTCGTGCTCTGCCTCACTTGAGTGACAAGAGCCTTTTTCATCCTCTATAGCCATCGGCTATGTAATGCTAATTGCGCACTGTTTGCGCTTCACGCTCGCTAAAAATTGGAATGAACAGGAAACATAGCCAGCCTAAGCGGCTGTCCGTTTTGTGAACTGCAGCAATAAATCATCCATCGGGAAGATAGTGGCAAACACCTTGATGTCTTCACTCGTTGGTGTGATCTTGTGCGTCCAGTCATACGACTTGGTCAACTTGTGCAGGAGAAGCATCAAGTTCAACGTCGCGTATGTCTGGCCCAGGCAGTAATGAGGACCAGTGCCGAACACGAGCCAATTCTTTCCTTGTTCCTCCGCGTTACCGGTGATCCATCGCTCAGGCACGAACTCATCGGGTTGCTCGTACGCTTCTGGGTCGTGAAGAGACAGCCACGTTGACGGAATAATCATCGTGCCCTTCTTTGCGACATAGTTGCTTTCTGGGATCGGGAAGTCCTTCTTGACGAGGTATGGAACCATGAGGACTGGTGGGCGGTATCGGAGCGTCTCCTTGACGACAGCGCGAGTAAAAGTCATGCTCTCCAGGGTATCCAGGGAGATTGGCTCGTCTGCGTATGGGTGCAACCTGTCGGCCTCCTCGCGCACCTTTTGGTAGATCTCGGGTCGATCAGCAACGAGCTGGAGCAGCCACGATGCAGCGCTGGATGTGGCATCCTGCGAGGCGAACAAGAAAGTGAAGACGGTCATGGAGATTTCGAGATCGGTGAAGTTGCGGAGAATCATCGCAGGCTTCTCCTCGGCTGGGACATTCTCGCCGTTGGCAATGCGTTCTCGGTAGCGATCAGACTCAATCATCTGCAGTATCCAGCGATCCATGATGCACTCTGGCTGAGCACCCTTTTGCCTCATCCTGACTCTGGCCTTGGCAGCACAGTTCGAGAAGGCCTCGAGCACCTTGTCCGCGCACTTCTTGCCGTACCAAGTCTTGGTGAATGGCAGAATGATGGGGAAGTTGACAAGCTCCAATGCAGCGGTAATCATGTAGTAGTCGTCTGCAACCTTCTTGACCTGCTCCCGTGACATGTAGTGGCCGACGAATGTGCGGCACGAGACAGCGCACATCAACTCGCGGAGCTGGTACACAAATGGCTTGTGCTCTCCCGCAGCAGTGCTCTCACTGAGGAAGTCATTGAAGTATTCGTTGTAGACCTCCTCTTGACCTGGCAGATAGGTCTCCAGTGCGTTGCGCGTGAACAGACCATTGAGGCCCTTGCGATATTCGACATGCTCCTTGCCATCCAAAAATACCCAGTTCTCGGGGCGGAGCAGCTTGTGAGCCACGTCCACCACGCACGGCTTGACGTACATGGGGCTGTTCAGGACCTTGCGAGCCATGTCGCGCGTGGCCGCAATGACGACGAATTTATGGAAGACGGACACGCATGACAGCGGGCCGGACAGCCATTTGGTGTAGTATTTGCCAAATTCAGGATTGACAGAATCGAGGAACGGGCCAATGAAGGGGATTTTCCATGAGTCGCCTGCGAGGGGTCCTTTCAACTGCCAGTAGGAGACTGCCACACACGCCACGATCAGCACACTGCTCCCCATGTCCATCCTTGCAATAGCTGCACTGCTGGCACTTACTCTGATCGTAGATGACTGCTGCCAAGAAGACAGTCAGGAACACGCCAAACCAGCTTACTGGTGTGAAATTATGCCATGCTTTGCTGAGAATGCCGGTGTTGGCGGATGCGATCACGGCGTGTATTGTGTCCGGCAATGCGGTGGACGAGGCATTGAAGGTCTCTCGGATGGAAGCCATTGCGGCGGCTGGCGAGGTGTTCGCAGATGGCCACGCGCGTGCTGTTTCACGTTCCCTCGATGTGCAGGCAAGCGGTGGTCGTGTGAGCGAATCTTTTTGTTGCCCGGGCGGCGATCCCTTGAAAAGCCAATTGCCCAATGCCTCTTGCCCCAGCTCTTCCCAGCTCGCGTGCCGTTCTCGCCGCACTTCTGCTGTTCGATCCTGCTGGCAGCACGCAGTCCAAAGAAAATGGCTGCAGTGAGCAAAACACACAGCAACAGCAGCAGGAGAAGTCAGCGAAAAGTGCGAGCGGGTAGTGAGAGGGGACTTTTGGCACCACAAATGAGACGGTTCGAACATCGTACGAGCGCATTACCACCCTGCCCGCTGATTGGCCCACCCGTCGCACAATGCGGATAAGCATCAAAGACTAACTTACCGCATTACACGCTGAATCATGACTTCATGAACTCTTCACTGCACTCGACTGCTACGCGTCCACCGCCTCGGTCACACACCGCGAAGTCCGACGATGCCTCTGCGCACTCCTGGCCATTTGGCGACATGTTGCAGTCCTTGTGGCCGCGATACGCGACCTTCCCGCACAACCGACCATGATCGCCTCCGAAAGTGCGACTTTATGCACGTCGGCACGAGCAAGACCTAGTTGGGATCAGGGACCACCTGACGAGCAGGTCGTTCGACGAAAGCTTTGCGCAAGGGTCTCTCTTGCTGCTGACCAGCACCTTGATGCCATGTTCCGCACCCGTGGCCATAAGCTTGTCCTTGACAGCTGGTGGACAGTGGTCCCATCCCAGCTCGAGAACATTGACGTGCTTCGGGTCGAGTCGCTTGAGACATGCGGCAACCTCCTCGAAATACCACTGAAGCTGCTGTGGCAATTCTCTCCATACTCCGAGACCGAGTCCGGCCAAGAAGAGATGCGCCTTGACTTCTTCTGCTGCAGCGCGACTGTCTGCCTCAAGGAGCGCCGTCTCGATGGAGATTCTAATACGACCCTTGTACACGCTCTTGTCGAACGTCTGCTGGAAGTATCCGGCATCATACATTTTGACGCCCTCAGGAGTGCTGTCGGGATCGAAGAAATCACGAAAAATCTTCGTCAGTCTCGGATCTTGAGCATATGCGCTCTTCTTGTTGTGTCCCAAACCGCAGATCGGATGGTCAATCTGTCCCGTCGCGTGGAATCTGTTACCGACAAGGCCGACTATGATCCCTCGCTTCTGATGCAGCTTGGACTCGTCTATCTTCGCTGCATTGTTCCGAGCGCCCGTGTTGATGAAGAAAGTGGGTCCACTGGAGCCGATCAGAGACGAAAGCATCATTTCATCGTAAGATAGATAATCTTTCAGATGGATCTCGCCCTCGTCGTCTTTGCCTACGCGGAGCCAGTCTTGGTGGGCATTGGGAATGACTCGCTTATCTCGAAGCACAGTGAAGTCTGAGGCATTCGTAAAGTGCAACGCGCGCTTCTTGATCAGTCGGGCTGCCAGATCGTGCGCGTTCATTTGGGCATACAGACCCTGCTCGAGATTAGACCCGCGCTTGCGTTTGAATTCTAGAAACGAGCTGAACAGCTGAGGCAACCTTGGATGAAGTATGACATTCGTCTCTAGTGCATCGCGAGCAATCTGGTTCTGGTCGAAACTGGAGATCTGGTTGCTCTTTGCTGGGAGCTCCCAAGGGGACTCGGACAAGAAGTCGAGTGGTGCAGCCCGAGGTGTCCATTCCGGGTCGTGTGTGCTGTTCTGTGACTTGATCTTCTTTGCAGCTGGCTTCGGCATGGTCTGTAATTCTGCATCGAGCTGTTCGACACGATTACGCTTCATGGTGGGTACTGGAGTCGCCGTAGGTCTGCTTTGTTTTTTGTATTCGATCGAGCTTTCGGTGATTTGGTAAGGTTGGTGTTGACAGTGCTAAGCAGTTTCAAGCTTCCAGGTGATTTGGGAACAGGTACTTGTAGGAAAAGAGGGCTTTGTGTCGCACATCTTCTCCTACGGGTAAGTCACACCCCTCGTTCTATTCACTTTCTCCAAATCAACACAAAGAGGCACGTGACCAGTCACTGCACACTGTCAACTGCTCGATCGTCAAAGCACTGCAGGATTGAACAACACCGGACGATGAGTCGCAATACCTTGCAATCGCATTGTGACTCAGGTGTCGCTGCTTGACAGCTGTTCAGATGTTGGGCAGGCGCCTACAGCGCCAAGAGAGTATGAATCCTTCGACTGTGCCGCAAAACAACAATACATATACCAGGTCAAGTCTCTTGGGAACTTCCACTGCATCACATCAACATGGCAAGGTCCTATAATCGGCTGCTCACCGCAGTCTTGGCCTTGCTACTTCTGCTACCATCAACCTTTGCAGCCGCCTGTACACCACAACCAACTGATCGGGTTGTGAAATATGACAAAGCATCGAAGTCTCAGCCAAATGGCCAAGTTCTAAAAGATATTCTGGACGCGACATCAGCTTGCGAGCCACTTCGTGTACTCAGATTCGAGGGTCGGAGCGGTCACATGAACGCGACTGCGATCGACGAAACACTGCGCGCTCTGACGACACCGCTTGAGGATGTTCACTGGAGCGTACGAGAGCCCATACCCAGTTCTACTCTGCGGACCCTGGAGGAGCTCCATCCTTCTGCACGCTTGCACTATAAGATGCCTTTCGGTTACTACGTGTCGACGGACGATGTGAACGAAGGTGGCAAGCTCGTGTCTTGGAAGGATTTATTCAAGCGGAACTCGAACAAACGAATGTCCTCCCTCGGGAGTATCGTGTCCGCAGCCAATCTATACTCGTTGGATGCCACCCTACATGACAGGAGCCTAGAGACGCCTGACGACTTACCACTGGTACACGAAGTCCTCACCACTTGCAAGAACCTTCGAGAGCTCAACCTGGACATCGTGAACGTTATGACTTGTACGCCAGCATCTAATCCTCGCGCATTCGATTTTGTCAAGAATCCTGCGCCGATGGCAGCATTGGAAGTTCTCAAGATCAAGGGGAGATATGATATCGAGGCTACAAGCAGAGGAGAGATGAAAAGTGAATCTTGGAGCGTCCCAAAGTCTCAGTACTTCTATAAGCCGTGGTCGTGGCTTCCGGACGCACTGTTGGATTCGATCCGGTGGAGATTTGGAGACAGTGCTTTGATGAACACCACTGCATATGACGAAGCCCTGCACCTTGAATGGGCTGAGAATGCCCGCTTAATAGAATTGCGAGGTCCAGAAAACTTGGTTGCTTGGATGAGCAAGATGGACTGGTCCAAACTTCGAGTCTTGCATCTTGTTGAAGCAGAACGCAAAGTCCTGGAGCGATTGGGACCTGTTCTCTCGAATATCGAGGAGTTGAATCTGGGATATGGCTCTGGACCTGCAGCTGAAGTCTTGCCCACATTTGTGCGAAACCTCACAGGCCCACTGACAAAGCTGTGCGTACGCAATTACGACTTCAAAGACAACTACACGGAGTTCATTCGGGCCCTCGGCGAGAGCTCTGGCGGGCATCTGCAATCCCTATGCCTCACAGAACACTCAGAGTACCGCCACCAGTATTGCTCCGGCTCTGACGAGAAACAAAAGTCCATGCCTCATCACTGTCCGACTTACTACACAGACCGCCCCTACCTTACCTCCTCCGACCTGCATCTCCTCGCCCAAAACATCACAAATCTCACTTCTCTGAACTTCGACCTCCGCCGCCTCACTCCCAACATCAGCGATCCCACCACCTGGACCATCGACGAATCAACTCTGTACCTTGCAGCAAGCCCATCATTCCCCCATCTCCAGAACCTTACCCTCCACCTCGACGCCCCAGAAATGACGTACAAACGCGCCGGAATTTGGTTCGATAGACAAGGTTACCTGAACCGTCCCTCAGAAATAAAATTCCCAACCGAGCCGACGCTGAACAGAACTTACGTATCGCAACTATTCGATAGAATCAACAACTTGCGTACAGAAACAGGATTAGAAAAGCTAGGGCAGCTAGAAATCATAGTCGGGAGATGGAATCAGAGGGATACTGAATTCGGGATGATGGGTGCGCCGAATGAGTTGGTTGGAAATTGGATTTGTGATTCCAAGGACCCTCTGAGGTCGGTCAGTGCAATGGGAGAATGTTATGGAGGTAATGCACCTTTGGAGTCGATATATGGAAGAGCCGTGGGGAAGGAACCATATTCGAACGATTGGAGTCAGCCGGATAAGCCTGATTTGGAATATGAAGACGACTATGGAATGTTGGAGCTTGATGACCTTAATGACATTGCGGAGTGGTGAAGTTTGGATGCTGTTATTCATTGATGGCGTTCTGTGATGAACATCGAAGATACATGGCTTCCGATGGCAGCAATCGGGGTTCTTTTATTTGCATGTAAACGGCTGCCTCCAAAATTCGAGCGAAAATATTGTCGTCAACATCGCTTTGTCACATGTTCCGAATTTGAAACTTCCCATGATCATTGTGACTCTGACCAGTATGGTGATAGTGGTCCGTGGTAGCTGCTTTCCTCTACACCTCGTTCCTCCGACGAAGCTATCGTGTCCAGATCAACCTTCTGCCGCTTCGCAGAAGAGCCATTGGCAGTCTTGGCGGTTTCCCTGTCAGACTCGCTTCTGTCACGCTTGTTGCTACCTGTGTCGAGCCTTCGGGTAAGCTCCAATTTCGGCAGAGCACTCTGCACATAGGTGATAGTCTTGGTCGTGTGAACAATTCCTTTGTCTAGTGTGATATGTTAGTCCATGCTCTGAGATATCAAGTTGATGTGAATACGAACATGTGGTTTCGTAGTGGAAGAGCACGTTGAGTGGAAACCCAGCAGCACCCGTGGCAGGAACGAAGTACGCTCGATCTTGATCTGTCTTTGGGTGTCGTTCAACCACTTTCCGTCCGCGCTGCAGCGTGATCACGATCTGCCCAACATCATGCTCTTGCGGGGCGAGCGGACACCCGTGGCAATTGACTTGTGCAAGTCAGTCATGAGCTCAAAACACTGCATCATATATCTGTACCGGGCTGAAGCTCAGCAGTGGCAAGTGCCAACCTCCGATGACCTTCGAAGCAATTGTTGTGGTATCGGATCTCATCTTCAGCTCTAGGCTTCGGAGGAAAGTCATTGTCGTTTGGACGCGAGATGTACTCAACAGCTTCGGCAGGGCCGTCGTCCAGGGAGAAGGCCATTCTCAATGCATTCTCGCCCATCCAATCGAACCGCTCCATAAGGAAGACGTGAAGGACAAAGCATTCTTGTGTGATACGGTTTGGAGTTGTGCATTCGCCGTCCTCGTAGCTGGCCAGTAGTGGCGGGGAAGAATATTGTGGATGTGGGTTGCCGCTGTCGATCCGCTGGCAGAAGACCTCGACAATGCCTGTTGAGTCGAACATCGTGTCCGGCGGATTGTGAGGGTCACTTGTGTAGCACGAGGATTTGGAGGACATGTCGAGATGGCGTGGGTCTTCGTAGGCAGTTGCAGGTGCATCGCGACTTCCCAGCTTCCAACACCGCACTTGCCTTCCAACCTGTGCTGACGCGACGCGTGTCGATATCGCGTATAGTACTCTCCATGCATGCGCCGGGTATGAAACCACCTGGCTCCTCTTTGGGTGTTGCTTCCCTCATCGCGACACTGATACGTCTCCGCCTCGAATTGTGCGATCTATGCGCTCCGCGTCAAAACCCGCCATTCTTTCGCCCTCGCCATCACTGAAGACCAGGTCGTCTCCACTGCCACTTCTGCTGCCTCGCCGACTGCCTGTTGCGTCCCACACTGTTTGTCTTCGGGGCACCACCATACGCATCACCAAATCGCTGATGCGATCCCGCAATCCTTCTGTGTGTCGATTCACCGTGTCCAGCGGCAGGTACTGGGCGTATCGTTCGCGGTAGTTGCGTATTAACGGAAGTATGATGAAGGAAATGATGCCGTAGAGAGCGCCAGCGATAAGAGCAGGTACGAATAGGATCTGGGAATGTGGTCAGTTGCTGCAGAGCTGCACAGCGATGGCACACGTTGACAAACCTTGACAACGTCTGTGAAAGCCATAGCTGCAGTCGTTCAAGTGAACTCAAAATTGTGCAGTTGGTTCAACACGTCTTGTTCCTCGCTCAGGAGTGATTACGCGGCGGAGCTCGTGCTCGTGCCGCCGAAGCTCACGCAGAAGGCGCTGCTGACATGATCGCACTAACTCAAAACCGACAATGCAATTATTGCCAGCTCAAATCGTGCCCTTTGGACTCTAATGATCAGCTGTGACCATTTCTCATCTCGTTGTGAACGCATACGTACCTCACACACTCTGCGTAGTTGCAAGTGAGATGTCCGTCAAAGCTGAGGCGAGGTCAAATTGGGAAAGCATCTCACAACACGACGGCAGCTACGCTCAACATGTGATGCAATGAGACGGACGGCGAGTACATGTAGCTCATGACAGACATTTTGCAATACAATCTCAAGTAAGTAGTCTAACGTTCATACAGTCTTTCGTGATAAGTCACAATATATCCCACGACGATCTTCGTTTCGTCGACCACAAGACCTCGCATTCCTGCTCCAAAATATCCTTCAAGTCACACCAAACACATCCGAGCGGGCACCGTGCTATTCACGTATACCACGTTGGCTCAGGGATTTCGCCCAGAACCTGATATCTTCCGACCTCGCGCTTCTTGTAGGCGACTGGATCGTGCAAAGAGTGAGTCCGGATGTCACGCCAGTATCGATCGAAACCGTATTTCTTGCCAGTGGCACGAGCACCGAGCATTTCGAAGATGCCGCTGGTGACTGCCAGACCGGTGTCGGTCGTCACGACTTTGACGTGAGCGACTGTTGCGGCGACTTCGCCACGGCGCTGTGCAGTGATGGCTGCGCGGCCTTGGGCGGCAGAGCCATTGCTGCCATTGGCGCCGTTGGTGTGGCCGTTCGTATGGCCTGGCTCAGGAGCCTGGAAGTTTGAGAGGGTTGAGATGGTGTAAGGTGGGTTGGGCCCAGTGGCTTTTGGGCTTGGATGAGGGTTGGCGAGCCAGTGTGGGTTGACTTTCTCCTTGAGTGTCTCAGCATCGAGGATGGTGGAGCCGAATTGTCCAGCTTCGCGATAGATGTTCGAGATTTCCGCGCCAGCACGATCGGCGAGGGCATCTGCAGCTGCGAGATGAGCTCGGTATTCGCCGTAGCGCTCGAGGATGTACCACTCATCAGTGGCTTTGTCTTTATTGTCGCCACCATATGGCCAAGCTCGTGTACCCTTCAGGGTGTATGCAGTTGCGGCACCGAGTGCTCCTTCGGCAATGCCCAAGTAGAAATTGCTGAATACCAATTGAATCGTTGGCAAGAGCAAGCTGGCGAACGGGATTCCGAGGACTTCTGGGATGGGTCGCTTGGTTGATGCGTCCCAACCAAGTGCATCACTCCATGGAACTCGAACGTTGTCAATCTTCACGGAGCCAGATTCTGTCAATCGGAGACCAACGTTGTCCCAGTTGTGGGCGAACTGGATGCCCGGCTGATCCGTCTTGACCAGCGTGAAAATGTGGTCTTCCGTGCCATCGAGCACTCCTTCGAGGACAGTGAGGTCGCTAACAACACCTCCGGTATTGAAGTTCTTAACTCCATTGAACACGATTTCCTCGCCCTCGGAAGTGATCTTAAGGTCATTGTCTCGGGGGTTGACAGCACCACCAACGAAGAAGTTGTTGCGGATAATGACTTCCTGCACACTGTCCTGCTGCTCATCCGTTCCGACAACGTTGGCAGTGGTGGACCAGAGTAAATGGTATCTGTAGTACAAATCCTGAGTTAGCCCCAATACCAAGTTGACTTTAAGGCGATGGAGTTCACCAACCCAAGCAACATGCCCAAAGATCCATCAGTCTTGGCTACCTCACGGATCACCTTGTATCCAGTCTCCCAGCTCTGACTACCTCCACCGTACTTTTGAGGTCCCAGCACCTTGAGTAAGCCGGCAGACTTCAACAGCGCTACTTCTGCCTTTGGTGATTTGTTCTCAATGTCTCGTTGCGCGGCATCCTGACCGAGGATCTCAGCAACATCTGTCGAGTAAGATTAGCCTTTCAGTCCTTCCAATGCTTTCTAGCTGGCCCTTACCTGCTGCACGCTGAAGCCACTCTTCTTGACTGCGAGGCAGACCAGCCCTCTCGAATCTTTGGTGGTGCTCGTTATAGACCGCAGGGTCAGTATAGACTCGTGCCTTGGACATGATTACTGCTCAATGGTTGTTGCAAAGACTTGATTGACAGAAAAGCTACGAGCTCGTCCCAGAAATGTGGGCACTGTTATATCTCCACCCCACAGCTATGCTGCTACCTGTATGCAGGGTGTCTCACATGCTTTATTATCATGCTCGCGCAATGCGGCTTCTTTCTCACGCAGGTCTCCAGGATCTGTGTAAACACCAATAATGTGCTCTCGCAGAGCACGCAATTGAGCTTCGCCATCGCGCTTACACCTATGGTCGAACTCAATTCCTAGGATGAGGGTGTTGAGTGGCATGCGACGAGCCGAAATGTAGCTTCACGGTGTCAAGTTCACAAATCTGCCGCGATTGCCAGAAACTAGACGTTCGCAGGCCCTGTCGGAACCATGGCGATGGGACTGGAGTTTATGCAAGTCGTCGAGCATACTGGATTGAGAGGAGCTTGGCAAGCCTCGGGATAGCCCGTTGGTGGGGCAGAGGTCCGATTCCAGCAACGGTGCTGCTGCTTCTGTCGCCTGCCGTATGCAGATCGCTGAACTCGCCTTCTCAGTACGATCCTTAGAAGAGTGCGCTTAGCGAGCCACAGCGTGATCGTCAGGTTGGGGAATGTAGAAGAGCCCTGCAGGGAGGCTTCTCGCGCTGACGGCGGTACTATCCAGCGGTGGCCGCGATTCCTGCGCGTATCATATTGAATGCTGGTATGTGCAAGTTACTCCTTCGCCAGCAATGCATTTGTTGTAGTACATCTCCAACATTACCACGATCTGTTCGCATTCATCTCCCATAACGACGTCCGTCGCCTCCGCCCCTATCGTATGGATTGGCACCACCACCGCCATATCCTCCAGCTTGGGGCCGATCGTACGATTGTGGTCCGCTGGGCGCTGGAGTAGCAGAAGGGCCGGTGTTGCCCTTTGCACCCCATAATCTGGCCTTCAGCCTGTCCTGGGCACTGCCCGCGGAAGGCGCTCCAGAACTGGTCGTTGGTGGACTCGGGTCGACCGCGCTGCCAGGGCGACTACCTGTCTGTTGTGATCCCATGGTTTGGTAGCTTCCTGCCCGCTGTGAGGGCAGAGGCCTTGCCTGCGGAGGGGCCAAATTGGTGCTGCTTGCGGAGGCCGGCTGATTACTCAGAGGCCTACGAGCGTTCCGTAGGCTCTGTGGCTGAGCAGTGACATTGCTTTGCCCGCCAGATGGTGGATCCCACAGATCACTCAGGCTGGAACTGCCTCGATTACCGCCCTGCGCTTGCGCCGTCCCATATGGACTTTTTCCGCCAGCGCTGGTCAGATAACTGCCATAGCCTCCTTGTTGACCGTACTGCTGAGGCACCGCCTTATTCTTCTCTTTTGGATCCGGGGGCAACCAAGGTGGGAATGGTCGCCCTTTCTCGGTGTAATGTGCACGTAGGACACGACAGATGTGTGTATCATCCTCCGTGTCACCGTCGTCTTCGCTCGAGAGGAGGGTCCGCCGCAGTGAATTGTACCGTGACGTCGTGTGGGTGAGCAAGTTACTCAGATAGGAGGACATGGTGATTTGCACTGCACGAGATACAGGTGGTCTGCCTGTTGGTCGTGTACTTCGTAGGCTTGCAATCGTCACCGATGCTTGATTGTCTAGCGCCGCCAAGAACCGCCCCTTCAGCTCCAGCCATTTCCGACTGAGCCACCTGGTTGTGGCGCGAGCTGCACCTGACGTCGTTCCATCAAACATCCAATGTTCGAACAAACTGTTGGCGGATCGTGCTACAGACACATCCTCACGAAACACGCACAAGCCAGCGCTCAACCGAATAACTCACAGCGAATCCGCGATCGTCTTACTCACCGCGATGCTATCGTTGTTCCGCTCGTATGTCCACTGTCACGCCCTTTGCCCTCCATAAGCAGACGGTGGACCTACCCTGTAGTCGTGCTTCCGACTCTTATCGAGACATCTACGCTGGAACTTCTTGCGACAGGTCTCTGTGCGCTGTGCGATCAAATGGAGACCTTTCTTGCCGATCTTCGCCATGCAGAACTGTCCGAAATATGCCATTGACACAGGCAGACCACTGGTAGAATCGCCCATGGATTGGTGGGTTTTCTTTGCACTAACAGGTATTCGCTGTCGCTGCGCTCAGATCCTGACATACGCCTGACATGGCTGGTGGGTACCCATAGTGATGTCAATGCCCTTCGCATGAGCTTCGCGACCTGATCGCGCAATGCCTTGAAGAGTCGGACGCTACATCGCCGCCGACACCGTTGTTGACTGTTCAGCCAGCCGCGCCAGGTGGAAGCGCATGTCGAATAATGAGCTTTGAGCGAAGGTACGTGCAAGCCCTACAAGGCATGCATTTACAGCTGCAAGCTCGCGACTTTAGACGAGCGGAGATTGAGCGGACATTCGCGCTGGGACGCTGGTCGGAACTTTCGCGGGTTCCTGCTTCGCACCAGGGCAACAGCTGAGGGGCTGCTCACAACAGCTCTGCTACGCGTGCAAGCTACTCGCGTGACTGTGAGACAGCACCCGCTCGTGCCGACTCGAGTGTCCCATCCACGGTGTGTGAGAGCAGTGCCCGAGAAGCGTAAGTAGACCCTGTCGACAGACGCGCGGCCAAATGTGGAAATAGAGACCGGCACGGCTTTGATGCCCCAGGTTGACGTGAGCAAACGATCGAACGATGCAGCAGCTCTGAAGTGGTTTGAGAAAGCAATTTTGTGAGCACGATATTCTCCGAGTATGGGCAGAGCACGACTGGCATTGGACTGCAAGACGAGAATGCTAAATATCCTCGCTGTGAGAAAGAGCTCACATTTGGCTTCCCGTTGCCCCGGGGAGATGATGTTGCTATGAGGCTCTGGACTCCGCAAAACAAAGCATTCACACATTCTCGACGTTCTGTTCTTTTGCTGCGGTCTGCGCATGGCTCCACTGCCGTCAAGCTAGCCGACGTGGTTGCTGTAGCTAATCCGGCAGCGATGTCCACGATGATGAGCGATGTGCGCTCGCGGCTCTGTCGTTGCACCACTTCCGCAATACTTCCGCCCGCACCCGGTCTCGACTGTCAGCACACATGGCTGCACTGCGCGCACGCACGCTGCAGCGGGGATGTGACACAGCACAGTGGTTGATGGCAGGAGGGCAACCCCGCTTCCAGTGCGATTGATCGGAGCAGCAGACAGGCTACACGGCCTGCAATGCATCGCCTTGGCCTGTCTTGCGAGCGTGCGCTTGCCATCGGCGAGGTGCATCGCGAGTGGGGTCGCGGCCAGTGACGTCCAACGCGTCCAGCGCTCAGTGGACGCGACTAGGTGAGGCCAACGGCGGCTCGCACTCTGCGCTTCGGCTCTGCTACGGTAGCTGTGCCCAAGCTCTGTGTTGCTGTTGCAGCGCGAGGTATATAAGAGCGGAGCAGGCGCGGCCAGCTGGTGTTTCGCACCCACTAGTTACTGCTCACCCTGCCGACTATTCGGGAAGCAGGACCGCAAGAACAAGCAGAAGCAAGGCAAGTCTTCCCCCGCATGAGATCCGCAATTGGCGTTGATCCAGAGCTTGTCGGATGTAGGGGTAGGAAGGAGCCACTAACACGCATTGATGATCGAACAGCCTTCCTCTCCGCCTCCAGCCCGCCCCCAAAAAGCTACACAGCTACTTATAAGCTCGCGTGGCTGCACTTTTGTCGACTTGAACTCCCTTCAAGACTACTCTCTACTCTTTCACAATGGTATTTGCCCGCTCCGCCCTCCGCGCTGCTCGTCCAGCCAGCTCGCTGCTTTCGCAACGCGCCACCACATCCTTCGCACACCGCGGGGCCTCGCTCTCAAAGACGGCGAGCCTCGGAGGCATCAGAACGCTGACAGCAACCTCGCGACAACAGGGCAAGGTTCTTCTCGTCCTGTACGATGTGAGTATACACCTTCCTCAAGCTTCTCCAGCTTGCTTAAAGCAATTGGCTAACCCATTTCAACAGGGCCACGAGCACGCGAAGCAGGAGCCACGCCTGCTCGGAACTACCGAGAACGAGCTCGGCCTGAGGAAGTGGATTGAGGATCAAGGCCACACCCTCGTGACAACCTCCGACAAGGAGGGCGAGAACAGCAAGTTCGATCAGGAACTCGTTGACGCCGAAGTCATCATTACCACACCGTAAGAGCTCACCAGCTGAGTGAAGCACTTGAAGGTAGCAGCAGCTTACAATCCCCAGTTTCCACCCAGGTTACCTGACTGCCGAGCGTCTCGCAAAGGCCAAGAACCTGAAGATTGCCGTCACTGCTGGTATCGGTTCTGACCACGTCGATCTCAACGCTGCCAACAAGACCAATGGCGGTATCACCGTTGCTGAGGTCACTGGATCCAACGTTGTATCTGTTGCTGAGCACGTCGTCATGACCATCCTCGTCCTCGTCCGCAACTTTGTCCCAGCCCACGAGCAGATCGCTGCTGGAGACTGGAACGTCGCTGCCGTCGCCAAGAACGAGTACGACCTCGAGGGCAAGGTTGTCGGTACCGTTGCCGTTGGCCGTATCGGTGAGCGTGTGCTCCGCAGACTGAAGCCATTCGACTGCAAGGAGCTCCTGTACTACGACTACCAGCCATTGTCGCCAGAGAAGGAGAAGGAGATTGGCTGCCGAAGAGTCGAGAACCTCGAGGAGATGTTGGCACAGTGTGATGTTGTCACCATCAACTGCCCACTCCACGAGAAGACACGCGGTCTGTTCAACAAGGAACTCATCAGCAAGATGAAGAAGGGTGCGTATACAGTAATCTCTCCAGTTCGACGCTGGCTAATTCGTTCTAGGCTCATGGCTCGTCAACACCGCTCGTGGTGCCATCGTGGTCAAGGAGGACGTCGCCGAGGCCCTGAAGTCTGGTCAGCTCCGCGGTTACGGTGGTGACGTGTGGTTCCCACAGCCAGCTCCTAAGGATCATCCACTCCGATACGCCTCTTACACCACCTGGGGTGGTGGCAACGCAACTGTTCCTCACATGTCCGGTACATCTATCGACGCCCAGGCCCGATACGCCGCAGGTGTCAAGAACATCTTGGAGGAGTACTTCAGCGGCCGTCAAAACTACAGACCTGAGGACTTGATTGTCCACCAGGGTGACTACGCCACCAAGGCTTACGGTCAGCGCAACAAGGCATAAACGACTCGGCTGGTCTGAGCAATAATGATGCCCTGCGATGCCTTTGGTGTAACGTGTATTTAGCGTGTTAAAAGAACCATTCTGTGCATATTACTGAGCAGACCTCTCCATCTCAGATTTCATACGGTTGTGTGCGGCATTCTGCTGATGATCGCAGGGTACTTCCATCGATGAGTCTTGAAGGTTGCGCTCCGATTGCTGGCGAGACTTTCGTCCTGCTGCCGCGTCCGATACTGCCGCCCTGTCGATACAATAATGTCGTGTATTGGTGGAGAAGGCTACGAAATGAAGAGCTAGGGATGAGGTCACAATAGTGCGCGGCTTTTCATCGGCAAGCACCACACGCACCGCGACATGGGGTCGGGCGCGCAACACTGCACAGTGTAAGGAGACGGAGTCGATTGGGACGGAATGGCACAGGCTGCAATAACTCTTGGATACCACACGGCACACATGTCCAGCTCTGTGCGACGGCTCAACGAGGCTCTCGCAAGGCACTGCGGTTCAGCCGTACGCGCAAGGCAGTCTGTGAGGATATTGAGCGACGAATCGTGCACAACGCTCGTCAGGTACCAGCTGTCACAGCAGTCAGTATAATAGTAGACCAAGGTAGGGCGCTACAGTACTCTATACACGAGGGACATAATTGAAAAGTATGCTACGCAGGTTTTGTATATCTTCGGCAGCTCCGGTTGCTAGTTTGCGCATGGCATTTTGCAAGGCCCGCTGTGGCTTCCACATGGTAGATTCCGCCGGAGAACGCTCCATCGGTGTTGTAACCCGTGAGTGCAGCGTGATGGCTGAAGCCACGAGGCTGTGTGATCGTAGGGCTGAAATCGGCGCACCCCACATGCGGTTGGCTTCCGTCAATTTGCTCCAATTCTCGGTCCGTTTTCGCGTGATCCTGCCCATTCTCCTTGAACTGATCAGACAGAGCTCACACATACCAGAACAGAAGCACTGTTGATGAGGAAGATACTGTCATCCTTTGCTAGGATCGCAAGACCGTGTTCGCGGACTCCCTCTGGACTTGTCAGTCCACGAAGATGGATCTTTGAACATGCACGCAGCGTTACGCCAACACGTACGCGGCAATGCCTATTGCATGCTTCCCAGCACGTCGGCTCCAAAGGATCTGCATCAGCGGCCAGCAACACATACACCGAACCCACGATATACGCGCTATCAACCGCCCCTGGACGAGCTGCTATTGCAGTAATACGCGTTTCGGGACCCGCAAGTTTGCAAATCTACCACGCGTTATGTCCAGGCAAGAAACCACCTAAGTCGCGTGTGGCAACAGTGCGAACCCTGTATGATCCAAGCGGACCACCGTCTCAAGACTCCGTGCTAGACTCAAGCGCCCTCGTCCTCTATTTTGAAGGACCGACCACGGCAACCGGTGAGGATGTGCTGGAACTCCATGTCCATGGTGGCCCGGCTATTGTTAAAGCCATCCTTGCCGCTATCTCGAGGTGCAGGACCTCAAGTGGGAGCATGATCAGATACGCAGAGCCCGGAGAGTTCACTAGAAGGGCCTTCATGAATAAGCGGCTCGATCTGACACAAGTGGAATCATTAGGAGACACACTGGCTGCTGATACCGAGCAACAGAGACGACTTTCTGTTCGCGGCACCACTGGAAGCCTTGCGAAACAGTATGAAGCATGGCGGCAACAACTGCTGTATGCGCGTGGCGAGCTCGAAGCTCTGATTGATTTCAGTGAAGATCAGCATTTCGATGAGAGTCCCAGCGAGCTTATGACTTCTGTCGCTGCGCAAGTGGAAGTGCTGCGCAAGTCACTCTTGATCCACAGTCAGAATGCCGTACGTGGCGAGCTTCTTCGTCACGGGATCAAAATCTCACTACTCGGAGCGCCCAACGCTGGCAAAAGTTCCTTGCTAAACCGCATTGTCGGTCGCGAAGCGGCAATTGTCAGTAACGAAGCTGGTACCACGCGTGACATTGTGGAAATCGGGCTTGATTTGGGAGGCTATCTCTGTCGTTTTGGCGATACAGCTGGTTTACGACGCGCAATTGAGGCAGATCTGGGAAGTGGAAAATCTGCCGAGAAGATCAACCAAATCGAGCAGGAAGGTATGCGGAGGGCGAAGGCCAGAGCCGAGGAGAGCGACCTGGTCGTTGTGGTATTCAGCTTTGAACAGACTGAGGATGGTCGTATCTGCCTCAACCTCGACCCCGAAGTCTGCCAAATGGCCGAGCGTTTGAAGAGCGAAGGGAAGAACGTCGTGGTTGTCGTCAATAAAGCGGACTTGGTCCATGATGGAACGAGCGTGGATGTCGATGCCATACAACATATCAGGAAAAGACTGCCACTGGTAGCCGACGAGTCGATCCAGGTCTTGTCGTGCCTCGATACAGATGAGGCGAGGAATGCCTTACGCTCGTTTCTCAAAGGACTTGTCACAGAGTTCGAGAAGCTAACAGCAGCTATCTCGCCCGAGCTCGGTATCGACGGCCACAGCCCAGATCAGTCAATCTGGCAAGAATCCCTGGGAGCGTCTGAGCGGCATCGGTTGCTACTCGATCAATGCATCGCCGCCCTAGACCAGTTCATGTCAGAAGCACAAGTGGAATCGAAGTCAACTATGAACGAAGGCGAAGAAGCCGACATAGTCCTCGCAGCAGAACATCTACGCGCGGCAGCTGACTGTCTCGCCAAAATCACAGGGAAAGGCGAATCTGGCGACGTTGAAGAAGTGCTAGGAGTGGTATTCGAGAAATTCTGTGTGGGAAAATGAACCATAATCATTGCATCGTTTCTGTCGTATCTCATAGCCTTCGCTGGTACATTACACAAGAAATCTCGAGCTCCACATTATCCACTCACAGGACGCAATGGGGCAGCCAGTCTTGTGCCATCAAGAGTTGCAGATGGCTCAAAGGGAGAGACTGGCGATGCAAAGCTCACGCGGCTTTGCCTCCCCTTTTGAGGAGTCAAATCTGGACTTGCCAGGGGACTGACTGGGCTAGGCTGTCTTTGTGTCCAACTCTCGTTCTTGTGCAGACTCTGCAGTAGGGTCGGGATGGTCGGCGAGCTGACTCTGTTCGGATCGACCGGTTTCACATCATCGTCTTCGGGTGTGGCGGCGTCACGAGGATCCGAGGTTGTTTCGACGCTTTGGAAGCCTTTGGTGTCGCATGTCAGCCGTGTATTGTCCCGGGCTGGTCGCGAGAAGTTCAGAGGGTTGGGCTTCAGTACTTCGTCGGATTTCGAAGGCGGTAGCTCTCGCCTGCTTGTGTCTTCGAGCTCCACTTTGGGCAAATCAACCGCCAGTGGACTGTACGCTGGTAGTGCTGTATTGGTCTGTCCTGGCTGGAGTGTTCGTGGAACTTCGGAAAGTGGTCTTGTGGTGTAGCCCAGCTCGCATGGTCGGCTGCTACTGTCGAGCTCACAGCTTCTCGGATACGTGGAGTCGAAAGATCCGGATTTCATGAATTCGACCACTTCGGTCTCGTCGTCTCCGCCTCCTCGTAATTTTGGATGCATGTATCGAACATTCTGGCGTTGTCGCTTTCGTCGGTTCAGACAGAATATGATCGCAGACAAAAGCAGGACGGCACCGATGACCACTGAAACTGCAATGATGACAATCTCCGTTGTCGAGAGAGGAATCTTATCTGAAGGCGGCATCGTGATCACGATCGGGCAAAAAGCAATCACAATTCAGCTTGAACAGCTTTCGTGGAGGGTGCTGTAGTTGTACTCGTACAACGTGAGACGGGATGACGGGATGCCCAGTTGGAGCAGGCCTGTGAAACACGAAGCAGCTGTCAGGTTTTTGAAAGTACACATTGCCTCCGTAATGCTTATGTGGCGGAGTGATGGGGCATGGCTCAGCGCAGCAAGGTCCGTCATGGCTTCTGTGGACGGGGCTTGGGCCGCGGACGCGTATGGTATGACAGCACACGTTCGCCAAGTGAAGACGACATCGGAGATCGAGGGAGCCAGGCGTCGGCCATTGGAGTTCATGCGAAGATACTTGCGTCTCGACCTGTCTGTATGCTGAGACCTTGTTGTGTGGCAGTGTTTGCGGAGAGCAGATGTTGACTGCGGACGATCCGGCAGCAGGGATACCTGTTCATGAAGAGCTAGCCAACCCAGACCATCTTCTTGGCATATCCAAAGCCAGTATGCCGAGTGCGAAATTGTCCCCCTCATTGCGGCGGGTCATTAGTGATATAGGTGATGTCGAAGTAGTGGAAATGTATCTCAAAACTCGTTGATTCCAAATGTGCCTTGCCAATTGTCCCGCTATGGTAAAAGCTGCAAAAGATGTATTTCCCGTCCAGCAGAGAATCAAATCGCCATCCTATGCCTGCGCATCCCGCTTTTCTCTATGTGTAGATGAGCCCAAAACATGTCTATTGTTCTTTCCCAAACGCCTCGCAATGCCGCTCCGATGCCTTGAATTACTCTCGAACACAACCCGCATTTGCCCAGCAAAACAAATCGATCTTCCTGGATCTACCAGGTCGTCCTCAATGCACTATTACTAGCCCATAATATCGTTGAATCCAAGAAATCGAGACCAGTCCCATTATGATTAAGAAAGAGTCGAAGGTCGCCTCGAAAAATTCCAGCCGAGTCTAGCTCCGCGATTGACTGGAAGTACTCCATTGCCAGAATGACTTAGTTGTATCCACTGTTCAAAGTCAGACCAAGTCTCATCAATGTATGCAATCTATGCTTACCCTCTGCCATCATCATTCTTCGCCATCGTCGAAGTTGCAATTGCTTGTCGTTGAAACATTATTTGATGTAGATAGAAAATGTTCCGGTAATTATGCCGGATAAGAATAAGAGGTTGTCCCTGCGTGAAGAAAGTTGCGGTGTCTTGTAGCGTTTCCCTTGAGGTTGGAAAGAGCTTGAAGTCGAGATGGAAGCGTCGTTTAGTTGTATCCTCCGCGACCCATTATGATGATTTGAGATACGAGATAAGAAAGGGTGTTGGGTTTAAGGAAATCGGTCTTGAGAGAGATGACAGTAGGAGACAGGAAATGTCAAGCGTACTGAGGCTTGCTTGAAGTCGTTGACAGGAAAAGGTGCAGTCGTAGTCCTGAAGCTGAATGGAAATTGTTGACAGTAGGAAATTCGCGCTGAAGACTGTAAAGGAAATGAAGCTGTTGTGTTGCGATGCTGCTGATGATGAGAAGGGAAGCAGGAGTGGCGATCAGGACATGATCTATATAGGATCATGCTCACCCCAAAGCACACGTTCGGTGTGCACCTACGCATGTCATCGTGAAGGCTTCCAGGGACCAAAAGCCAGCCATCGGACAAGCCATCTATTCCCGTGCCTGCAGCAGCGGACGCAGTCACAAACACAGCTTTCGGAAGAGAATTGGCAGTCACTTCTTTCAGCCAAAGGTGCAGTGCCTCTCACTAGCGGGCCGTGTAGGACCTGCCACGAGGCTCGGACAAGCGAATCGGTGGCCAGAACGGGCGGGACGTCGAAGCATGCGAAGGAAGTCCTGAGCAAGCGCAAGCGTGGAGTCGATGTCTAGCGCGGTCACGGGAGTCAGAAGAAGGCTATCAATAGCAACTAAGGATCGAAAGCGGATAATTAATGCAGTTATCCAGCACTCTTCGGGCCTAGCTCGTCGGATGGCTTTTGTGCTCAGCCCTCTGACATGCTCCTCTCTTCCGCCTTTTCGATACTTATGGTGAACCATTTTGCTATGCTACAGTGAGGCGTCGAGACGGTGAAGGATGCCGCTGCTACTACTGCGACCTTATTATCCTGCATTCATGACGACGCTGACCTGCTGCTGCAGCCCTATGCAGCTCTCGCGGCGATCTACCGTATTGGTAAAAGGTACAGCAGGCCGCCCGTTGCTGGCTGTCTTTGCTTGACTGCGGCAGGAACCATCGCCATGTGGCTATCATGCTAAAATGGATCCATCCCATGGCATCGGATTCGACTTGGTGACCCGCCATGCTGTCACGATGCAGCACGATATCGCAAGTCTTCCACTAACCCGGCCCAGGGTTCGCATTGTGGACACTCTCTGCTGCATCATCGCAGCTGGATGTGGACGAAGATAGCACGTTCAGGGTGCAGTCGATTGCTGACCCGCAATCAAGGTCCGCCGAGATAGGCCTCAAACATGATATGCTGTAGGATCACAAGTTGTCACCTGCTCTACAGGGCCCGGAGCTCCATCGACCCAACAGAGAAATGTCTTCCACGTCCGTCATGCAATGCCTCCATTGTGCTTCCGTGAGATGCCATTGGCTGTGGCGGATCGTAGGCTGACCGCACTGAGCCGGAAGCTCTTCGCGCAAGCCTGACAGTAAACACGAAGACATCCATTGTCAAAGTCTTTTGCTGACCGGACCGCGACTCCGTCAACAATCTTCCTCCATAAGCCAGCGCGATGACGGGAAACCGCCCGGTAACCCGCAACCAACCCTACGCTCGTCTGTCAACTTCCACAGATCTGCACATTTTATCATCTACTCTGCCCAAAGTGATCGACACCATAACAGCCCAGCCAGTCTGCAGGAACCAGATACTTACAGCTGGCAGGATGACAGAGCCTCCTGCATGCCCGATTCCTCTGGCAAAAGTACATGCAAGTTCAGCATCAGTCATCAGCCCTATGTCGGTAGAGGATCCTTCGCAAGTACCGCTGCCATCCTGTAGTCGCGAATGTCTCGCTGCGAGATTTCCAGACGTGGATTTTTAAAATTATTTCTTATCTGGGCAACAATGCAAAGCCTGCGTGGCATGCTTTTTAATCATCTCTCTCGTGAATGCAGTACCGTAGCGCCTCCACCTCAATCTACCATTACACTAACTGCTATGATAGCTGGTACCTGACGAGCGTTGTACACGATTCGTCGCTCAGTATCCTCACAGCCTCCCTGGCTACCAAGCATAGCCATCTTCTTCCTCATCTGCGTCTTCGTTCCAATCATCATCTCCACTGGCCTCTGCGTCAAGGAAATCGGCTTCCGTATACTGCATCTCGCGCGGTCGCTGGTTATCAATGCGAATGTCCACAACATCGCAAAGACCTTGTATGAAATTTTCTGGCACTTTGCGCCAATCTGCCCCTCCAACTTCCTCATCCGACTCTGTATCCGATGCTGATTCTGGCGACGGGGTGGTGGTTTTCGAACGTGAAAGCAGCTGAGTTTCTGCAACACGCTTGCTGCGACGTTGTGGCCTGGACTTTGGCTCAGCCTGGAGATCAGAATCAGAATACTGATCTGTGTCGCCGCTGGGTTTGTGCGGCGAGATCTGCACGTGAGAAGCCTTTCGGACACGTGAATGTCTGCCGTCAACTGGTACGTCTCGACTCAGCTCATCTAGGTCGCTGCTGTACATTCCGTTCTCAATTGAAGCACTCGGTCGAGACATCCGGAACTGCCGCAGCGAGCCGAAATTCTTGTTTGGCTCAGCGTGCTCACGCTGGTACACCCGTCGAAGACGCTCGATCCATTGGTCTCGAAATTGGACACGATCACGCCAGGGGATGTTTACGTGCGCATGGATGATCAGCGTCCGTAGATCTGGTAGTTCATCTGCTCGTTCGACAAGTGTTCGGAAGAAGTTCTGCGCTGACTCAGGTGACCACTTCTGTGCTTCCAGAATCTCCAAGTGCCGCAAAGTCGGGGGCCAGGTCGCAGTCTCATTCTCGGGCAACAGCTCATCGTAGAGCTCAAAAGCATCATTCGTCGTTTCCTTCTCACTGTAGAGCTGCAAGTCCATTCTCAACACTTCCAAGCGCGGGCACTTCTCCTTCAAGCTTTGGGTGAAACTGAGGTTCAAGGCAGCATTGTTGTTCAGCTCGAGGACCCTCAGCTGGGATCCAGACGTGTTGAAGAAGTCTCGCAGCATGTCACTTGTGATTTCCAAACAGTTGCTGAGCTCAAGACGTCGCAAGTTGTTCGGAAGTCGTTGCAGAAACTTGTCCATGATAATGTCGCATGATATGAATGTTAGGTCAGTCAGCGCAGGCAGCTTGGCGATAGACGTCGCAAGACCCGGCGGGCTACGGCTCTCATCTTCCACGTCCACAGCTGCAGGTTCCAAGCTGTCGTCAACATTGAATCCGGTGACGACCAAACGCCTCAGATAGGCGAAGACACTACTGTCGTGGACATCGGACAGCTTTTCATACAGATCCAGTGGAATGTCGTGGGCCAAGGGGTGTTTTGCAATTGTGTCACGACTCCAACGCCAGGTTCGCAAATGGATTCCACGATTTTCCATCGCCTTCACCAGCTCTCGAGGTTGTAGGGTCCACTTGGGCTGCTTTCGAGGTCTGTAAGGCTTCTCGTAGTTCTGGTGCAGCAGTTCCATGTGTTGCAGCTGTGGCAGCTCGGGGATGAGCTGCAATAGATCAAATACAGGCCTTCCTGGTGCTGAGTATGCCAGATTACGAAGATCGACGTTGAGCCTGTGGATCTTGACATTGTAATTCACAAATCGTTGATCGTTGGAGGTTCGCAAGAGATCGAGCAGCTGGTGAGGATGCTGTGTATTGTAGATTCCCGGCGAGTTGTAGTACGCATCAAGCGCAGGCTCCGCGAACGCGCGACACACCCGTGCGGCAGATAGCTTGAGCCACGCTGCATTGTCGTGCGACGGGCGAGTCCATGATTGTGTATCGCCGGCGGCATAGGTAAAGATGCTCTTGAGGATATCATGCGGAAGCTCCACCCACTTTGGGATCTTCCCATCGCTTGGACCATCGAACACTTTCTTTACCGGCTCGACGTTCGGCTTCCTTGACTTTCCAACCCTGAATTCCTTCTTCAGTGAGCTCTGCCGAGTCTTCGCGGCCTTGCTTCGAGTGAGTGGTTTGCGCCGGGTGCTGAGCTTGCGCCTCTTTGGTGCGGGCTCTTCCGCGACTTCGACCGGCTGTTCGTGTGGAGTGTAGTCATCTTCGCTGCCTGCCTCGAAGTCGTCGTCGGTATCGGGATCGAGGTAGATGGAGCGGCGTCGAGTGGCTGCTTGACGAGTGGAACGTCGCTTCGTGCCGGCCATGACTGCGCCCACTCGCTGCACAGGACGATGTTGCGCTCACGACCAAAAGAGTGCGATGGATGCGACCGACCGCGTGGCAAGGTGGTGCAAGAGATGAGACGTGGTGGTGCAAGGCTGCTGGTTCGCGTGCTGCTTGCCTTGCACAAGGAAAGTGTGACGCAGGGATGCATGATGCATGCGCCGGCAACTCCCGCAGACAAGCGCGGTCGATCACGGTGGACCCTGAATGCGCAGGCAGATTTCGGTCACTGGGACTGGCAGCCTGAAGACCTCGACCGCGGCGACGAGTCTGCAACGCTTTCACATTCGCGTTGTCGTTCGCACGCTTCAGAGAACACCTTATTCGTGTATCCAGTTCGCGGCGTGCCGCCATTGTGGTCGTCGAGCCCACGAGTTCGCTGCTGTGACGCGTCGAGTTCGCGACACCAGGGCCCGTTGATACCATGCTACAGCGTGCAGCATGAGGCTCACTTCTGTGTCTCCATCTTCTGCATGATCCACAGTCGCCAACATGCGGTTCCGCGCAGGCATACAGAATGTGCACACGTTCACCAAGTTCACGGCCTCACTCGCTTCTCTCGGCAACATTGCCTGGCTCAGACTGGACGAAAAGGATGTACGCTTCACTGTCATTCCTGAAACTGGTTCCCAAGTTTGGTCGGTCCTCGCCATCGACACAATCTTCGAAACGTACAGCATTCAGTCTGCCGCCGAGGGCAACACCATCAATCTCGAAGTACCGCTTGCGCCACTGCAACGAGCGCTGAAGAGTGCTGCTCATGCGACATCCGCGAGCATTCGCCTCACCAAGAAGGACAACGTGCCCTTGCTGTCGCTCACGATCGCAACTCAGCCGATCAACAGTAGTGCTTCAAATGCCAATGGCCATCCTGGCTACGACAGACACAGCGGAGAGGATGCCGACTTCTTGACTGCTAGGCAGGAGCGGGAGACTCTCGTCACACAAGACATCCCCATACGCGTTCTTGCACCAGCCTCTGTCGATGGCTTGCACGAGCCAAGATCTCGACTGCCGGACGTGCACATCACACTGCCGAATCTCATGCAGTTGAAAGGCATCAGCGATCGCTTTACCAAGCTAGCCATGTCGGCAAAAAGCACACGAGGTGGCTTTACTAAGTCTATGGCTGGGCCGAAGCTCGAGATCAGCGCGAACATGCATGGTTGTCTACGACTCACGCTGAATACAGATGCGATGCGGATCAACAGTCTCTGGACCGGACTCGAGAATCCAGAGCTTGATCCTTCGCAAGTCGAAGACGGTGTGGATGGGCTTGCAAACCATCCGAGTACCCGAATGAAAGCGCTCGGCGACGCTTCTGGACAGAGCGAAGAAGGCTGGGCGACCGTGCGTGTGGATGGTCGAGACTGGGGACGTGTGTTGAGCGTCGGTCGTCTGGGCGGAAGAGTAATTGCCTGCTTCGCTGACGAGCATGCGCTCGTTCTATATGTCTTCCTCGACCGTGATGATCCTGGTGGCGGCGAAGATGTGCTTACGGTAGGACTTTCTCGTCCACGCAAGTCTGTCCCATTTCTGACTGAAGCCACAGTATTACATCTCGTCCTTCGTGCCATAATCAAATCCACATGTCGATGTACCAACACGCATTGGTGGATGATCGGTCAGCTGCTCCGTGCGGCGCGGCTGGGTCGTGTGTTGGCGTGCTGGCAAGGGTTTCTAGACGGACCGAGAAATGTCTCACATGCCCACTTGCACTGTTCACAGCGACTGTTGTGTAAAACTACAAAAGTACATAGCATGACGTCGAATCTCACACAGAGTGTGATTGTTCAGCTCCCGATCTGATTCGTTGCTGCAGCTTGCCAGACGTCAAGTTAAGCCTAGGTTTGGCTCCAGACTTTCGCGCTAGGTTCTTGGGTTCGTCCTCGAGTGTGTCTCAGGGGGTCCTGTGTTTCCACCACCTGAACGCTCGAGCCGCTATCCGTGCGAAGGTCCGCCCAGCACACGACTCATCGTGAAACCTGGAGACACGTCCACCAGCATCCACCCCCCCAAGCACGCCGGGCGTGCCACCGTCGACCGCCAGCTCAACGAGCGTCAACAACACCGCAGGAGCAAGCGAGCGAGTTCGCGGCGTGTGGCTCGCGTGGTCGCGCAGCGGCGACAACGACTGCATAGGTACCGGGAGCAGCGACGACGGCAGGACGTCAGTGCATGCTGGCCAGACGCACTATACATAGTAGATCCGCGCCAGCACGTGCGGCGGCCTGAAATGAAGACGCTGGCCGGCCAGGACACGCCTCGAGATTAGCAGCAGCAACTAGGCAGCATACAGTCTGGCTGCAACAGCGCCTGAGTGCGCGCGGAGCGCTAGGGAGGAGGAGATTAGGCCGCGGGCGAGGCCAGAGGCGGCGGACAGCAGGGACACAATACCATGTTCTCCACCGACAAGGCCGCGCGCCAGTCCAGCGGCACCAAGTCTTTCTTCCACCGGAGCAAGAAGGACAAAGGAGATGCGGCGCCCGTACCTGACAACGCTTCGCGCCATTCGCACCGGAGCTCCACCTCGACTATCGACCAGGAGGACTACATGAGGCACGGTCACTCGCAAGATGGAATCAATATGCAAGCCGGCGTGATCACCAGCATACCATATGATGCTATGCGACAAGATCGCCCACCTGTGCATGTTGAGCACGGCGACCGGCCAGTGTCGCGGCGGGATCCGCTGCCCCACCACCTCAACAAAGGTGGCGGAGACTTCCACCAGTACCCAGTCATCGATCCGAGCGCCATGGCCCCGAGACCGCCCACGCACGGCAGCAGTACCCGCAGTGCTCGGCAGCACGACCCGGAGACCTCGACGCTGAACGGCTACGCACAGTCGCGAAACTCCTCTGACCATGGGAGCATCCGCTCCAACTCCTCCTACGACCGTCGCCAGTACCAGTACGGAAATGGTGGCTCCTACGCTGACCACGAGAGAATGTCGCAAGCCACGACCTCGTCCCGCGACCGGGACCGCGGGCACAATTATCTCAATGTCTCGAATCCGTCCGCACACTCGAGTACCATGTCCTTCACGCCTGAGGGCTTCCTTATGCAAAGGCCAAGCGACGACAGGATCATTGAGAAGGAGTTCTTGGAGTTGATGCTGAAGAGAGGATGGAAAAGCTTGCCGGAACAGGCGCGGCGCCAGATGGAGGCCTATCCTATTAGCAAAAAATGGACCTTGGTCTATCAAGATCGGCTGGCAGAATGGCAAGGAGAACAAAAGCGGAAACACATGTCACGGAATACCATGACCAGCATGCAGGGGTTCGACATAGGACGTATGGACGAAGAGGGCAGCCCGGAGTGGTATGTTAGGAGAATTCTGGACAACTCCATAACCCCCAAGCAGCTCCAAAGCTTGTCAGTCAGCCTGAGAACGCAGCCTATCGCTTGGGTGAAGGCCTTTGTGGAGGCACAAGGCCAAATCGCTCTGACAAACTTGCTGGGCAAACTGAATCGAAGGACCGCATCTGGACCGACGCCGAATGGTGGTGTTCTGACTGAGAAAGACATGGACCGCGAGTACGATATTGTGAAATGTCTGAAGGCATTGATGAACAACAAGTACGGTGCGGACAATGCTCTCCAACATGACAGCATTGTCATGTCCCTCGCGAGCTCACTCACTTCACCCCGTTTGAACACGCGAAAACTGGTGTCGGAATTACTTACATTTTTGTGCCACTGGTCGGATGGCGCGGGCCATCTCAAAGTGTTACAAGCTCTCGATCATCTCAAAGCTGCACAGAACGAAAATGGCAGATTTGACGCCTGGATGCGAATTGTGGAAGTTACCATTGACGGGCGAGGGAAGATGGGCTCGCTCGTCGGAGCATCAGACGAGGTTCGCAGTGGGGGCATTGGCATGGAGAACCTGCTCATGGAATATGCCGTGGCATCACTCTTCCTGCTCAACTCCATCGTGGATGCACCTGAACGTGATCTACAGCTACGATGTCATATTCGTGCCCAATTCGTGGCTTGTGGCCTGAAACGAATCCTGACGAAGATGGAGGACTTCCAGTACGAAGTCATTGATAAACAGATTGAACGGTATCGAACAAACGAAGCAATCGACTACGAGGACCTGCTGGAAAGGGATGGCAACTCAATGCACGATAGCATGGAAGGCGAGGGTAAGGACCTCAACGATCCCGTACACATCGTGGAAGCCATTCAGCAAAGAATTGCGGGCAGCAAAGAAGGAGACTATTTCCTGTCCGCACTTCAGCATTTGCTCCTCATTCGTGACAATGAGGGCGAGGATCGTCTGAAGCTCTTCCAACTTGTGGAAAGCATGCTTTCGTACGTCGCTATGGACCGACGGTTGCCAGACATGGACTTGAAGCAGTCGCTCAACTTCTCTGTGCAGTCGTTGATGGACAAGCTTCACACGGACTCTGAGGCCCGGCAAGCAAGGGAAGCAGCGCACGAGGCAAAGCTGATAGCAGATGCTGCCATCGCGGAGCGTGACGAGATGCGGTCTCAGGTGGAAATGGGCGCTGAAGGACTTGTGGCCAAATTACAGAAACAAGTAGAAGAGCAAGCGGCTGTGATCGATCTGCAGTCACGGCAAGCAGACGCATTGAGATCCGAGCTTGGCGATCTGCAAAGGGTACGTGCCCAGGACTTGCAACGTCAGGAACTGGAGACCAGAGAGCTCTATCTTATGCTTCGAGATGCACAAGACATAGCCGCTTCGCATGCGAAGAAGGAAGGCAAGAATGGCGAACGAGCTGACCCAGCACAACTGCAAGGTATCTTGGATCGCGAGAGGCTTATGGATCGTCTCGAGATGCAACTGGAACGTGCAAAGACTCAGGCGAAATTGGAGGGCAAAGTCTGGCAGCAAGTCAATCCTAGTGACAAGCTGCGAGAACTCCGCGAAAAGATGGAAGGAGTTGGTATGGAGCCTGATGGTCTAGGCGCACACATGCCATACCTAGGCTCTGTCACCCGAGCGAAGAGCGGCATCACTCGCAAGCCAGTTTCGAAGCCAACCGACGGTGAGACCGAGGACGATGTCGACGAAGACATGCAAGATGACGAGGCGATATTCGAAAAGCCACGCTTGGTCGAATACACGCGACCCAAGGTCCCAACGAACGTGGCTCAAGCGCAACAGGGCATGCTCGCAGAACTGCAGCGTAAGACTCAACGTGTCGAGGGCAGCGATGATGAAGGGGATGGAGTCACCACAGGGCCAAGCCATCCAAGTCTGGAAAGCGAGAGCCCGAAGACACCAACAAGTACCGATGAAGCTGCGGCTATTGCGAAAGATGGCTTCAATGGTCCACCACCCCCGCCGCCCCCTCCTGTTCCTGGCTCTGGCTCTGGCTTTGATGGCGCGCCGCCGCCACCTCCTCCGCCGATGCCTGGCTTTTCAAATGCTGCACCGCCTCCACCTCCTATGCCTGGGTTCGGGGGTGCTGCACCACCTCCACCTCCGCCATTACCAGGCTTTAATGGCGCCGCACCTCCTCCGCCGCCACCACCTCCAGGCGTGGCGTTTGGCGGCCCACCCCCGCCTCCAGGAGCGCCTCCTTTGCCGGGCAAGATGAATGGCGGATTCTTACCCAAGCAGATGTACAATACCTCAACTTCGCACAGTACTGCTGGACCAAGGCCGAAAAAGAAGCTCAAGGCACTTCACTGGGAGAAGGTTGACGATGCGGATCGTACCATGTGGGGTCTGCATACACCGACATTCGAGCAGAAGGAAGAGAAATACCAAGAGCTGTCGAAGAAGGGAATTCTGGACGAGATCGAGAAGCTTTTCATGGCCAAGGAAATCCGGCAAATCGGGCAAGGCGGTGGCAAGAATAAGAGCGACAAGAAGCAGATCATTAGCAGAGACCTCATGCACATGATGCAGATCTCTTTGGCGAAGTTCGCTAATGTCGAGCCCGAGGATGTCGTCCGCATGATCATTCATTGTGATCGTGAGATTTTGGACAACGGCAACGTCATGGATTTCTTGCAGCACGAGAACCTTTGCACTATTCCGGATAACGTGGCTAAGCTAATGGCCGCTTATTCGAAGGACTGGAATGGCCCAGATGCGCTCAAGGCTACACGCGAATCTGATCCTGCCGAGCTTACTCGCGAAGACCAAATATACCTCTACACAGCGTACGAGCTGCATCATTACTGGAAAGCACGTATGCGAGCATTGGCGTTGACAAGAAATTATGAACCCGAGTACGAGGAGATCTCGAACAAGCTGAAGAACGTTGTAGCAGTCTCTGAGTCGCTGCGTGACTCTGTCAAGCTGATGCCCGTCTTCGGCTTGATTCTCGACATCGGCAATTATATGAACGATTCTAATAAGCAGGCTATCGGATTCAAGCTTTCCTCTCTGGCTCGTCTTGGAATGGTCAAGGACAAAGACAACGAGTCCACGCTTCTCGACTATGTCGAACGTGTCATCCGCCAACAGTATCCACAATACGAAGGCTTTTACGATGACATTTCCGGTGTGCTCACCGCACAGAAGATCAATATCGAACAGCTGCAATCGGATGCGAAGAAATATATAGACAACATTGCCAACGTACAGATGAGCTTGGACAGTGGCAATCTGTCAGACCCTAAGCGATTCCACCCGGAGGACAGGGTTTCGCAGGTTGTGCAGAGAAGCATGAAGGAAGCCAGGCGGAAGGCCGAACAGATGCAACTGTATCTTGACGAGATGAAGCGGGTGTACGACGATATCCTGACGTACTTCGGCGATGACAACAAGGACGAGAATGCAAGGCGAGAGTTCTTTGGCAAGCTGGCCAACTTCTTGAACGAGTACAAGGTAAAAGACCCTGGTAGCTTCCTATATTCATCGCTACCATACTGACCATGAGAACAGAAAGCGCACGAGAAGAATCTCAAGCTGGAAGAGCAGTGGCGCCGGAATGAGGAGAACATGCGCCGCAAGCAGCTGAAAACCAGCGCTGCAACAGCTATCAGCAGCGGCGAGCTCAGCCCATCTCCTTCCACAGGCGCCATGGACTCTCTTCTCGAGAAGCTGCGCGCGGCTGCACCTCAATCGCGTGACACTCGCGAAAGGCGGAGACGAGCTCGTCTCAAGGATAAACATCAAGTCCGCATCGCTTCTGGCCAGCAGATACCGGAGACTGGCGAGAATGTTGAAGAAGATGTTGACAATTCAGAAGGCCTGCTGAAGCCGTCGCGGACTAACGACTCTGATCCCGCATCGGCAGGCGAGGGCGGCGTCTCCGAGAGCGAGGATATTGCAGATCGTGCAGCTTCTCTGTTGCAAGGCCTTCGTGGCGACGCTGAACCTGCAGATCCACAAGACAACACGCTGCGGGTTCGGCGAAGAAGAGAGAGCGCCGATGACGAGCGCTCGAAAAGAAGAGCTCGACGGCGAAACGCCGCGGGTGGCAGCGTTGATCAGAGCGAAGGTCGTCCCACAAGCACGATAGCAGAAGAGTCCGAGAAAGGGGACGGTTCTGCGGACGCGCCTATCGTTATCGACGAAGATCCTGCAAATGCTGCTGAAACCGCCGGTGCAGAAGACAAGAAGGACCCGGAAGCAACTCCAGCTGCCCCGCCTACCACTGTGATCGTGCCTCCCAGTCCCGATCTCTCGGCTCAAGACGACGATGCCACGCCGAAGGAGTAGCACTTTGTCGGCCGTCGCACCGACTCCTCACACGAACAGATCCAGCTTAAGCTGCTGTGATCCGCTGCAAAGGATGTAAATGATTGACGGGAACAAGAAAGGGGGACATAAAAAGACCTTCTATTCTAACTCTTTTGTTGACGTTTGTTTGTACATAGTCGTAATGTATCACTGGGGAGCGAGAGGATGGGATCTGGCTCCCGTTGATGCTGTCATTGCAATTTGAGCGTAGGAGCATGGGAGTTGTTCAGCTGCTGGATATCGCAAAGGGGAAAGGAAAGACCGAGGTAGTCTGCGAACACTTATTTGGCGCAGCTATAGTCATCTTCTTACAAGTAGAATTGAAGCTGATTGTAATCACTAAAACTCGACTTCCGTTTCCAATTTTTCGGCAGCGCAGCTGGGCCACCTTGTGTACTTGGACATGACATAGTAAGTGCCACTGCGCTCGAGTGCACTCATGCGGAGCAAGCCGCGCACTTCCAATCGATCGGCCGCTTCTGCAGCCCTATGCAGGCCATATGGAAGCTCCTCTGGCACATGACATTAGCACATCCCACGATTCCCCTCATACCAGTGGCAATCTGGCCACATTCGCAAGGCTGTTTGCGAGGTACAGGACGCAGCCCGTTTCTGATATCTTGGTCACGAGTCGCAGTTCCCGGCCTCGTCTCCCCCTGGCTCTCCGGCAGACTTTCAAGCAGCTGCTGATAGGAGTCCGTTGTATGCAGCTCGAACACCAGTGTTCCATCCCCAAATTGCTGCTTGGCGGCTTGATCGAGCGCGGCATACCAATCCTCCTCATCCGTCACCAGAGGTACCAGTCGACTACTAATGCATACAATGTTGTCTGAGGTGCGGATGTAAATGAAGTCATTGTCAAGGATGCGTATGAACTTGGACCAGTCTAGGTGCCGTGGCTGGATCTCGTCGGGCTTGATGTGAGTCATGTCGTCTTTGAGGAGTTCTTCGATGTCGCCGTGGTAAGGCTTTTGTTTGCTACCTTTGGTCCGTCGGCAGACGAATTTACAGCGACCGAAAGGTATTGATCTGGTGTGTAGGGGATGCTGCTGATTTGTGACGGGCGCGTTTGAGGTTGGCGCCATTACCGTCGCCTTGAGCGACCTGCTTCCCTGATCACGAGCTCCAGAACTTGTAGAGTGGCCCTGTGATGGTTCATGTGAGCGTCGCAGCCGCGCCAGATCTGTCGAAGCTGGCTCATCTTCGTCCATGCCGCCCATTGCAACATCGTCGGCGGCCGCAGCATCAGCCAGAAGATTCAGGCAGTAGCTCAGGTCGTTCTTCGAGATGACTTGCGCTCTGCTAAGTCGCTCAAGTTGCTTGCAAAAAGCAGGCCGCATCTTCGGCCTCTTAAGCCGGTGCTTGTGCTTCCTAGTGAAGCGGACCATTGCATCTCTAACCAGAATATCCGATTGTGGACGCTCATCGTCCAAATGTTTGTTGAGCATTTCATGTAGTTCGTAACAAACATCGTCCCGGCCTGAACGATAAATTTCGTGCCTCAATCGCTGATAGAGCCACGAATCGTCCGTCTCCTCGTCACTGTCACTAATCAAGTCACCTGGACAAAGTACTTGCTTGGAGGTTGTTCGATAGAAATCTACGCCCTTCACACGTGGTACCGCGTGTTTTCTTCGTGGTAATGCGGGCAGGTCCGGGACTTGGTCCGGCGGCATATCTGTCGTCTTCTTCTTCACAAGCTCGAGTACTTGTGGCGCATATGCGAGAGGTCGTCCACGCCGTCCTTTTGTCTGGTAAGGTTTCTGTTGTGCTTGGAAAGGCTTTTGTTTTGTATCATGCTCTTCCGTTTCCCAGCCCGTTCTTTCCCCGCGCGAGTGCGCGTGCAAGTACTCAGTAGCGTCAAACGCGTCTCCCGTAGCTTGCCAACTGAAGTTCAATAGCTCCTTGCTCACTTCACGAGGCTCTTCCTTCAGTTGCATCCAGATAATCCTCACATTCGAGTCTTCGTCGTGCTCTTCAATCTGAATGCTGAAATGCTCGTGGTGAGTAGCGTAATGACCATACAGCCGTCCGATACTTGAATGTTCGCGCTCGTTGGGGCAGAATATGCACTTCAGCTCGGTCATGTGCACGCTCCGGTGGATATAATCACCTTTGCGAAATTGGTACCTAACACTGGGTCGGCTGAGGGGCTCTGCATCTTCAGATGGAGACGGTGTTGGCATCTGTCGAGCACTGCGAAGCCGGCGCAGTTGTCTGTTGTATGTTGTGAGAATTGATTCGTTCGTGTCCGTGTTCCAGCTCATGTTTGGCTGGAGGCCGTACTTAAGGGTTGAACTCTTGTGCCCGTGAGCTCTAACCAAGCGCAGCAAGGAATCTCTTGGCGGGAGCACCGGAAGCCCTGGATCGCTAGTGGTTGTGTTGGTGTTCGGGTCTCCCCAAACGGCTCGAAATGCCAATTCTTTCAAAGGCGCATCGGCGTAGTCTGACGCTCTTGTGCCCTGAATTTCTGCTAGAAGCTTCGCGGCATCGCTGGAATTAGAGCACGAGATACCGATCTCCAAACTGTATCTATCTGTCATTTTTCGCTCCCCGTACCTGCTAGCGTCGTCGCGCAGCATTTCTTTGTTGACCTTTAGCTGGTCGGCTTCGATGACGAACGGCCTGTGTAAGCGAACGTCAAAGATAGGCCGTCCGTCGGAACTTCCAAATCGATAGATTTGGGCGTTTCTGATCTCGTGATAGACTTTGGTCTGCGCCGTCTGCTTACAGTGGATGTAGACAGACACCTGACAAGGTCGTGGCGCTCTATCCGGATGAGGCAGCCAGTCTGGGCCATCTTCGCTCTGCTGAATGGGATCCAAGTTGATCGAGTCGCGATTCCTGGACCGAGTGCCGTGCGGCCTGAGCAAGAAGGAGTCGAGCGTGAATCGGGGCGTGCTCGCTTCAATGTACTTTGCCATCATGGCATCAGTTGGCGGTTGCCAGCGCGCGCGTCTTGTTACTTCGTCCGCAGCGCCTTCGATCGCATTGACGTTGCCTTCTCGAAGCGCGTCGTGCGAGTCGAAAATGTGGTCCAGATTGCGGCGCAAGAATCGCCGCGGTAGCTTATTGATGTCGTGATATAATTGAGTCCTAGCAATGAATTGTCTTTCGTTGTTGTGTTCGTTCATGCTTCAATTAAGGAGCGTTGCGGGAGAACGGAGTGGGACAGCAGGCGTTGTGCGACACATGGTGGTCAAGGACGTGCTTGCCAGCCGCTTTCAACGGTGCTTTTTGAGCGCGTCCGCACGCGCGCCTCTGATCGCCGCTGAGGACTGCAGCCTTCTAGTTCTTGCTTGAAGCCGGGCTGAGAATCCGCGGCAGCATGAAGTGTCACTTCGCGAAGTTGCTTGTGGGTTGTCGCCGCGGTTGGCGCTCCAGGCCCAGGCAGGTGCGCCACGGATTTCGCACAACGCGTTGTAGCCGCTTCGAGTTCTTCGGTGGCCTTGGGTCGGTCTCCGCGCTATTCGAAAGCAGATCTGCTTGCTGAGGGCCTGTATGTCTATAACACAGCGGGGACGCGCCTAACTGCACTTTTAAAGTTCAGCTCGCGTGCTAGCGTGGCTCGAGCCGCCTAGCGCCCTGTGTTCTGCGATATCACCTTGATCAAGCAGCATGCTCAATACTGAAGTGAGTCTGTCATCGCCGCTTCTCATGTGCAACACGGCAAGTAAATTAGGTGAGGTGAGGCATCAAGCGGTCCACGTGATAATTCGATGAGGACACAAAATGAGTAGTTGCTTCCCTAACCTCAATTGGCACCTGAACGCCACCGACTATGGAAGGGCTGTGGTGTGATTGTACAGCTCATTATGCGCGCCATTCTGTGTAGTCGTAGAAGCTAACCATCCTCCACACCATCGTAGTGCCGAAAGGTAGTCTGCAGCCTTGCGCCAGAAGTCATCTACCCATGAAGCAAGCATTCTAGTCGCATGCATGAACGCCATGAAACATCCTCAGTACAGCACACAGCGCTGAATGCTGTACCTTGTCCCTATCCTACGTGTTACCCCGCTCAAAGTCTGCTTCCGTGAACTGTTCCGCTCTAACAGCAGCCACCTGCGCTGCCAGACTGCACGTTTGAGCCCTGGCCGACCTGCACTGTAGGCTTATTGTTGACTGTAGTATTTCCCATGCGCTCCTTAATCTGGCGAGCCATCGTGAGGAAAGCCTGTTCGACGTTGCTTGCGTTCTTTGCAGAGGTCTCGAGGAATGGGATGCCCAGGCTGTCGGCAAACTCCTGCGCAAATTGTCAGCATTGTAACCACCAGCTCACTTCCAAATCTTCTGGGATGTCACGCACCTTGGCCACGGTGTACTCGACCACTTTCTTGTCTGACATATCGCTCTTGTTTCCGACGAGGAGCTTGTTCACACCCTCTGTGGCATAGCGATCGATCTCTTGCAGCCATTGCTTCACGTTGTTGAATGAGTCCATATCGGTGACATCGTAGACGACGCAAATGCCGTGGGCGCCGCGGTAGTAGGAAGATGTGATAGTGCGGAAACGTTCTTGGCCAGCTGTGTCCCACTGTACTCTGGGGTCAGTATCGCTCCCTCCTTGTTTGCAAATTCCAACGTACGATTTGAAGCTTGACGGTCTTGCCATCGAGCTCGATGGTTCGGATCTTGAAGTCGACGCCGATGGTAGAGATGTAGCTCTCGGTGTAGGTGTCATCGGCGAAACGAAGCAGCAAGCAAGACTTTCCGACACCAGAGTCTCCGATGAGCAGAAGCTTGAAAAGGTAGTCGTATCTATCAGAAACACGCATTAGTCCCCATTCTCCTCACATATCGCTCTTCTGCAAATCAACTCTCCAGGACGCTGGCGGCGTCTTGCTCTCGGCGGGCGTGGTTACCCTTCTTCACGCGGAGTCGTTGGCCGCGACTCCGGGAGAGGTATCTGCTCTGGCTCTGGCAGTGGCTCTGGCTCTGTTTCTGGCGCCGGAGGCGTATTGGCAGGCGAGGCCCTGCTCGGTGGCAGGGCCAGGCTTGTGTCCGATGGAAACACGAAGCCAAATCCTCTGGTCTGGCGCCAGGTGGGAAGGCCGCGGGCTGTCGCCTCACTCTCTTCGTATGTTGGCAGAGGGGTATCTGGCCTGCTTGCCATGCTGTGTTGCTGCTTGTGGTTTCGAGATAGCCGGTCTGACGGTACAAAGGAAAAGGCGAGGGTGGAAGAGGTCCATAACGGCGACAGGCGAGGTTAAGAAGGAGGGTATAGCACTCTGTACCAGTCGCGCATCAGCATGTGAAGTTTCCAACGTCGCCGCTCTTCAGCTAGGCGAAAGGCAGGCGCAGGTGGACCTACTACTCAGGATTCATCTTTGCGGTTGTGTGAATTGCACGCCTAGGAACGCTGTGCTCTGCTGCTGCGCTTCTCGCCCCAGTCCAAGCGGTGGAAGTTGCGAGGCGGTCACTATTGGGGGCGCCGAGGTGTTCGCGGTGGATGGACGGTCGAAAGGTCGCGGTGTCGGCTTGGTGGATCGAGAGGTATCAAGCAGCGGTGGTGTTTGTGTTGGCGGTTTGTTGTCGCACTTCAGATGCGAGTCAAAGATGCGAGTGAGGTTGCGTTGGCGCACGGGTCCAGTGAATCAGGCAGGCACGGTCAACGACTGGAAGGCACACGGCTGCCGAGGTCATGTGACAGCCGCAAACAAAAGCACATCGTCGTTTCACCACGTGTTCGGCATCATGACACTAGGCAGCGTATGATCGCCGTGCAAATGCAAATGCCCTACGCGATCAAAGGGAACAATACGAGAATAGTCATTTCACATGATCGTGTACGGCATGCTTGACCTGCACAGGCGCTCTGCACCGACAGTGGTCGAAACGCCACACCTTCTCCACGAATACTTGCTCTCTTTTGACTCCATCCGCACTGCATTCGACTTGGATTTCGGCCATGGAGTGATAGACAAGAATATGGTCCATTGTGAATCGCGACAACCACCAACAAGCGATAAGTGTGAGTGACGAAAGTCTGGTTTGGGAAATGTTCAATAGACTTCTGGTAAGCAGCCTGATGCTAGGTACATAGAAGTGCGCGTCATGTCTTGGAAGCGGTCTGGTAGTCGTAAACTTCAAAAATGCTCAATGCCCTGGGAGTCTCGTCATCTCCATTGTGGATTTGGCGGTTGGCCATAATTTCCTCCACCATAATTTCCCTGCTGGCCACCATACCCGCCGGGAGCGCCGCCATTTCCATAGGACTGATATCCACCTTGATCGTGCGACTGAGGTGGAGGATACGTTTGGTACTGTCCCTGATTGCCGTAGCCGCCTTGTTGATCGTAGCCAGGTTGGCCGTAGCCTCCACTGTGCTGTGGTGGAGGTGGCTGACCGTAGCCGGATCCGCCACCGTACTGATTGTGGGGAGTCTGATGTTGACTGGGTGGTCCTGAAGGGGGGCCTGAATGGTGTGGTTGCTGCCCATAGGACGATGGGGCCTGCTGACCGTACTGGGACTGCTCGTGCCCGTAGCCCTGCTGTGGATGCCCTTGACCATACGACTGCTGGGCCCCGCTATGCTGTTGCTGGTGGTATTGCTGCTGGCCGCCAGTGTTGTAGCTATTGCTTGGAGGCTGATGTCCACTTTGTCCAGGCGCTTGGTACGCTGCAGGCGGAGCTTGACCCTGGTAGGTGCCGCCGCTGGATTGGTTGTGAGAGTAGCCATATGGATTGGAGCCGCTTCCGTGGGATGGCTTGTGACCGCCGCCCAAGACTCCGCTGATCATGCCGCCTAAGCCTCCACTAGAATGTCCAGAGGATCCATGTTGCTGCCCGCTTTGTCCGCCATGCGAAGATGAGTTTCCACCCAAGAACGACGCGGCCATTCCACCCAGGCCGCCGCCTGAGCTGCCATGTTGTTTGTCTGGCTTGGAGCCTCCCAGAAATGATGCGGCCATTCCGCCCAAGCCTCCTCCGGAGTTTGAATGCCCTTGATTGGATGATCCGTGTGATGATCCACCTCCTAGGACTGAGCCCACCATACCGCCCAGGCCGCCGGAGCCTTGCTTGTTGCCTCCAATGACGCTGTTCAATAGCGAGCCCTTTCTGTTGATCAGCTTCATATACGAGGCGTGACCAGAAATATGCGCCTTACACCAAGACTCCTGTCGCCCTCTTGTCCACCCATACCTCTTGTGCCTTCTTCACCGGGTGCTGAATATGGGTTGCCATGCGCTGGTGTGCCGCCGGGTGTGGGCACATTCGGTGCAGCCATTGTCGGGACTTCCCAGGTTGATTCGCCGGTACTTATTTGCACGTAGTAGTACTTTCTCGATCTGTTTAGATTGTTAGTCCGGGACGTTACCACAGCCGTGCTATATCGCCTTTTGGCGAGGCAGTGCCTACCTCGCATCCCACTGTGCAATCCTTCAATCGACACGAGCTACGTCAGTGCCAAGTCGTGTGGAAATGTGTGTGAGAGGTGTGTGAACAGAGAGCAAACAGAGGTGGTGCTCATGCGGGCGCAATTGAAGAGCTCACGCGAGGGGAATGGCAAAAGAGACGCACCATCCTGGGGGCAGAGTAGGCGGTGCATGATCTGGACCTTGGTCCGGCGTGCTGGGTGGCTCAGCCATCGCGGCTGCACAATCTCAGCTGAGCGTTGCCTGTCCTCGTGTGCCGCTGTAGTTTTGACTGCTCTGCAGCGAGATTGGCGCTCTGTCGTCGTGCAACGGGATCCGCAGAGCGACGGAGGGCGCGGTGAGATGTTTCGCGGCGACTTCGGAAACAGCGACCAAGTCCGCCGTAATCGAACAGTCGCGAGATGTGGAGCTCGGCAACGTGAAGGACCGCCAAATTCAGAAGGGTCAAGAAGAAGAGTGACTGTTGTGTACAAAGATATTTGCTTGCAATACACTCTGCGTGTAAAAGAGAAGCCGTTCGGAAGCTTGCATGGTCACGCATCCACCATACGACCATCCCTGCGTCATACAAAAGTGTTTCCTGATGCCGCTCGCAGGACGATCTCAGCTGGGACGCGTAAGTTCGCGCTGCGACGTGGGCATCTGTGCAGCGAATTGTGGCTGTGCTCACTTTGATAACGTTAGAGGGACGGCCGACTTGGTGTGGCCACAAAGACTTCGTCATTGCGGTGGTCTCTGCGCCTAACATCAGGAGCAGAGTGGCTCGTCGGAAAAGTGATTATGTAGTAAGTCGATGTCGTGGTATTCTCGCTACTGTGCACCCACCAAGCAAAGAACAAAAAAGGATTCAATGACCATTGCACACCAGCAGTCTTGCTAGCTATGCTCTTGATAAAGCCGCCACTGGTCTGTCAGCGCTTTTGAAACAACAAGACGTCTATGTTGCCAACAACGTCCCGGGTTTACACCCTGGTACTTGCACTCTGATCCTCCCGCGCGTCTAGTATTCAGCCTCAGCGCCCTCCTCGCCCTCGGCGGAGTCGGCGGCAACCTCCTCGTAATCGCGCTCGAGCGCAGCCAAGTCCTCACGAGCCTCAGAGAACTCGCCTTCCTCCATACCCTCACCAACGTACCAGTGGACGAAAGCACGCTTGCTGTACATGAGGTCGAACTTGTGCGAGAGAGCAGACCAGGCCTCAGCAATGGCAGTGGTGTTGGAGAGCATGCACACGGCGCGGTTGACCTTGGCGAGATCTCCGTTTGGCACCATCTGTGGTGGCTGGTAGCAGATACCGATCTTGAAGCCCGTGGGGCACCAGTCGACAAACTGGATGGTGCGCTTGGTCTTCAGCGTGGCGACTGCTTGGTGGACATCCTTTGGCACCACGTCGCCACGGTAGAGCAAGCACGTTGCCATGTACTTGCCATTGCGAGGATCACACTTGACCATCTGGCTGTTTGGCTCGAAGCATGACATGGAAATCTCCTGGACGGAGTTGGCCTCGTGGGCGGCCTTAGCAGCAGAGACAATTGGTGCGTATGCGACCAGAGGGAAGTGGATTCTTGGGTATGGCACCAAGTTGGTCTGGAACTCGTTGAGATCGACGTTGAGCGAGCCATCAAAGCGGAGGGATGCGGTGATGGACGAGACCACTTGAGCGATCAGGCGGTTCAAGTTCTCGTAGTTTGGTCGCTCGATTCCGAGGTTGCGTCGGCAGATGTCGTAGATGGCCTCGTTGTCGACCATGAAGGAGCAGTCAGAGTGCTCAAGAGTGGTGTGTGTGGTGAGGATGGAGTTGTATGGCTCGACGACCGAGGTGGCGACCTGTGGTGCTGGGTACACGCAGAACTCGAGCTTGCACTTCTTGCCGTAGTCGACCGACAGACGCTCCATAAGCAGAGCACCGAAACCAGATCCAGTACCACCACCGAACGAGTGGAAAACCAGGAAACCTTGCAGTCCCGAGCAGTTGTCGGCAACGTGTCGGACCTTGTCGAGGACCTGGTCAATGAGCTCCTTGCCGACGGTGTAGTGACCACGGGCGTAGTTGTTCGAGGCATCCTCCTTGCCGGTGATCATCAACTCTGGGTGGAAAAGGCTGCGGTAGGTACCGGTGCGGACCTCGTCGACGACGTTGGGCTCGAGATCGCAGTAGATGGTGCGTGGGACGTACTTGCCCTGACCTGTTTCGAGTCAGTACCGCGTGCGCAACGGTGGTGGAGAAGTGGGCGCCTACCCGTCTCGGAGAAGAAGGTCGAAAAGCCCTGATCATCATCGGCGGCCTTGCGCTCCTCGGTGAGGTATCCATCGGGCTGTTGCGTATGTCAATATATGCCCACTACGTCCTCTTACTTGGTTGTGCTCACCTGAATGCCGTGCTCGAGGCAGTACAGCTGCAAACGTCCATGTCAGTGTGCTGCTCTCAGGCATCCAATTTCCTGTGTAATCCCATCGTGCTCTTCCGGGTGCTCATTGAGCGACGAAACTAACCTCCCAGCAGCTGTTTGCGATCTGGCAACCGGCCTGGCCAACTACACACGTCTTTTGTCAGTCGGTGGCCTCATCTCAACAAGACCGCCAATGAGGCGGTCAAGCGCGCTGCGGCGACTCAGGAGTTGTGCCTACCGTTCAAGCTGATGACTTCGCGCATGTTGGCGGTGTGATGTGTGTTTGAGTGGATTTCTGGTGTCTCGTCGACAGTGCGAAGTGTGCGGAGGAAGAGGAGGTAGGGGTGGAGAACCAGTCGTGGTCGCCGAAATGCACGCGTGAAGTAGTAAACAGCTCAAAAGGGTCGAGTTGGAGGGGGGAAATCCGTGGGAAAGCGCGCCGCTCCAAATGGCCAGCCAATCAGGTGCGCCAAGGCAGCAAGGCAACCGTGCCTGAATCTGGCTGCAGCGACAGCTTTCTCATCATGTCTGCACATACAGTGAGATTTCGTTGTACGCATCATCTAGGACAGACAAATGATCACTGGACTGAAGGCATGAATGGCGAGGGCGCGCGCTCCCACTCCCACGCACCTGCTCAGCGTCCATCACCATGAGGCTTTTCACATGCGTGACTTCTCTGTTCGCGCTGCAACTCACCACTACTTGGGCAAACACTGAAAAGACTATCTTCCTCGCTCCCGACATCATCACCTTGCCAGACGCAGGCCCGAGTCTCGCAGCACTAGGCCTAGACACTATCTCATCTGACAACACTACGTTGAGGAGAGCACTTCCTGTCGTCTTTCCATCTCAAGAGCTTCCACGCGGCCAAGAATCGTGGTACCTTCTGCACAATCTCCAGCCTGGTCGGAGATACGAGGTTCGAGTCTGCTGGCCCGCTGTGGTATGCTCCTTCTGAACGCACTTCCTCCTGCCATGCGTGACAGGCATTTTCAACGCTGAGCTCATGTCACTGCCGTGCACAGCTACTTCGTTGGCACGCCCTAATTGCTCAACAATACTGACAATATCCCAGCAACCCACGGAATTCTGGCTTGAGACGTTCAATCTTTCGCATGTTTTCGGTACACCTCATTTGATTCAGAGTCTGGCTGCATTCGCTGAACAGCAAGCACCGCCGGCTGCTGGTGTGAAGACATCCGAAGAAGTCTCTACAAGCAGCATTCTTTTTCTCAGGCTTCAAGCGGCCGCCGACTATTTCACGACCAACAAGGATTTGATGTCACATCCACAGCTCGTCGATGTAGATATCGTCCTCGACCCATATCTGGCCAATATCTTTCCAGCCTCCCTGGTGCCTACAGCTCTTTACATTGTCATTTTGACTCTGCTGTCTTTCTATCTTTCGGCGACCATTTGGCGCTACTTACAGCCTCATACTCTCAACAAGCCGCACTCTGACTGAATGGCATTGGAAGGCGATGAGAGTGTAATGGACGAGGATCGGCTCAACAGGATGGCTGAACACGATTCCGACAGAGATGAGCCTGTCGAGCAGGACGCTGGCTCTGAACCTGGCAATGCGAATGGCGATGTCCCTGTGATGCAGGAAGTCCTCACCCTGGCGCAGACTCGACCCAGACATCCGTTCTACGGGTTACCACCCGAATTAATTCTGGACATAGTTGATCTACTACCGGCAGAGTCATTTATTAATTTCGCCTTTGCCAACTATCCGCTTCTTCATTGGTACGGGGTGTTGCCGGCACTTTCGCGCACACGAGTGATCTACATCACGACCCAGACACGAATTCCGGCCCTCTTCCCGCTATTAAGAATCCCAGCGGAGATCACATTGCACATCATGCGCAACTTGAGGCCTATCGACATCATTCGATTTGTTGTTGCCAACTACCAGGATATGGAGCGGCAAGGCATCGCGCCGCCAATGACGCCCGAGATTGAGCGCGAGCTGCGCAACGCGGTGAGGCTGAGGATAGGTCGAGGGTAGGTTGGAGGCAAAAGCAACAGACCATGACTGCACAGCAGCGCTTATGCTACTGAGCACGCGTGAATGTGCATGCGGTTATGCGGAAGCTGTTGCTGGGACATGCAATTTGCGCTGTGGAGCTGCTAGGTGTTCATGACGGTCATGAGTCCGATGAGAAAATTCGACACATGTTGTGTCGTGGTCGCTTTCATGCTTTGTTGCAGAGGACATGACGAATACTGTGATCTGGCAGATGCTACCTCTGGGTTCAATTCCAAGTATGAAGTTTCATGATCAGACTGTTACATTCTTTCACGATCGCACCGTTCCCACACGGTTCGCCTAACACCAACACAAAATGCGCGACGCTCAATGCCTCACTCCTGAACCAACGCTTTGCGCGTCCTGAGCTTGTCAGTCACATAAGACGGACATGCGCCCACCCATAAACGAGACAGTATCCAAATGACCCGACTCCACTCTCTGTTGTCTGAGTAGCTCGGCCGTAGAGCCCGGCGTCTCTGTCCAAAAGCTCACTTTGAGCTTCACTTCTTCGGGGCGCTTTCCCAGCATGGCCAGCATTGCCGACCAGTTCTCAGCTCTAAGTGAGCTCCTAACGACTTTCCTTCGCCTGAACAATCCTACTCTGCGTGTTTTCTGCTTGACCAGTGGCACAAAGACCACTTTCTCTCCCGAACGAAGGCATCTGGCTGACCTCTCAGACAGTACGTATGCAGTGATACTGTCTCTCAGCGTCTGGAGAAATTGATCAAACGGCATCATCGGGCCAAGTAGCATTAGGTCGTGGTGCGTCCTGAGCACTTGAGAATCGATCATCGACAACCAGCGATATTGGATCGGTACCATTGGTCCTACTGTCGTATGTGCGCCGATAAGACGACCTGTCAGATGTAATGTGGTGTGTATCGAGGAGGCTTCTCGGGCGGTGTATACGCTGGTGGTGGAATGTCGCCAGTGCTCCCTTGAGTTGTGCTATTTGTGTCTTCTGAGGCGCCGCCAACGGACTGAGTTGATGCATTCGCGAATATTGGTAGCGGGAAGGCTTCGTCAATCATATCACTGATCCGTCGAGACAGGGGATCCGTCTCTCCTTCGCTTCGACAGTCTTGATCCACACTGTCGCTCGCATCACTAGAGTCTTCGCTCATGACGGCAACTTTGGCCTTGTAGAAATCGAGCGCACTCGCTGCTTGGAGTTCTGCTTGCTGTTCCAATTTCTCGACTTCGACAGACCATTGAAGCGCCACGGGACGAGTTGAATTATGAGAGAGCTCAATCCACTTCGTCAAATGGTGAATGATGTTTTCTGTGCTCTAGCAGCTGACCTGAAAATCACAAACCAACAAACAGTGACATAGGCGGCTAACAAATACCTACATGTATGCGTTCATTATGGTACAAAGGCAGTGACAAGCAGTCGTTCTCCACGTGAACCTTATTCGCCCCCTTACATCACGTCCAAGGGTTCATCCGATGGAGTGAGCCTTAAACTGCGAACTGCGATTTCACGTGGGATTTGCCCACGAGCAATGACTGGACATCCTGACGAACAATACGAGACCGTGGTCCTGTTGCCTCCAAATGCCGGTCTGAAGAGGACAGCCCCTACCAAATCCCATATGGCCGCAGAGTGTTCCTGTACATCTGAGCGACGACCTGCTGCCTCTGTCTTTCAGCCTCCGTCAATGGAACCTCGCGCCAATACATCATCTTCAGCTCGCCAACAAATGTTTTGTCCTTCAAAGCAGAAACAATGGCGGGCCAATTTGACTCATCCACATCGATCGTTTTTGACTTTCGGCGTTTGAACCCCAGGAAGGTTCTCTTGGTGTCGCTCGATTCGACGTACATCCATGTTCTCATAACTTCGGCCGACTGCAAGCGGAATCTCCGACTTGCGGACATCCTGTGCTCGACCTCGGCCATCAACGTATCCTTAAATTGAGAAAGAGTGGTAGTCGGCCAGAGCGAGGCTATGTAGCGGAAACGTTTGTATGGACGTCGAGTAGGTCGCCCATCGGCTAGAGGAGACCACAGAGGATCAGGTGGAAAGATAGCTTCGATGGCCACTCTGCTGATGATACGGTCCCCGGAGTCTTGAATTTGGAAATGATAAGGTGGTGGTGATTCCGTTTCAGCGCTTTCAGCGTTTTCGAGGTCTGCTTGGCTGATATGATATTGAGCCTCAGACTCCAAGGCGTGTTGTGCAGGATCACTGGCAGCCAACAATGAATGTGAAGATGATGAAGTCGCAAGCGACTCTATCGCTGGAGAACTGGAGCTTGTGGTAGATGCGCGTAAGACCACGCCGCGACCCTGATCTTCGAGTCCAGGAAAGGCATCGCTGATCATATCTGTGATCCGTGGCGATAATGAAGGTCCGAGCTCTGCTTGCTCGAGCTCAATATCGGTAGCGTGTCCAGATTCTGTTGTAAGAACGAGTTGCGGTGGTGCCGAAGCGCTCATTTGGATGACAGCCGCCATGATGTGACTCTCTTGTGGTAGGCAACTTGTCAGGGACAGCAGAGCAGCTACAAATACCACTCCTCCACGCGCTTACCATCGTGAATGGTGAACATTCTGGTTGATGATGACCAAATCTATGCGACTTCGAGTGAACGCTCGCAGCATGCACTGATGTTATGTCAGTACAGCACATATATCACAGCGTGCGCCTGACACAGTCGCGTGCACATCAGCAATGGACTACCGAGCACCGTCAACTCGAACTTCTTCCACGTCGTCACTTCGGAAGTACTACACTCCGGCATCGCATCTGAGCCATGCTTCATCAGAATCTAGCGAGCCTGAACTGGGGAGTCCTCAGCACCACCAGCCTGCTCGGATCGTGCCTGACGCTTGCGAGTCGAGCGTACATCCACTAAACGTAGCCGAATGTCATGAAGGAGCAAACTCGGCAACTCAGCGTCCGGACCACACTGAATTCTTGCAAAGACGAAGTTCGGTATTGCTAGAAAGCCGCCAACGGAAGGAGTCGGGCCTGATGGAACAGGATTTGCTTGAGGCGAAGCGGATAAGGTGTTTTTCTTGGCTGAAGAGGCGACTGAGCGCGCTGCGGAGAAAGCTGTTAGGTCGATTCAATGGAAGGAAAGACTGTATAGCAATGTGAGCTTCATGTGGTAGTAGCATAAGAGGTTGAAATGCAATCAAGACGTGAACTCCCACCGACTATAGATTTTGAATCCTGAATATTCAATTTAACTAGGCCGAATTCATATTCAATTCAGGAATTGAATTGAATATTCAGATTCAATTCAGTGTATTTAGCTTACAAATCTATCGCGCATAACGTACTATCTCCTATATTAAGTATAGTTATCTATAGCTACTATATCGTTACTATTAAATATAGTATTATTATTTATCTTAATATTAGCGATTCTAACTAACTACTAGTTCTTAGATAACTCCGTCTACCTAATCGTATTACTATTAAGCTATAAACGTAACTAGTTAATTATCTACTTTACTATACTAAAAATATATTCTAATTTAGTACTTATTATAAACGTAGATAATATATTTATAGTAAGGCGTAATAATGCTAGATAAGCCTATCGTTATAGTAGTAAATACTACTATTAAAGAGCTATTATTTTACGCTTAGTTAAGCTCTTATTATCGTTAATAACTTCTAATAATAGTAGCTATATTAGTATA